GTCAGTGAGGACTTGGTTTCTACCCCAACTCCTACTTCCCAGCTGTGTATCCGTGAACAAGTCACCTCTCTAAGCCTCAATGTCCTCATCTGTAAAATGGGAGAAATAATGGTATTGAGAGTTATGAGAAATAAATATTGGAAATATAGTGCTTAACAGAATATCCAGAACACAGTATGCCTTCAGTAACTATTACATAATAGCATTTGAATGGTAATAGAACACAAGGAATCTTCCTCTATCAGAGAAGACAGCAAACCAGAAATCTGTCACAGAAATCACGCCTAACAGTTTGGGCAAGAACCACTCCTGGTCTATTCTGGAGTAAAATAATAACGCCTTCAACAACTGCACTGCTCCAGGGAAGGGGTAGGCCTGGCCAATGTGGTAAAACTGAAGAGATAGTTTTTGGGCTGGGCGCAGTAACTCATACCTAAAATCCTAGCACTTTGGGAGGCCAAAATGGGTGGATCACTTGAGGTCAGGAGAGTTCAAGACCAGCCTGGCCAACAAGGTAAAACTCTGTCTCTACTAAAAATATAAAAATTACCCAGGTATGGTGGTTCATGCCTGTAATCCCAGCTATTGGGGAGGCTGAGGCAGGAGAATCACTTGAAAATGGGAGGTAGAGGCTACAGTGAGATCGTGCCTCTGCACTCCAGCCTGGGTAACAGAGTGAGACTTTACCTCAAAAAAAAAAAAACAAAAAAACAAAAAAAACAGAGTTTTAATTTTCAGAAATGAAGAAATAAAAACTATTCTTGCTGAAGTAACTTGTTTTTTTGTTGTTTGTTTGTTTGTTTTTTGAGATGGAGTCTTGCTCTGTTGCCCAGGCTGGAGTGCAGTGGTGTGATCCTGACTCACCGAAACCTCCTCTTAAGTGATTCTCCTGCCTCAACTTCCCCAGTAGCTGGGATTACAGGCACACACCACCATACCCAGCTAACTTTTGCATTTTTAGTAGAGATGGGGTTTACTCCTACCTTAAGTGATCTGCCTGCCTTGGCCTCCCAAAGTTCTGGGATTACAGACATGAGCCACTGTGCCCAGCCGTGCTGAAGTAATTTGAAAATCTGAAGAAAATTAGCTGGAAAATGAAGAGCACCAACATGAATATTTAATATGTTGATGAGACATGAGAGAAATTAAACAAAAATCCCAATCATCTTTTATATCAACAATATTCATCATACAACAAAAACTATTTTAGGCTGGGCACAGTGGCTCACACCTGTAATACCAGCACTTTGGGAGGTCAAGAGATCAAGACCATCCTGGCCAACATGCTGAAACCCCATCTCTACTAAAAATAGAACAATTAGCCGGGAGTGGTGGCAAGTGCCTGTATTCCCAGCTACTCTGGAGGCTGAGGCAGAAGAATCAATTGAATCCAGGAGGCAGAGGTTGCAGTGAGTCAAGATCACACCATTGCACTCCAGTCTAGGTGACAGAGTGAAACTCCTTCTCAAAAAAAAAAAAAAAAAAAAATTATTTCAGCAAGAATAATTTTTCTCTTCACCTCTGAAAACTCTCTCTTTTTTTTTTTTTTTTTTTTTTTTTTTTTTTTTTTTTTTTTGAGATGGAGTCTCACTCTGTCACCCAGGCCGAAGCGCAGTGGCACGATCTCACTGTAGCCTCTACCTCCCACCTTCAAGTGATTCTCTTGCCTCAGCCTCCCCAATAGCTGGGATTATAGTTATGCACCACCATGCATGGCTAATTTTTTTTGAGATGGAGTTTCGCTCTTGTTGCCCAGGCTGGAGTGCAATGGCGCGATCTTGGCTCACCTCAACCTCCGCCTCCTGGGTTCAGGCAATTCTCCTGTCTCAGCCTCCTGAGTAGCTGGGATTACAGGCATGCGCCACCATGCCCGGCTAATTTTTTGTATTTTTAGTAGAGACGGGGTTTCACCATGTTGACCAGGATGGTCTCAATCTCTTGACCTCATGATCCACCTGCCTCGGCCTCCCAAAGTGCTGGGATTACCGGCGTGAGCCACCATGCCCGGCCAGCATGGCTAATTTTTATATTTTAGTAGAGAGCTGAGATCGTGCCACTACACTCCAGCCTGGCAACAGAATGAGACTCTGTCTAAAAAAAAAAAAAAAAAAAAAAAAATTTATACCTAGATACAAAAAAGGAACTGGCAAGATCGAGATGAGAAAAAATATAAAGTGTTACCAAAGAATCTAAAGAAGGACCTCAGATTACCCATATGAACCCGTACGCACAAGGCAATGTCAATCCGAATCCTGTCTTTTTTATTTTTGAGACAGGGTCTCACTTTTTTGCCCAGGCTGGAGTGCAATGGTGCAATCTCAGCTCATTGCAGCATCAATCTCCCAGGTTCAAGCAGTCCTCTCAACCTCAACATACCGGAGTAGGTGGGACTAAAGGCATGCAGTGCCACGCCCAGCTAATTTTAAAATTTTTATTTTGTAGAGCCAGGTTCTCACTACTTTGCCCAGGCTGGTCTCAAACTCCTGGGTTCAAGTGATCCTCCTACCTCAGCCTCCCAAAGTGCTGGGATGGCAGGCATGAGCCCCTGTGCCTAGCCCAAAATCCCATCTTTTTTATCCCTCTTGGCTTTGATATTTAGAAGAATACAAGAATGGGAACAGCCAATAGGATCTGGGGCAGCATAAGGAGACTGGTCTTGCCCTGGCCTGCTCCTAATGTTCCAGATTAGTTCAGCTGGCCTGAGTGCCATCAACCTAAAATTCATCATGCTCCTTAACACCATGATCCGAATGCCTGAAAAAATGCTCTTTTACTAATTGCTAATCTTCTTTTAGCATTTTCCAGGTAAAAAGCATCACTTGTGTTAAAAGGCCAGGCTCCTCACTGTAAATCCAAGGTCGGGGAGCCTGCTGAATCCCAGGGCTGCAGACAGCAGCTTTTTTTTTTGAGACGCAGTCTCGCTCTGTCACCCAGGCTGGAGTGCAGTGGCACGATCTTGGTTCACTGCAACTTCTACCTCCCGGGTTCAAGGGATTCTCGTGCCTCAGCCTCCCGAGTAGCTGGGATTACAGGTGCCCACCAACACACCCGGCTCATTTTTGTATTATTAGTAGACATGGGGTTTCACCGTGTTGGCCAGGATGGTCTTGAACTCCTAACCTCAGGTGATCTACCCTCCTCAGCCTCCCAAAGTGCTGGGATTACCAGTGTGAGCCACTTCGCCTGGCAGAATGGCAAGCTCTTAAACTAAACACTGAGAACCAGAGAAATGTCCTGTGGACAGCTGGGGTCTGACCTGCTTCTCCATGCAGTGACAATACCTGGGGTTACTGTGAATGCGGGACTGCCGTCAGCAGCTGTGGGCCGTCACCTCTGTGGACTACATTGTGTTTTTTCCTCCTAGAACTGTGGATGATGGAAGGCTGAGCCCCATCCATTGAGTTCCTGGGGCTGTGCTGGAGGGGCTGCTGTGGCCAGGGCACCCGGTGAGGAGAGGAGCAGGGTGTGTGGGGGCGAGCTTGGGTCCTCAGTATCCACCTTGGCTATGGGAGGGCCTTGGCTTTGCCTCTCAGCATCTCTGCATCACCATCCCCAGCAGCAGAGGGTGGACAGCGTTGCTGGGATGCCAGGAGATCCCAGGAGACCCCAGGAACGTAGTAAGAAAAACAGCAGCTCTGAGAACTAGCATTTTCTGTTTTTTGACTCCTCCTCCTTCTTTCTTTTATTTCCTTTTTCTAATTAATAAGCTTTACCTTGTAGAGCAATTTTAGGCTCACAGAATCTCACTCTGTCCTCCTGGCTGGAGTGCGGTTGGGCGATCTCGGCTCACTGCAGCTTCCACCTCCCAGGTTCAAGTGATTCTCATGCCTCAGCCTCTCGAGCAGCTGGGATTACAGGCACCCACCACCATGCCTGGCTAATTTTTGTACTTTTAGTAGAGACAGGGTCTTACCATATCTGCTGGGCTGGTCTCAAACTCCTGACCTCAAGTGATGTGCCCACCTTGGCCTCCCAAAGTGCTGGGATTACATGCATGAGCCACCCCACCAGGAAAGACTTACAGAAAAATTGATGGGAAAGTACAGAGACTTCCCATGTACCCCATGCCTGCCACCACCCAGACTGTGCCACTATCACTGTCCCCTGCCACAGTGGTCCATTGATTACAATCAATAAACCTATACACACATGTCACCATCACCTAATACCCATAGTTTATACTCTGGCTCACTCTTTTTTTTCTTTTTGCTTTAATTCAGTGGCAAGAAGAGTTAAGAGGTTTTTTTTTTTTTTTTCCCTTCCTTAGAGATCGAGTCTTGCTCTGTTCCCCAGGCTGGAGTGCCATGATGTGATCATGGCTCACTGCAGCTTCGACCTCCTGGGCTCAAGCAATCCTGCTGCCTTGGCCTCCGAAGTAGCTAGGACTACAGGCACACACCCTACACTCAGCTAACGCTAAAAAAAATTTTCAGAGATGGGTTCTCACTATGTTGCCCAAGCTGGTCTCAAACTCCTGGGCTCAAGCGATCTACCACCTCAGCCTCCCAAAGTGTTGATTACAGGTGTGAGCCACTGCGCTCAGCCATGGGCTCGCTCACCCTTGGAGTCCTACATTCTGTGGGTCTGGACAAATATATCATGATAATGACACGGATCTACCACTGTAGTGCCCTCCAGAGTGGTGTCACTGCCCTAGGAATCGTCCGTGCTCTACCAATTCATCCCTCCTCCCCAACCCCTGGCTCCCACTGACCCTTTCTTTCACTGTCTTCCTGTCTCCATCCTTTTGCCTTCTCCAGAATGTTAAGTAAGAATCAAATCACACAGTGTAGCATTCCTAGAGTGGCTTTTCTTTTTTTTTTTCTTTTTCCCACATGTTCCAACAGAGTGGCTTCTTTCATTCCTCCCTCCTTTTGAGCGAACTTACTCGTAACCTCATCACCATTTCCAGGTCACAAATGAAGACACCAAGATGCAGAGAGGTGACTCAGCCTGCCCATGGTCACCCAGCTGGTAAGTGGCAGGGCGGGGGTGCAAGGCCAGGGCCCCAGTTCTCATCTACTGGCTCCCTGCATTTGTGTGATCACTGCCACCATCCAGAAACAAATGGCCCTTCCAGTCCATTCTCAGAGGCCAGGCCAGGCCAGTGGACCACCCAAAGGCTGGGGAAGGAGGAAGAGGGGATCCCTGGCCCCATTCCTGGGGGCTTGCTCACCTGTCCCAGGCTGCTGGCACTGCAGGCAGCAGGTTCAGGCCGTCTCTTCACAGCTCCTGGAGGTAATCCCCGACTCCATGAGGAAGCAGGAGGTGCACACCGGCAGGGAGGCCGGCCAGGGCCACGGCACGGGCTCCCCAGCCGAGCAGGTGAAAGCCCTCATGGATCTGTTGGCAGGGAAAGGCAGTCAAGGCTCACAGGCCCTGCAGACCCCAGACAGGACACCCGACTCCCCGCTGGGGCCCCGCAGCAATGGTAGGACCGGCTTGGGAGGCAGACATGGGATGGGGGAAACCTGGGTCATCTGCACCCACTCTTCCCTTACCCGCCCTCCCTGCCGGCCTCTGTCCCACAGACTCCAGGATGCAGAGGCACCGCGAGGCCCTGTTGAGCAGGGTGGGAGGTGGCCCAGAGCCAGGAGGCCCCTTGCACAGGCTGCCCTCCCTCTTGCTGGTGGAGGGCCTGACGGACCTGCAGCTGAGGGAGCATGACTTTACGCAGGTGGAGGCCACCCGTGGGGGTGGGTGTCCCGCCAGGACTGTTGCCCTGGACCGGCTCTTCCTGCCTCTCTCTCGGGTGTCTGTCCCACCCCGAGTCTCCATCACCATCGGGGTGGCCGGCATGGGCAAGACCACCCTGGTGAGGCACTTCGTCCGCCTCTGGGCCCGCGGGCAGGTCAGCAAGGACTTCTCGCTGGTGCTGCCTCTGACCTTCCGAGATCTCAACACCCACGAGAAGCTGTGCGCTGACCGACTTGTCCGCTCTGTCTTCCCACACGTCGGGGAACCCAGCCTGGCAGTGGCAGCCCCAGCCAGGGCCCTCCTGATCCTGGACGGCTTGGACGAGTGCAGGACTCCTCTGGACTTCTCCAACACCGTGGCCTGCACGGATCCCAAGAAGGAGATCCCGGTGGACCACCTGATCACCAACATCATCCGTGGCAACCTCTTTCCAGAAGTTTCTGTCTGGATCACTTCCCGTCCCAGTGCATCAGGCCAGATCCCAGGGGGCCTGGTGGACCGGATGACTCAGATCCGGGGCTTTAGTGAGGAGGAGATCAAGGTGTGTTTGGAGCAGATGTTCCCTGAGGACCAGGCTCTCCCGAGCTGGGTGCTGAGCCAAGTGCAGGCCGACAGGGCCCTGTACCTGATGTGCACTGTCCCAGCCTTCTGCAGGCTCACGGGGGCGGCACTAGGCCACCTGTGGCGCAGCAGGACAGGGCCCCAGGACGCAGAGCTGTGGTCCCCAAGGACCCTGTGTGAGCTCTACTCATGGTACTTTAGGATGGCCCTCAGTGGGGAGGGGCAGGAGAAGGGCAAGGCAAGCCCTCGCATCGAGCAGATGGCCCACAGTGGCCGCAAGATGGTGGGGACACTGGGCCGGCTGGCCTTCCACGGGCTGCTCAAGAAGAAGTACGTGTTTTATGAGCAAGACATGAAGGCATTTGGGGTAGATCTCGCTCTGCTGCAGGGCGCCCTGTGCAGCTGCTTCCTGCAGCGGGAGGAGACGCTGGCATCCTCGGTAGCCTACTGCTTCACCCACCTGTCCCTGCAGGAGTTTGTGGCTGCCGCATATTACTATGGCGCATCCAGGAGGGCCATCTTCGACCTCTTCACCGAGAGTGGTGTGTCCTGGCCCAGGCTGGGCTTCCTCACGCATTTCAGGAGCGCAGCCCAGAGGGCCATGCAGGTGGAGGACGGGAGGCTGGATGTGTTCCTGCGCTTCCTCTCTGGCCTCTTGTCTCCGAGGGTCAACGCCCTCCTGGCCAGCTCCCTGCTGGCCCAAGGCGAGCACCAGGCCTACCGGACTCAGGTGGCTGAGCTCCTGCAGGGCTGCCTGCGCCCTGATGCTGCGGTCTGTGCACGGGCCATCAACGTTCTGCACTGCCTGCAGGAGCTGCAGCACACAGAGCTGGCCCGCAGCGTGGAGGAGGCCATGGAGAGTGGGGCCCTGGCTGGGCTGACTGGCCCTGCGCACCGTGCTGCCCTGGCCTACCTCCTGCAGGTGTCCGACGCCTGCGCCCAGGAGGCCAACCTGTCCTTGAACCTCAGCCAGGGCGTCCTTCAGAGCCTGCTGCCCCAGCTGCTTTACTGCCGGAAGCTCAGGTGGGCGCCGAGGCAGGGGTCAGGGGCTGGGGGAGGGGCAGAGGAGGGAGCATCCCTTCCCCACCACCGTGCTTCTCTATCAGTCTCCTAAGGCTGCCGTAGCAGAGAACCATGAACTTGGTGGCTTAAAACAACTAAAGTGTGTTTTCTTGTAGTTCTAGAGGCCAGAAGTCTCAAATCAAGGTGCCAGGAGGGCCACACCCTCTCTGAAATGTGTAGGAGACGTTCCTTCCTTCCGTTCCAGCTTCTGGCACCTTGGCTTAAGGCTGCATTACTTCAATCTCTGTCCCGTCTCATGGCCATCTTCTCCCTGTGTCTGTCTCCATATGGTGCAGTCCTCTCTTTTTGGAGATGGAGTCTTGCTCTGCCACCCAGACTGGAGTACAGTGGCCTGATCTCGGCTCACTGCAGACTTTGCCTCCTGGGTTCGAGCAATTCTCCTGCCTCAGCCTCCTGAGTAGGGGTTTCACCATGTTGGCCAGGCTGGTCTCGAACTTCTCACCTCAGGTGATCCACCTACCTCAGCCTCCCAAAATGCTGGAATTACAGGCGTGAGCCACCGCACCTGGACAGTGCTGTCTTCTCTTAAAAGGACACCGTCATACCCGATTACAGCCCCGCCCCACTCCACCAGGACCCCGCCTTAACAAAGCACATCCGCAATGACCCCATTTCTCAATAAAGCCACATACTTGGGGCACTGGGGGTTAGGACTTGATATCTTTTGCGGGGGACGCAATTCAATTCATAACCCTCTCAGAACCATCCAGTCTGACAGAAGCTGTACCCACTGAATGTTCTCAGCCCATCCCCCGCCTGCCACTCTGGACCTTAGTGAGTAGGGAGGAAAGGATGCAGGCTGAGGGTCATCCAGGTGTCCCTCAAGGCAAGTGGTATATGGGGTGGTGAGAACGACAGCCTGTGGAAGACGTCTCTCTGCATAGGAATCTCAAATCTCATGGGCACCGAGCCTCCCGTTCACTCTCACGGGAAAGGTCTGAGCACTGGGGCTGTGCACAGATTTCAGAGCTGTGGTGATGGCGCTGTATGGGATAGAGAGAGGCAGAGGTTCTGGGCGGTGGGACACTCATTGTCACAGCTCCCCTTGGCCAGGCTGGACGCCAACCAGTTCCAGGACCCCGTGATGGAGCTGCTGGGCAGCGTGCTGAGTGGGAAGGACTGTCGCATTCAGAAGATCAGGTAACACAGAGCCAGGGGACCCCCAGGGTGCCCATGGTCTTGTGGGGTATGGAACGCTCTTCCCATCAGCTTCTGTTCAGCTGGCCAGCAGTGCTGCCACGGAGAGGTGTCTTTGGAGCATGTGGCTCCAGATGTAGCCTGCTTGTTTCTGCAAGTTATTTCCCAGTACCAGAAAGTGTACTCACGTACTTCATCAGCAGGAAGAGGGAGGTGACCTGGCAAGGACTGGACCCCCTTATGCATGGGCAGGTGTTTCTACAGCACTATGCTGTGCTGACGTAACAGAAGGCATGATGTTCTCTAAGAGCCTCTCCAGGTTTGCTATCCAACAGCATTCTACTCACAGGATTGCATTTTTTTCCCCCCCCGAGACGGAGTCTTGCTCTGTCACCCAGGCTGGAGTGCAGTGAGCGATCTCGGCTCACTGCAACCTCTGCCTCCCGGGTTCAAGCAATTCTCCTGCCTCAGTCTCCTGAGTAGCTGAGATTACAGGCCTGCACCACCAGGCCCGGCTAACTTTTGTATCTTAGTAGAGATGGAGTTTCACCATCTTAGCCAGGCTGGTCTTGAACTCCCGACCTCAGGTGATCCACACACCTCGACTTCCCAAAGTGCTGGGATTACAGGCATGAGCCACCACGCTGGCCCAGGATTGCAATTTTAATTATAATTTTTAAATTTACATTTCAAATTTAATTAAAATTTAGTTTCAAGTTTAATTCTAAATCAATATAAATTGAAAACTGCATCTTTAATGTTGCAGTTAGACAAAAAGTTCCTATGCTGTGTGCTTATGAAATCTCTCCTGAAATAACATTCCCGGATCTGAGAAACTACACACGCCTGGGGTTTGTGGTTAAATCGATGTGACTGATCCTCTAAAGGTGGCTTTTGGAGACTTAGGGAGGTGAGTTTGGAGAAGAGGACCCAAAGCGTCTTTTTTTTTTTTTTTTTTTTTTTTTTTTTTTTTTTGAGACAGAGTCCTGCTGTATCACCCAGGCTGGAGAGTAGCGAGTGGTACGATCCTGGCTAACTGCAAACTCCACCTCTCGGGTTCAAGGAATTCTCCTGCCTCAGCCTTCTGAGTAGCTGGGATTACAAGCGCCCAACACTACACCCGGCTAATTTTTCTTTTTTCTTTTTTTTGAGACGGAGTTTCGTTCTTGTTACCCAGGCTGGAGTGCAATGGCGCGATCTCGGCTCACCGCAACCTCCGCCTCCCAGGTTCAGACAATTCTCCTGCCTCAGCCTCCTGAGTAGCTGGGATTACAGGCACGCGCCACCATGCCCAGCTAATTTTTTGTATTTTTAGTAGAGACGGGGTTTCACCATGTTGACCAGGATGGTCTTGATCTCTTGACCTCGTGATCCACCCGCCTCGGCCTCCCAAAGTGCTGGGATTACAGGCTTGAGCCACCGCGCCCGGCCTAATTTTTCTATTTTTAGTAGAGGTGGGGTTTCACTATATTGGTCAGGCTGGTCTCACACTCCTGACCTCAGGTGATCTGCCTGTCTCAGCCTCCTAAAATGCTGAGATTACAGGTGTGAGCCACTGCACCTGGCCCCAGGGGGTAATTCTTCACTCCCATACAAGCCTCTGGGTTCTGAAATAATTTTTTTTTTTTTTTTTTTTTTTTTTTTGAGACGGAGTTTCGCTCTTTTTACCCAGGCTGGAGTGCAATGGTGCGATCTCGGCTCACCGCAACCTCCGCCTCCTGGGCTCAGGCAATTCTCCTGCCTCAGCCTCCTGAGTAGCTGGGATTACAGGCACGTGCCACCATGCCCAGCTAATTTTTTTGTATTTTTCGTAGAGACGGGGTTTCACCATGTTGACCAGGATGGTCTCGATCTCTCGACCTTGTGATCCACCCGCCTCAGCCTCCCAAAGTGCTGGGATTACAGGCTTGAGCCACCGCGCCCGGCCCTGAAATAATCTTTATCTGAGTTAATGGCAATTTAGACTGATTCAGGAACAAAAATAAATCACTGGGGACTGCAGTTAGAGGTGTAAGGTCTGTGTGAGTCTGAACAAGTCATTTCTGTGTCTAAAGAGGGTAAAAATGGGGTTAAAAGGGTATCTAGGCCAGGTATGATGGCTCACGCCTTAATCCCAGTACTGTGGAGACAAATCGCTTGAGGTCAGGAGTTCGAGACCAGACTGTTCAAACTGGTGAAACCCCATCTCTACTAAAAATACAAAAATTAGCCGGGTATGGTGGTGGGTCTATGTAATCCATGCTATTCAGGAGGTTAAGGCAGTAGAATTGCTTGAGTCAGGGAGGCGGAGGTTACAGCGAGCCAAGATTGTACTACTGCACTCCATCCTAGGCAACGGAGCAACATTCTGTCTCAAAAGGAAAAAAAAGTCCAGGCACAGTATCTCACACCTGTAATCCCAGCACTTTGGGAGGCCGAGGTGGGTGGATCACAGGTCAGGAGTTGGAGACCAGCCTCCTGACTAACATGGTGAAACCCCATCTCTATTAAAAGGAAAAAGAAAAAAGAAAAAAGGAAAAAGGAAAGACAAATTCTCACTGTTAATATTTTTTCATTTGTGAGAGCCTCCAGCATTTTTAGCACATGATAAAGTAGCCAACTTTTAGTTTGGCTTAAAGGAGGCTAGGTAGTGCTCAGAAATTATTCAGGGACCAGGCACAGCGGCTCCTTCTTATAAGCCTAGCAATTTGGAAGGTGAAGATGGGAGGACTCTTTGAGGCCAGGAGTTCAAGATCAACCTGGGAAACATTAGCAAGATGCCATCTTTACTAAAAATATAAATAAAAGTGAATTATTCTGAATGAAGCCAAAAATTTCTTCTCTGGCCACATGCTCTTCTTTATCTCTCTGTAGTTGATCCTCAATGTTACACCCCTATTTCACCTATAAATTAAACACAACTTAGAAAATACCATAAAAGTCCTGAGGGAGGCTGGGCGTGGTGGCTGAACACCTGTAATCTCAGTACTTTGGGTATCATGAGGTCAGGAGATCAAGACCATCCTGGCTAACATGGTGAAAACCCTTTTCTACTAAAAATACAAAAAAATTAGCTGGGCATGGTGGGAGTATTTACACCATGGAAACTGGTAGATGCTACAAATCAGTTTGACAGCATTTGTTTTTTGCATTTATGTTGTTTTGAGACATGGTCTTGCTGTGTTGCTCAGGTTGGAGTGCAGTGACCTGATCGTGGCTCATTGCAGCCTCAACCTTCTGGGCTAAATCCTCCCTCCTCAGCCTCCCAAGTAGCTTGGACTATAGGCAAGCCACCATACCTGGCTAATTTTTATTTTATTATTATTTTTTGTAGAGACAGGATCTTCCTATATTGCCCAGGCTGGTCTCAGACTCCTGGTTTTAAGTGATGCTCCTACCCTGGCCTCCCAAAGTGCTGGGATTATATAGGGGTGAGCCATCATGCACACCCCAGCTTTCTAATGCTGTTTTTTCTTAGGGCTAGTTTACCAGCACACCACTGGCTGTGATCTGCATTAGATCTGAGATTTCCATTTTCTTTGCTGTGGTGTTAGTATAGAAGCTGTTGTGCTGGATTCTGGCAAGACTTTTTCCTGGGACCCTTTGCCATTATGAGGCTCAGTCCTACCACTCTGGCCCTACGGTGCCCAGGCTCAGGGGCTCTGCTGTGCCTGACATTCTGCTCCAGGGGTCACCTCATCTCCACCTGATGATGTGGGGAGGCCTGGAGGATCAATCACGGGCATAGCATTGAGACAGGCCCATGAGATGTGCACGCCCAAAATAACCACTCCTCTCCCTCTCCTTGGGCAGCCTGGCGGAGAACCAGATCAGTAACAAAGGGGCCAAAGCTCTGGCCAGATCCCTCCTGGTCAACAGAAGTCTGACCTCTCTGGAGTAAGTAGGACAACCAAGGCTGGACTTTCACCATTGGAACCAGAAGAGATGTGAGGCATCTTGCAAAGTCCCCTCTCGTCCTATTAAATGACTGGGGTCTTACCTGTCTGTCTTTCCCTGATTCCCATGATTCAGCCCCTGGATGGCATCTCGACATAATACTCAGACTTCATGTGGAGCAGGTTCTAAGACTCCTGTGGGAGTAAGACACAGGGAGGTCACACCTTAGTGCACAAGCCTTCCTGGTGGGGTGGAAGGACAGCGAGCAGAACCATGGCTCCTCAGTTGCTGGGCTCGAGCCAGGGAAGAACCAGATGTTTGGCCCTGCACCTGGGGCCATCATTTTCATCTCCACACTTGGTCCAAGCCCACTAGTCCATCAGATCCCGTTTTCTTTTCCCCAACACTTGGGACAGTCCTGGGGAAACTCCTTCCGTGTTCATATAAGGATCTCTGCCCTGGTTCCACCAAACATGAGATCCTAGGCCCTCAACATTCCCTTAGAGCAGGCGTCCCCAAACTTTTTACACAGGGGGCCAGGTCACTGTCCCTCAGACCGCTGGAGGGCCGCCACATACTGTGCTCCTCTCACTGACCACCAATGAAAGAGGTGCCCCTTCCGGAAGTGTGGTGGGGGGCGGGATAAATGGCCTCAGGGGGCTGCATGCGGCACTCGGGCCGTAGTTTGGGGACGCCTGCCTTAGAGCATCATGGATTTCAAGGTCAGTGCGGTTCCTGCTTCCCCTTCCCTCCCTGGGAGACAGATGAAGAAGGCATCTCTTTCTCTCTTCCTTCCTTCAGCCTCCGCAGTAACTCCATTGGACCACAAGGGGCCAAGGGACTGGCAGATTCTCTGAAGATCAACCGCACTCTGACCTCTCTGAGGTGCGTGTCACCTGCTCCGTCTTGTGACCCCAAGAGAGGGCCCAGAAAACCCGCTCCTCAGGCGCGACCTATGAAGAGTGGGAGGTGATTCATGATGGTGGCATAGGGCCAGGCGTGGTGGCTCATGCCTGTAATACCAACACTTTGGGAGGATGAGGCCAGTGGATTGCTTTGGGGTCAGGAGTTTGAGACCAGCCTGGCCAACATGGCGAAGCCCTGTCTCTACTAAAATACAAAAATTAGCTGGGCATGGTGGCAGGTGCCTGTAATACCAGCAAGTCGGAGGATGAGGCAGGAGAATCTCTTGAGCCTGGGAAGCAGAGGTTGCAGTGAGCCGGAATCACGCCACTGCATGCCAGCCTGGGTGACAGAGAGAAACTCCATCTCAAAACAAAGAAAGATGGCAGTCATGGGATACCGGCTCCCATCCCATTCGGTGCTGGGGATCTTGTGCCTTAAGCAAGTTTCCAGGCTCCAGATCTTCCCTAGACTTTGAGCTTGTGTGTGTGGCCTGAGCAGGGGACAGAGGAGACATCAGGGAGCAGTATGTAGAGAAGGGCAAAATCATCTGTTAGGGAAACCTCCTGTGCTGCAATGAAGAGGAAATCCCCAAGGCCGTGGTGTCAACATTTTCCCTTGCGGTATTTTCCAGGACATAAAAAGCCCACTTTCCAGAAGGTGCCTATGGTGTGACGTGGTTTGTTATGTCTCCTTTTTGTTTTTGAGATGGAGACTTGCTCTGTCACCGAGGCTGGAGTGCAGTGATTCAATCTTGGCTCACTGCAACCTCTGCCTCCTGGGTTCAAGCAATTCTCCTGCCTCAGCCTCCCAAGTAGCTGGGATTACAGGCACGTGCCACCACACCTGACTTTTTGTATTTTTAGTAAAGATGGGGTTTCACCATGTATGCCAGGCTGGTCTCGAACTGCACTCAAGCGATTCACCCACCTCGGCATCCCAAACTGCTGGGATTACAGGCATGAGTCACCATGCCCAGACTGTTATGTCTCCTTTAAGAGCCTATGCTTGTATCTATCCTTAGTTGAGCGGGTACCACTTTTCTGTTCTGTGTTTTCATTCACTCATTCATTTATTTTTATTAGAGTGAAATTCATGTAACATTAAACTGTTTTAGGTGAGTCCCAGAGGCTGATGCCTATAATCCCAGCACTTTGGGAGGCCAAGGCAGGTGGATCACTTGAGGTCAGAATTTTAAGACCAGCCTGACCAACATAGTAAAACCATGTCTCTACTTTAAAAAAAAAAAAAAAAAATTAGCCAGGCATGGTGGCAGGTGCCTGTGGTCCTAGCTACTCAGGAAGCTGAGGTTGAGTTGAGCCCAGGAGGCGGAGGTTGCAGTGAGCTGAGATCACACCACCATACTCCAGCCTGGGCAACAGAGCAAGACTCCATCTCAAAAAAACAAAAAAACAAAAACCTGACTGTTTTAAAGTATACAATTCGGTGGCATTTAGTACATTCACAATGTTGTGCCACCATCACCTGTCTAGTTCCAGAATATTTTCAGCACCCCTAAAGGAGACCTCATACCCATAAGCAGTCACTTCCCATTATCCCTTTTCCCCAGTCTCTGGCAACCACCAATCAGCTTCCTGTCTCTAAGGATTTACCTTTTTTTTTTTTTTTGAGACGGAGTTTCGCTCTTGTTGCCCAGGCTGGAGTGCAATGGCGCGATCTCGGCTCACTGCAACCTCCGCCTCCTGGGTTCAGGCAATTCTCCTGCCTCAGCCTCCTGAGTAGCTGAGATTACAGGCACACGCCACCATGCCCAGCTAATTTTTAGTATTTTTAGTAGAGACGGGGTTTCACCATGTTGACCAGGATGGTCTCGATCTCTTGACCTCGTGATCCACCCGCCTCGGCCTCCCAAAGTGCTGGGATTACAGGCTTGAGCCACCGCGCCCGGCCTTAGGATTTACCTTTTAAGGATCTGCCAGACCATGCTGCATAGAGACTGGACCATTCTGCATTCCCACCAGCAGTGTGAGGTTTGCAGTTTCTCCGTATTCTCACCAACACTTGGATCCTGTGTCTTTTTGCTGTAATGAGGACCACTGATGACCTTGTTGTGGTTATTCAGAGAGCACCTTGTTCCCAGCTGGCCAGCAAACACTCAGCAACCCAAAGAAAAACCTAAGCCGCAGGCAGTGGGGCAAAGGGCCAACTGCTCTCCCAGCATGGTGGGCAGTGAGGGCACATAGTGGTCAGAGTTCCTTCTCACTCAAGTTGGCTGATATCCCCTCTTGGGCATTGGTGACTCTGGGGTACCTTGCTCCATAGAGGTGCTCCCACTGCAGAGAGGGTTCAAGCCCCTGGGTTCCAGCTTCTGGTCCATCAGTGATGTGCCTCTTCTTGTCTCTGCAGCCTCCAGGGCAACACCATCAGGGATGATGGTGCCAAGTCCATGGCTGAGGCCTTGGCCTCCAACCGGACCCTCTCCGTGCTGCAGTGAGTGGACACATCTCCCCCTCCCCCTTCCCCTCCCCCTTTCCCTACCCTTCTACCTCTCCCTCCTCCTTCAAGGGCCTCTCTGCCTATTGGCTCCTAGGAAGAATGGATGGGGATAGGACCTGAGGCCTTCTGACCTGTCTGGATGGCCCCTGGAAAGCCTGATGTCCACTGCTTTTGAGAGAGCAGATGTTGGGAAAATAATTAAAAATAAAACCTCCTGGCTGGCCACTTTGGGAGGCCAAGGTGGGTGGATCATTTGAGGTCAGGAGTTTGAAACCAGTCTGGCCAAAATGGTGAAACACCATCTCTACTGAAAAAAAAAAAAAAAAAAAAAGCCGGGCCTGGTGGCTCAAGCCTGTAATTCCAGCACTTTGGGAGGCTCAGGCAGGTGGATCACGAGGTCAAGAGATCAAGACCAGCCTGGTCAACAGGGTGAAACCCCGTTTCTACTAAAAATACAAAAAATCTGCTGGGCATGGTGGTGCATGCCTGTAGTCCCAGCTACTCAGGAGGCTGAGGCAGGAGAATTGCCTGAACCCAGGAGGCGGAGGTTGCGGTGAGCTGAGATCGCACCATTGCACTCCAGCCTGGTTAACAAGAGCGAAACTCCGTCTCAAAAAATAAATAAATTAATAAATTAAATTAAATAAAATTAAAATATAAAATAAAATAGGCTGGGTGGGGGGCTCATGCCTGTAATCCCAGCACTTTGAGAAGGCAAGGCGGGTGGATCACAAGGTCAGGAGATCGAGACAATGCTGGCTAACATGGGGAAACCTTGTTCTACTAGAAATATGAAAAATTAGCCAGGTGTAGTGGAATGTGCCTGTAATCCCAGCTACTTGGGAGGCTGAGGCAGGAGAATCACTTGAACCTGAGAGGCGGAGGTTGCAATAAGCCAAGATCACACCACTACACTCCAGCCTGGGCGACAGAGCAAGACTCCATCTCAAATATATATATATCTCAAATCTATCTATGTATCTATCTATCTATATGTATCGATCTATCTATCTATATGAGATCTATCTATCTATCTATCTCTCTATCTATCTATCTATCTATATGAGATACCTCCTGCCAACCCAGAAAATCCTCTCCACAAATGTAGGAAAGAAAACAACAATCTTGGCCGGGCGCGGTGGCTCAAGCCTGTAATCCCAGCACTTTGGGAGGCCGAGGTGGGTGGATCACGAGGTCTAGAGATCGAGACCATCCTGGTCAACATGGTGAAACCCCATCTCTACTAAAAATACAAAAAATTAGCTGGGCATGGTGGTGCGTGCCTGTAATCCCAGCTACTCAGGAGGCTGAGGCAGGAGAATTGCCTGAACCCAGGAGGCGGAGGTTGCGGTGAGCCGAGAGCACGCCATTGCACTCCAGCCTGGGCAACAAGAGCGAAATTCCGTCTCAAAAAAAAAAACAAAACAACAATCTTATTATTGGATAAACATTAAACTGACTGCAAGGTGCATCAGAGTTAACCCATCAACAAGAGTGTAAAGACAGAAAGTTCGCATTTCTTTTTTTTTTTTTTTTTTAAAGATGGGGTTTCACCATGATGGCGAGGCTGGTCTTGAACTTCTGACCTCAGGAGTTCAAGGATGTGGGTGATCCACCCACCTCGGCATCCCAAAGTGCTAGGATTACAGGTGTGACCTAGAACCAAGCAGATAGGACCCTCCTCCTCAGGCAAGAGGGCCAGGCAGCACCATTTGCCGTTTATCCTAAATACACCAGATAATTGGAGTGGCCATTTGTGGTCCCTAATTGCCTTTATCCAAAGGAAAAGTAAAACTTCTTTTATCTTTATGAAACCCAGGTACTTTACAGCTTCAAGCCAGGGGCCTAGCCTAATTCCCAGGAAGGCAGGGAGAGAGGGACTCTATTTTCCTTAATATTTACATTTCAAAGAGATGACTCCAAACCCTTACAAAAGACATTCCCTACTGCAGTAGTCATTAAGAAAAAAGAAAAAAAGATTTTTTTTTTTTTTTTTTTTTGAGACGGAGTTTCGCTCTTGTTACCCAGGCTGGAGTGCAATGGCGCGATCTCGGCTCACCGCAACCTCCGCCTCCTGGGTTCAGGCAATTCTCCTGCCTCAGCCTCCTGAGTAGCTGGGATTACAGGCACGCACCACCATGCCCAGCTAATTTTTTGTATTTTTAGTAGAGACGGGGTTTCACCATGTTGACCAGGATGGTCTCGATCTCTTGACCTCGTGATCCACCCACCTCGGCCTCCCAAAGTGCTGGGATTACAGGCTTGAGCCACCGCGCCTGGCCAAGATTGTTGTTTCCGCCTCCTGGGTTCAGGCAATTCTCCTGCCTCAGCCTCCGGAGTAGCTGGGATTACAGGCACGCGCCACCATGCCCAGCTAATTTTTTGCACCTTTAGTAGAGACGGGGTTTCACCATGTTGACCAGGATGGTCTCGATCTCTTGACCTCGTGATCCACCCGCCTCGGCCTCCCAAAGTGCTGGGATTACAGGCTTGAGCCACCGCGCCCGGCTAGAAAAAAAGATTTTTAAAAGATTTGCCATTTTAAAAGATTTGTATTGAGCCTCACACAGGAGAGGTTCTGCCTGTCTGTCCTGTGGAATGAGGGCAGTGTTTCTCCTGTGCTGTCTCCCTCCCCAGATTTAGTACAAGAGGGAAGTATCTTTTTCAGAAGAGGAACCTAAGCCAGGGTCTCCCAAGGGAGGGGTGGGAGGCAGCCTGCTGGTCTAGATGGGAGGCAGACTGGCGAGTGAGGGGCCAGAGAGACTTGTCCATGGAGGTCCCAACTCAGGAGGTTGGTGGGCATTATCAGCACCTGCTGATCTCTGCTTTCTAGCCCCTTGCAAGGGAGGCCCAGCTGCCCTCGCCCTTACTCGCCCACATAGTAATGTCGGTCTATTATCATCACTTAGGCAACAATCCAAAGACCCTTCTGGAGAGCCCCCCTCCAACCTGCTGCAGTAAATGAAGAGGGCACCTTAGTTGTCCCTGACCTTGAACCTGAACTGTCCTTGGGTTGGGAATGGCTTTGACCAGCCTTCCTGAAAGATCGCTCTCTTCTCCCACAGCCTGCAGAAGAACAGCATTGGGCCCACGGGAGCCCAGTGGATGGCAGATGCCTTGAAGCAGAATAGGAGTCTGAAGGAGCTCATGTGAGATATATAAAAGGGCCACACTCAGTGCCCAGCACAATGCCCGACCCAGCACAAATATTTTTGAGCCTGGGAGTGGAAAGATGAATGGATGGATGGATTGGTGAATAAATGGATGGGTGGGTGGCTAAATGGACTGACGGATAGGTGGATGGATAGATGGAAGGGCGAATGGGTGAATGAATGGATAAACTGATGAGTTGATGGATGGATGAGTGGATAGATGGATGGATGGATGGATGTTAAGTGGATGTATGGGTGGATGAATGGATGGATGGGTGGGTAGGGGTAGATGGGTAGGCAGGTGGATGGGTGAAAGAATGGATAAATGGATGAGTAGATGGATGGATGAGTGGCTTGATGGATGGGTGAATGGATAGATGGATGGTTGAATGAATGACTGGATGAATGGCTGAATGGACAGATGGATGAATGGATGGGCTGTAGATAGGCAAATGGATGGATGGGTGGGTAGATGAGTGGATGGATAAATGAACTGATGGGTGAGTGGGTTGATGGATGGGTGAATGGATGGATGGGTGGGTGGATGGATGGATGGATGGATGAGTGGGTAGATAGATGGATGGATGAATGTATAAATGGATGAGTGGGTGGATGGATAGATGGGTGCATAGGTGGATGGGAGGGTGGGTGAATGAATGAATGGGTGAGTGGATGGATGAATGGACAGATAGTTTAATTAATGGATGGATGGATGGATGGATAGATGGGTGGATGGTTGAATGGATGGATGGATGAGTGGATGGATGGATGGATGGATAGGTGGATGAATGGATGAGTTGATGGGTGGACTGATGAATGGATGGTTGAATGAATGAGTGGATGAATGAGTGAATGGATGGATGGAGGGATGGATGGGTGGGTACGTGAATGAACGGATGAATGGGTAGATGAGTGGATAAATAGATGGCTGAATGGGTGGATGGATGGATGGGTGGGTGAGTGGATGGATAAATGGATGAGTGGATGGATCAACAGGTGACTGGATAGATGAATGGTTGAATGAGTGGATGAATGGGTGGGTGGGTGAATGGATGGATAAATGCATGTGTGGGTGGATAAGTGGATGGACACATGGCTGAATGAATGAGTGGATGAATGGGTGAATGGACAAATGGATGGACAAATGGATGGATGGGTAGATGAGTGGATGGAAAAACAAATTGATAGGTGAGCGGATTGATGAGTGGATGGGTAGATGAGAGGATGGATGAATGGGTAAGTGGGTGGGTGGGTAGGTGGATGTATGGATGAATGACTGGAAGAATGGACAGATGGATTTATAAATGAGTGGGTGGATGAATGGATAAACTGATGGGTGAGTGGATGGATGGATGTGTGGGTACTGGTTAGCTGGCTGTGGACTCCAAAGCACTTAACTCAGGAGAATAGAGACTCGGATTCCCAGGATTGGGTGAACCTCAACCTGAGAAGGCAGAAGAAAACATTTCCTCACCATCTTCACAAAAAGTCCCCAAAATACTTACCACTAAAGGGCTGACCCTCCTTGCCACTCTGATTTTTTTTACAGGCAACAGGTGGTTCATCTGCAGAGACTACAGCCAACAGGCCTCAGGCAGAACAAACTGCACTGGCCACCCTAGAGACAACAGAGACAACCCTCCCATGAGGGCTTCCCTGACCCTGATCCCTCCACCTAGCCCTGCCTGGCAGTTCCCGGAAGTTGGCTCATCCATATCCCTTCTCTTGCAGGCTCTCCAGTAATAGTATTGGTGATGGAGGTGCCATGGCCCTAGCTGAGGCCCTGAAGGTGAACCAGGGCTTGGAGAGCCTGGAGTGAGTCCACCTGACCCCTGCCAGGGTGACAATTCCCCCTGGGTTCTCCTTCCAGTAGATGGCGGGCTGGCAGTCCTGAAAAATGGCTGTCCCCCAGGGCCATTTCCCTGTCAGCACCAACCCTGGGCACACACTGTCCTCAGTCTCCCCTGCCCCACTGGCTCTGTTTCCCTAGACAGTGGGGGCTGGGGCTGGGGCTGGGGCAGGGTCTCGAGTGTTTGGAATGATGAGCTCCAAGTGCCCTCGAGAAGCCAGCATGAGTGGCTGGAGAGGGAGTCAGCTGCAGCAGCTTTGGTCGGGGGCAAGAGAGCTCAGCGCTGCGCCTACACTTGGGGAACCTGCTGTGCCACTCCCTCTAGGGGCTGCAGACCCAACACACCCTGCTCCGAGGCTGTCTCGGTCCAGCCACATCAAGGGAGGGTTTGAATTTGGGGGCTTGTTGTGCTAAACCCACCTGCCCTGACCTGGCAGGGGCTAGAAGGTGGGGAGAATGGGAGAGTAAAGAGGGATGAGGAAAGGAGCAGTGTGGGCACCACTGTCCCTGGGGCCCCCAACTCCTTGTTGAACCTAGTGCCTCCTGTCCCAGACTGGACAGGGCAGCTCCCTCTGAGTCCTGGGACGGCCACACCCAGGGCGCCTCCTCCTCTGTCCACAGCCTGCAGAGCAATTCCATCAGTGACGCGGGAGTGGCAGCACTGATGGGGGCCCTCTGCACCAACCAGGCCCTCCTCAGCCTCAGGTAGGTCCTGGCCGCCCTCTCTGACCAGGGCGTTTCTTTGATTGGGTGCCTGTCTGCAGGGACTTGGCGCTGGGAAGCCTGTCTCAGGGAAATCTATGGCTGAGGAAGCCTTCCTGGCAGCCTGGCCCTCTTCCTGCTCTCTTGGCCTTTCTGCCACTCTCTTCGCAGATGCAGGCTCAGCCTCCTGTCCCCTTGCACCTCTGGGGCCCTGTTGTCCTGTCCACTCCCTATACTGTAGATGGTCCTACAGCGGGGGTGCCTGGCTGGCCTAGCACTGGCTAGCTGGCATCGGACCCTTCAGACCTCAGCCTAGACTGTACAGAACACTACGTCCCCCACCTGCGGTTTCTTGGGTTTCGAGAAGCCTAAACACCTGGTCTTGGCTCTGCCAGATACGTCCTCGCCTGATTATAAGCTCGTCTTTTGTTTCAGCCTTCGAGAAAACTCCATCAGTCCTGAGGGAGCCCAGGCCATCGCGCGTGCCCTCCGTGCCAACAGCACCCTGAAAAACCTGGAGTACGTGGCAGGGGCCTGTGCCTCTGAAGGCTGTTCATTCCATGGTCACACCCACACTGACCCTGGGCTGACAGGCCCCCTCGCCACATCACAGGGTTGGAGAAGGAGCTGGCTGGGGAGGGCGCAGCCAGGAATCTGGCATCGGGTGGCAAGTCCCCCACTCTCATAAACTGCAGGAGGGTGATGCTGGTGTGACACCATCTGCCTCACCTGGTGGGGATGGATGAGGATGGGGCCATGCCACTGGACAGTGCATCCCAGGAAGCTCCCCCACATCCTGGCAGTGACCTGGCATCGAGCCCTGAATTCCCTGGTGACCAAGGACCGGAGCCTTCATGGTCAGCCCCCTTGGCTCACTTGCTCCTGTTCCTTTCCTCCTAGCCTGACAGCAAACCTCCTCCACGACCAGGGTGCCCAGGCCATTGCAGTGGCAGTGACAGAAAACCGTGCCCTCACCTCCCTTCAGTGAGTCTGCAGCTTTCTACCCTGCTGTGTATCCCTTCTGCAGAGCTGAGGGGCTCCACCCAAACCAATAATGTACAGGCCAAGCCTGGTTTGGGGGCACCCCCTGCAAAGGTCTCAGGGGCTGCCCTGCTGCCAGCAGGCTGTGCCCCATCCTGTGTTCTCCTGATCCACAGACAGACAAGTGTTAAGAGGTAGTCACAGCCGGGCCTCCAGGTGCCCATGGGGTTTCATGCAGGGGCCATTTGGCGGTGTCTTTCCTTGCTTAGTCCCCAGCCCTCTGACCATGGCTAACCAGGGAGTACACGTGACCCTCTGGGGACTAAGCCTGGGTGGGGGTTGCAGGAATTCTCCTGCCACATCCTGCAGGGATTCCAACCCTGCCATCAAAGCCCCCTTGGCTCTGCCCCAGGGCCACGTAGTCACATGTATGTGTGTCTGTGTCTGTCCAGCCTGCAGTGGAACTTCATCCAGGCCGGCGCTGCCCAGGCGCTGGGACAAGCACTACAGCTCAACAGGAGCCTCACCAGCCTAGAGTAAGTTGGCCTGACCAGGGACTGTGGGGGGCAGAGGAATCTGAAAACTTGGTGCCCAGCAGGCAGAGGCTCAATTCAGTGACCCTTGGCACACAGCCTCCTCTTCCCTAAGGCCAGCGGGCACATTTCAGTCCTTGATCCATCTGCCTTTTAAATACATTGGCTGGGGATGGAGGCTCACGCCTGTAATCCCAGCACTTTGGGAGGCTGAAGCAGGTGGATCACCTGGTCAGGAGTTCAAGATGAGCCTGGCCAAATGGCAAAACCCCGTCTCTACTAAAAATACAAAAATGAATCGGGTGTGGTGGTGCATGCCTGTAATCCTAGCTACTCGGGAGGCTGAGGCAGGAGAATTGCTTGAACCCAGGAGGCACAAGTTGCAGTGAATTAGTGTATAATTCACTGGTTTCTGGTGTATTCAGTGACCCAAGAATCACAATCAATTTTACATTTCTATCACCCCAAAAAGAACTCCTGTCCCCATCAGCACTCACTACCCATACTCCTTTTCCCCAGCCCTGACAACCACTAAACCACCGTCTCCATGATCTTCCCACTCTGGACATTTCATATAAATGAAATTGTATAACATGTGGCCAAAAATGGAATCCCATAACATGTGGCCTTTTGTGGCTGGCGTCTTTCATCTGGTGTCAGATTTTCGAGGTTCATCCATGATGTAGCCTGTGTCAGTATGTCCTTCCTTTGTAAGGCTGAATGATATCCACTGTATGGTTAGACAGCTGTTATTTCTTAATTCATCAGTTGATGGACATTGGGTTGTTCCTCCTTTGCTGTTAGGAATGGTGCTGCTGTGGACATTGGGGCTCCAGTTTCTGTGTGGATGTGAGCTTTCCTACTCCTGGGTGGATATACCTGGGAGTGGGATCGCTGGGGCCTATAGGAACTCTAGGTTCAACCTTTGGAGGCTCATTGGCCTTTCTCCTTGAGCATTTCTTCTTTTAGCTTCTAGGATGTCCTCTCTGACTGGGTCTTGCCCTCCTTTCCTCTGTTTACCTCTTCAGCACAGTGCTCCTCAGGGATCTGTCCCATGCCATTTTCCCTTGCCTGACATCTCTCTTCTGGGAGCTCTCCTCTCCCAGGGCTCCAATGACCTTCAAAGTCCCAACGACTTTCCTATCTGTGTCCCAGGCCTTTCTCCTGAGCCGTGGACCTGCACGTCCACACTCACTCTGCACCTCCCCTCAGGGTCTCACCTCTCTCCTGAGCCCCAGACCTGCGCATCCACACCCCTTCCCCAAGTCCCCCTTGGGGTCTCACTTCTCTCCTGAGCCCTGGACCTGAGCTTCGACACCCCCACAGCACCTCCCCTGAGGGTTTTGCAGGGGTGCAGTTTCCCCACATTCTCTCTCCCAAAAACGTGCTTCTTGGTTCCCCATCTCATGAATGGAACCAACTATGCAAGCTAGAAACAATGTCTTCACTCTCACCTCCCACCTCTTTTTCTATCATTTTTATTTTATTATTTTATTTTTGAGATGGAGTCTCGCTCTGTCGCCCTGACTAGAGTGTAGTGGTGTGATCTCAGCTCACTACAACCTCTGCCTCCTGGGTTCAAGCAATTCTCCTGCCTTAGCCTCCCAAGTAGCTGGGACTACAGATGTCCAACATCATGCCTGGCTAATTTGTGTGTGTGTGTTGTGTGTGTTTTAGTAAAGACGGGTTTCACTGTGTTGGTCAGGCTGGTCTAGAACTCCTGACCTTTAAGTGATCCTCCCACCTCAGCCTCCCAAAGTGCTGGGATTCCAGGCATGAGCCACTGCACCTGGCTTATAATTTATTTTTAAAAATAATATGTACAATTTTTTTTAAGAGATGGGGCCTCACTATGCTGCCCAGGCTGGTCTTGAACTCCTGGGCTCAAGCAATCCTCCCACCTTGGCCTCCCAAAGACCTGGGATTACAGGTGTGAGCCACTGTGCCTGGCCACCGCCTGCTTCCTATTCATTGTTAAGTCCTGTTGGGTCCCCTCTGTGTCCCTGCCACCCACCCGACTCCCTCTGTTCCACTGCCACCACACAGGCCATCAGCACTGCTCACCTCCATCCCTGTGGCAGCCTCCACGTCAGTCCATCCTCTCACACTCCTGGCCACAGACCTTTCCAGAATGCAGCTCTGTCCCCGTCTTGGGTGCCAACCTTGAATGGCTGCCCAGGGCCTGCAGAGTAAAGTACATACAGCCCCTCTGGGTGGCTTCTGGGACCCCTAAAATCTGCTTCCTTTGTCCCTCCCTGGACTAGTTCCTCACTCCCCCAGGAACTTAATTCAATTTGTTTGGGTTCCTTAGCTGAGCCAGGCCTGCTCCCCACTTTGGGTTTTGACCTATTGCTTCTGGGGAGCCTTCTGTGACCACCCACCGCTTGGGTTTTCCCTGCAGCCTGCACTTGGCTTGATGTAACTGCTCACTTAATCACATCTTCCCATGTGAACCTCAAGAGAGCGACTTGGGCCTGCGGCCTTGCTCAACACCTAGCACACGAGACACAGTGAAACTTTTTTTTTTTTTTGGAGACAAAGTCTTACTCTGTTGCCCAGGCTGGAGTGCAGTGGCATGATCTTGGCTCACTGCAACCTCCACCTCCTAGGTTCAAGCTATTCTTCCTTAGCCTTCCTAGTAGGTGGGACTACAGGCGCCCTCCACCATTCCTGGCTAGTTTTAGAATTTTTAGTAGAGATGGGGTTTCACCATGTTGGCCAGGCTGGTTTCAAACTCCTGACCTCAAGTGAGCCACCCACCTCAGCCTCCCACTGGGATTAAAGGTATGAGCCACCACACCCTGCCACACTCAAATGTCTGTTAAAATAATGAATGCAAACAGCTCTTAGCCTTAAATATACCAACATGCACTTGAGCAAACCTCAGTCATTCACTGCTCCAGGGCCTACTATTTTCCTCCAATTTAGAAGGAAAAAAAATGACATAAAACCCTAATTAGCAAGAATGGCCAAGGAGGTTGGGCGTGGTAGCTCACTTCTGTAATCCCAGCAATTTGGGATGCAGAGGTAGGACTGCTTGAGCCCAGGAGTTCAAGACCAGCGGGGGCAACATAATGAGACCTCATCTCTATCAAAGAATAAAAATATTAGCTGGGGCCAGGCGGGGTGGCTCATGCCTGGAATCCCAGCACTTTGAGAGGCTGAGGTGGGTGGCTCACGAGATCAGGAGTTCAAGACTAGCCTGGCCAAGATGGTGAAACCTTGTCTCTACTACAGTACAAAAAATGAGCCAGGCATGGCGGCGGGTGCCTGTAATCCCAGCTACTTGGGAGGCTGAGGCAAAGAATGGCTTAAACCCGGGAGGCGGGGGTTGCAGGGAGCCGAGATCGTGCCACTGCACTCCAGCCTGTACAATAGAGCTAGACTCTCTCAAAAAAAAAAAAAAAAAAAAAAAAAAAAAAATTAGCTGGACACAGTGGCCTGTGCTCGTAGTCCCAGTCTCTAGTAAGTACTCCAGTCTTCTCAGGAGGCTAAGGTGGGAGGATCACTTGAGTTGGGGAGGTTGAGGCTGCATTCCAGCCTGAGTGGCAGAGTGAGACCCTGTCTCAAGAGAAAACAAAACAAAAAAAAAGCTCCAGGATTGAGGGCTTTAAGTTCATTTTCTGGTTGGCCATGAAAAGCATCCCCTTTTGTGTCCCAAGCCCCTGTTGACAGTCACTCCATGTGTCCCATTTCCTGCTTGCCCCTGGCAGTTCACAGACCCCTCTGTGTGCTACGGAGGGAGGGTAGTTATCCCCAGGGAAACGCTGGGAGTCTATGTCTATGGTGTGTGTAGTCTGTGAAACCTAGCAGGTCCCAGGGGGGCATGCCCTTGCTAGAATGCTCCCTACGCCCCATGCACTTGAAGGGGTCACGTTCTGTGTTCAGTTTACAGGAGAACGACATCGGGGATGACGGAGCATGTGCGGTGGCCCGTGCACTGAAGGTCAACACAGCCCTCACTGCTCTCTAGTAAGTCCTAGATGTGTGTGGCAGCCAGGAAGCCTGGCCCCTTCACCATCCTTTCATGTTAGATGTCTTTTTGGTTTGTCTTTTTCCAAGACAGAGTCTTGCTTTGCCGCCCAGGCTGGAGTGCAGTGGCACAGTCTTGGCCAACTGTAACTTCTGCCTCCTGAGTTCAGGTGATTCTCCAGCCTCAGGCCCTCCCAAGTAGCTGGGATTACAGGAATTTGCCACCACACCCAGCCTAATTTTTGTATTTTTAGTAGCAACGGGTTGATCTCAAACTGCTGACTTGAGGTTATCTGCCCCCCTCAGCCTCCCAAAGGGCTGGGATTACAGCCGTGAGACACTTTACCCAGCCTAGACGTTATTTTTGTTTATAAGTCAAGGAAGGTTTATAAGTCAATTCAAACACCTAGAGGAGAGCAATGAGCGGGTACAGGGAGCAGTCTCCCGGAGCCCTTCCAGGGAGAGCCTCTATTTCTCCTATCTTTCGCATCCAGATCTCTGTCTTAGGCAACAGTGTAGGTAGCAGACGGAGTGCCTAGACAGGGCGCTCGCTGGCCAGAAACTCTCAGTACTGTTTCTCCACTTTCCGCTCTGAGTCAAGGGGTGGTGAAAGGGAAGGGCGTGAGTTGGGCCTAGCTGGCTCACACTGATGGCGCCCTCCCCGCCCTAGTCTCCAGGTGGCATCCATTGGTGCTCCGGGTGCCCAGGTGCTAGGGGAAGCCCTGGCTGTGAACAGAACCTTGGAGATTCTCGAGTAAGTATTCCACTCTCCAGCTACGGTCTTTAAACCAAAAGAAATCAGTGAAATCTCAATGAATAGATACGGGGACAAAGTTTACAGGCAACTCACAAATCATCCTAGTGATCATTTCAAGGCAAGTGTGCTAGCTTCCCAGCCCCACTTCATGCCTTTCCCTGGGAGTTACTATTGTTTGCCCTCCTCTCCAGGTTGGCCTTGCCAGGCTGGACACGTCTAGAGGCCTGGTTTATGGGTCCCGGGGTGGCTGATCTTGTTCTATGAGCAGATCCAAAGTCGTGGGGTAAGGCTACAGCTCTGAGGCTCAGGGGTGTCCTCAGAATCCCTGCCCTTGCTGTGGGCACTGGGCACCTGCCCAGATGGAGGGCTGCCTCTCCTGTCTCAACCTCGCTTTTCTGTTTGGAATGGAAGTGGAGGAAGGCTTCAACAACTAATCTGGCTGGGCCAGCCATGCCCCTTCCTATGTGCCCTGCTTCCCAGAGCCAGCTCTGCCCTGTTGCCCCGGAGTGAGGAAGGCATAGCCCTGGCCTCCTGTGACTGCTAAAATCCTTGTTTCCTCTACCAAGTAGCCCCAAGCCCACCTGAAGAGGGTTCAGGATCACCTCTCAGCCTGTACCCATGCCTTAGGCTTCCTGTCTTTCCCGACAGCTTAAGAGGAAATGCCATCGGGGTGGCTGGAGCCAAAGCCCTGGCGAATGCTCTGAAGGTAAACTCCAGTCTCCGGAGACTCAAGTAAGTGGCTGGAGGGACCTACCTGCATCCTGGAACAGCAGAGTCTCTGCTGGGTCCTCCCCGGTGGGATAAAATGCTCCCAATTTCCTCTGCAGCTACTTCCTTCTGAATATAAATAATCAGACTTATTAATATAGTCCACATTCCCCTGCAGTTGGGTTTGTTTCGTCTGCTCAGCTTAAGTCAGAAGTCACTCCCATCTGCATTTATGGTGTTACATCCTCCATGGCACTAGGGTGGGACGATCTGGCCACGCGTAGACACCTGTCTCCAGGGTCATCTGCCACCTACAGTTGCCACAGCACTTGTGGACACATCAGCCTAGGTTACTGCCCCCAGACAATGCAGTGTTGCTTTCCTGGGTGTTTCCTTCTGCCCCAGTGGCTCACCATGGTGGCTCCATCTTTTCTCTGGCTAGTCTTCAAGAGAATTCCCTGGGGATGGACGGGGCAATATTCGTTGCCACGGCACTGTCTGGAAACCACAGGCTCCAGCATATCAAGTGAGTGCACCTGCCCTTCCTGCTCGCCCTTATAACTGTTTCCAGGTCACACCCTGCCTTTTGCCCAGGTCTGAGAGCCAGCTGACCCCCAGACCCCTCAGAAGCCCTACAGGGAAACCTGGTCTAAGGGGAGCCATCTTCAGCCTTGTCCATGGCAGGAATCCTAGAAGCACAAACTGCATTTTCTGTCATGATGATCTGCTCTACTAAAGAGAACCTGCAGGCTTCCAGCCCTGCTTTAATCCATCTCTTCTAGTCTCCAGGGAAACCACATTGGAGACTCTGGGGCCAGGATGATCTCAGAGGCCATCAAGACAAATGCTCCCACGTGCACTGTTGAAATGTGAGCAAAATGAGTTCCTGTTGGATGGAGCAGGAGGACGGGCAGAGTCAGCTGGAAGCTTTCGAACAGAAACGGCAACTTCTGGGGACCTTCCTGGGAGCTGGGAACGCTGCTCACTCAGCACGAGAGCTGGGCTCCGCACGGAAGGAGAGGTGCTGCCAAAGGACATCGTGAGCCCCTCTCCTGGTGGCAGGAGTGGTCCAGGCAGGGGCCAACGGGTACTCTGCTACAGCACAGAGAAGGGAGGGGGCCACCACCAAGGGACTAGGGGACAAAGGCCTGAAAGCTCAGCATTGCAGGAGGCTAGTTCCGGCTTATTTACAACCTGAGGACTTCATATGCCCCCAACTCTTAAAAATGTTGATTACTGCCCCTTTCCACTCACCTGGTTAAAATCAACTCAAGTCTGTGAGGAGCATGCGTTTGGGAGGGGCGACAGAGGGGACCCTTCTTTCTTTTCTCAAGAAGAAGGTTTTAGGGCATCAAGCTTACAGACATGAAAAAATTATGGAAAAATTGTGAAGGAAAATTGAAAGTTTTAATTCTAGGATTCTAGAAAAAGAGACAAGAGAATTGATTTTTTTTTTTTTTTTTTTCAGACAGAGTCTCGCTCTTGTCACCCAGGCTGGAGTGCGGTGGTGCCATTTCAGCTCACTGCAGCCTCCGCCTCCCAGGTTCATGTGATTCTCCTGCCTCAGCCTCCCCAGTAGCTGGGATTACAAGTGCCCACCACCATGCCTGGCTACTTTCTGTATTTTTAGTAGAGATGGGGTTTCTCCATGTTGCCCAAGCTGGTCTTGAACTCCTGACCTCAGGTGATCCAGCAGCCTTGGCGTCCCAAAATGCTGGGATTACAGGTGTGGGCTACTCCTGGCCCCATCTTTTATTCACTACAAAATCAAAGATGTGGGCGATGCCTGGCACATGTTATCTGGAGTCTGGCACATTGGTTATCAATAGCACATCCAATGTATTCAGTGACGTCTTTTTTTTTTTTTTTTTGGAGACAGAATCTCTCTGTTACCCAGGCTGGAGTGCAATGGTAAGATCTCGGCTCACTGCAGCCTCTGCCTCCTGGGTTCCAGTGATTCTCCTGCCTCAGCCTCCCAAGTAGTTGGCCTACAGGTGTGCACCACCATGCCCAGCTAATTTTTATATTTGGTCAGGCTGGTCTCCAACTCCTGACCTCAAGTTATCCACCCACCTCAGCCTCCCAAAGTGCTGGGATTAGAGGCATGAGCCACTGTGCTCTGCAGTGATATCATTCCTTAGTAGGCTTCCAAAGCCACTGCTGTGGCCACAGCTTCCCTATGGAGACAGGCAAGCTGAGCTTCTATGTGGCACGAATTTCCACAGCTGTTTGTGTTGGAAGGAAAAAAATCCAAATGGACACCACAGCTCTCATCAATTAAAGAACCACAGAAAATGTTTATGAAGACTATAAAGCAATGATCACTTTTGAATTTGAAAGGAATCACACTATTGTTTAAAATGTTTCTTCAAAAGTGAGCATCCAGACCGGAATCATCATGGATGCTAAGGCCATGGATACAGGCCTACGTGGGAAGATGATATCCTCACAGTCTCAAAATAGCAACCCACGAAGGTGATAATCCTAATTTACAGAAGTAAAAAGGTACCTTCATCTAAAATCTGGCCAATGCAGCCTGAACAGAAGTGACAGAATTGAACATCGCTAATAATGGGAAAAATGGACATCATGTGCCCCCAGTCTGATGCACCACAGAGTCGTCTCTGATGTAGTCTTCTTGTCAAAAAACGTTTGCCTGATACTAATCATGAAGGAACAATTAGAAAAATCCAAACTGATGGATATTCTGCAGAATAAAAGGCCTGACCTCATCAGAAACATCTATGTCATGAAAAACACAAAAGGTTGCAGATAGTGTGAATTAACTTAGCAGAGTTATACCTTAATGCAAGATATTTGGCTGGATCCTAGACTGGAGGAAAAAGTCTGCTATAAAGAACATTTAGATCACTTGTACTAGCTGGGAAATAACAAACAAAACGTTATTTGTAAAAGGGGGAAATCTGAAAATGGCTCTTGCAGTATTCATGAGTTTGTGCTGGGCATAGACTTCTAGACTGACAGCTGTTTCAGTGATTTTAAGGTGATGCCCCACTGCCTGCTGGTTTGCATCGTTTCTGTCTGAGTGAAGAGCTTGGCAGAACACAGAGAGAGCTGCACAGCCAAACAATGGAGAAAGCTGGACCCCACAGAAACCTAACACTGAAGAAACCTCAGGAACCAAAGTGGTGGAGAAAACACAGAGTCCTTCCTCTCTCCCTTTTCAAATAATGATCATACATCTTCAAGCTGTCTGAAATGGTTAGGGAGTTCAGGGATGCACCAGAGCTGGCTGGCCCAAAAATCCCATCAGAGCAAAACAGAAGAATTTAATTCATGTCCACACAGAAAGGACTTATAGGTAAGATGAAGGCCCTATAGCTCCCTTCCAATTAAAGGAGTCCTCAATTCTAGCACCTGAGAGTCCCCTGGGTCTAACAGCTGTGATATTTATGTAGTGTGTTGCTCACCTAAATGAATATAATTTCCTTCCAGACAAGTGACATTGATATTAAAGTGCTAACAAAAGGGATCTATTTATTTTATATATATATATATATATATATATATATATATATATATATTTTTTTTTTTTTTTTTTTTTTTTTTTTTTTGGGAGACGGAGTTTCGCTCTTGTTACCCAGGCTGGAGTGCAATGTGCGATCTCGGCTCACCACAACCTCCGCCTCCTGGGTTCAAGCAATTCTCCTGCCTCAGCCTCCCAAGTAGCTGGGATTACAGGCACATGCCACCATGCCCAGCTAATTTTTGTATTTTTAGTAGAGACGGGGTTTCACCATGTTGACCAGGATGGTCTCGATCTCTTGACCTCATGATCTACCCGCCTCAGCCTCCCAAAGTGCTGGGATTACAGGCTTGAGCCACCGCGCCCGGCTCTTTTTTTTTTTTTTGAGACAGAGTTTCGCTCTTTTCATCCAGGCTGGAGTGCAACGGCGCGATCTCGGTTCACCGCAACCTCCGCCTCCGGGGTTCAGGCAGTTCTCCTGCCTCAGCCTCCCGAGTAGCTGGGACTACAGGCACGTGCCACCATGCCCACCTAATTTTTATATTTTTAGTAGAGATGGGGTTTCACCTTGTTGACCAGTATGGTCTCGATCTCTTGACCTCGTGATCCACCTGCCTTGGCCTCCCAAAGTGCTGAGATTACAGGCGTGAGCCACCGCGCCCGACCTTATTCTTCATGTTAAAAGAGAAACAATAGTTTAGATTTCCCATCAGAAGTTCGAGGACTTTGTTTTTGGTAACTAGTACCAATAAAAATTGAGTATCTGAAAAATTGCTTTGTAGTTTCCATCAATACACATTTTTAAAAGCATTTTAGGAAGTCCTCTAATTATACAGCAAAAAAATTGTCAGCAGTGGCCTGCTAGTTTTTCACTGACCGAATCACAACCATCCTCCTCAGGTTCGGAGGTGTGCTCTGTTACTTGGCCAAAACCACATGGTGCCAGGTCACAAGGCACTTGCACCTATGTGACTCCTGGATCCATTCTACAGTGGGTCACTATTAACTGAAATACTTTAATGAAAATGATCAAGTACACAAAGCCTGCTGTTGACAGAAACTTCCTTGCTCAAGCAAGGCAGTGCTACTGTACACGGTGAGACTTTGCACAAAGTCAGTTCACCAACAGATGAACTAGAAGCAGGTGGCACAATGAAACACCCTTTGCAGCTGTTGCCTATGTCTGTGGATGGGCTCTTTGTAGCTCAGGTTAGGCTTCTGTGTTAAAGTACATTAGAAGAAAATATCACATAAGGAAAATAGAACTCTATTTGCATGTTTTTTTCAAAACAGACATCAAGTCAGATTCAGGCAAACCAAATCCATAACATCCAAGAAGATGGAGTGATGCTACGGCATCTTAAAGCCACGGCATCTGAGGTGGCTGGCATGGCTTCAACACACTGGCTTCCCTGTCAATGTATCATTTACAATACAGTGCATTTCAAACTACTGGTGAATTCAATGAATGCTGGCTGTTTTTTTTTTTTTTTTTTTAAAGGAATAATCTTAAAATTTAGGAAAAGAAAGAGGAAAAAAAGCAAAGATGACAGAAATAATTGTCACAATCTCCTAAAACTGATGTCTATCCTATCATACTTGTGAACTCCCGAATAAGGATTTATATCTGACAGGTACAAATAAAATTATAGTTTTAAGTAAAATCTATTTAATAATATGAAATATGGTGTTAAATACATTTATTAAAAGATAAGTAACTTCAGAAGTCTTCCGAAGTTTTTAATTGTAAAATAATAAAAAATTGTTTGTGCTTTTCTTTATAATGTATACTTTTTTATTTTTTGAGATGGGGTCTTACTCGGTCGCCCACGCTGGAGTACTATGGTGTGATCTTGGCTCACTACAACCTCCGCCTCTGGAGTTCAAGGGATTCTCCTGCCTCAGCCTCCCCAGTTGCTGGGGTTACAGGCATGTGCCACCACACCCAGCTAATTTTTGTATTTTCAGTACAAATGGGATTTCACCATGTTGGCCAGGCTGGTCCCCTGATCTCAGGTGATCCACCTGCCTTGGCCTCTCAAAGTTCTAGGATTACAGGTGTGAGCCACTGTGCCCTGCCTACTGTATGCTTTTTACAAGCAGCATGCTTTTCTTTTTCTTTTTTTAAAGACGGTCTCACTCTGTTGCCTAGGCTGGAGTGCAGTGGCACGATCAGGACTCATTGCACCCTCAACGTTCTGGTCTCAAATGATCCTCCTACCTCCTGGTCTCAAATGATCCTCCTACCTCGGCCTCCTGAGTAGCTGGGACCACAGGCATGCACCTCCACACCTGGCTAATTTTTAAATTTTTTTGTAGAGATGGTGTCTCACCTAGTTGTACAGGTTAGTCTCAAACTCCTGGGCTCAAGTGATCTTCCCATCCTGGCCTCCAGAGTAGCTGGGCCCACAGGTGCTTGCTACCACACCCAGCTAAGTACTTTTTATACTAAAAAAACAAACTCCACTTCTAATTTTACAATAGAAAAATTTTTCTAGAGCTACTACTCTACCTAATTCAATCCTGTGTTGCTGTTTTTTAAAATCAGAAACAGGAACCTATGCTGACACTTAACTGTCTCCTTCCCCTACAGACACACTTAGGTAGTGAGCTGGAGGAAACCTGCCTTAGTCCCTGTGTTGTGCACTAATGGCTTGCCACACTTTAGGCAAAACAAATCTCCTTTAGAGAGACCCTGGCTGGTGGGAAGGAAGTGTCCGGCTGTCATTGCCATGGGAGTCTGGAAGCTCCGCGAGGGCAACCCAGGTCACCAGAGTTTTCAAACTTAGTACCAGCTGTGGAAACATGAAGGTGGCTGTAATGGAAGGCGAACTGGACTCAGAGAGAAAATGGAGTACTCCTCATCTGGAGCCTGTCTCTACTGCCTGATTTTCAAGGAAAGTCAGTTTTCATTTAACTTTAGCTCACCTTCTTTCAGCAAATTTTAGTTATTAAAATACATTTAATGCTTGGTATGGTGAACATGCAGAAGAAAGAAAATAAGACTACAAAATGAATTAAGGGCTAGAATTAAAAGTTGATGTACAGGAAATGTTCTAAACTGTTCAAGTGATTAACAGCCGGATGTTCCTCTACCATTCCGAACACAAGTCCCAGTGCCAAGCTCCAGCCCCAAGTCTGTTAGATTCTCAGAGAAAATGTACAGTATCAAAGGCAGCCGAGACTTGCGCGGCATCAGCTCTTATTTCTCCTTGAGTTTTTGTCCCGTGGATGTGAATCACTAACAACACACACATTCCTCGAGTTTTAGGAGATAAATAAGGTGAAAAAGAAAAACCAACTTAGATTTGTTTCAATTCTTATTTAAGCTTCATGGAATGCAAACAGAAGGCTAAAGCAGAAATAAGTATTGCTTCAGTATTCATTGAGTCCAGCCAGCTTAGCGAACAAAACAGGCGTTACCTTCCTAACCTTCTAAGTTCCCATTTACCTACACATCTGAGGGTTTTAATCTGCCTGGGTCCCTTGGCAAGAAGGTCAGAAGTCGTTGTCACTGTCATCCAGGGGTTCAGGTTTCTTGACCCTTCGACTGGGCTTGGTTGGCGAGAGAGCAATGCTCTCATCTTCCAAATCCTCATCCTCATCATCATCTTCCATGTCAATTTCACTGTCCTCCGAGTCCTCCTATAGGAAAAAGATGGCAGACACAACAGGGGGCCCCACTTCATTCCTGACATCTTGTCCTAGGATTCTCTGCTTCCCTTTCTATAGCAGCACCCCCGTGTGAAGGAAGAGGCCCTGGCAGAGTGACAGGCAGGCTGTGGGATGGCATACGGATGGGAATGAGGCAATGTTCTGCCAGCTGGAATGTATCATTCAACCAGAATCCTTCAAACACCAGGTGCATCTGGCTGTGGCGCTGCAGGGGCTGGCCTTCCTACAATGTCCTAGAAGCACTCTGGATCTGCACTGAGGACCACAGGACCCAGAGACTCCCCACCACAAATGGCAAGGAGGGCAAAGGCTTGGACAGAGGGAAGGGAGGCCTGTTTTGGCTTTTTGCAGATTGTGGATGGAAAGCAACACAGGCACGGGTATAAGGAGATAAGTAAAAGATACACCCTCTCCCTCCTCATCAGATCCAGTGCAACCAACTCAGCTCAGCTTTAAAATGGCAGGTCCTGCGCCCCATGTAAACCAGGATGGCTGGTCATTCTATCTAGATCATTCCCGCCAGTGCACACACATGCTGTAATTTCCTTCTTGGAAAAAAAAAAAAAAAAAAAAAAAACCCATTACATATTCCCACCTTCCTCTCCAGCTGCTCTAGCCTGTCTCTCTCCCCTCACACAGACCTCCTGAGTGAGTTGCTGAACTCACTGTCTGCACCGGTGCCCCTCATGGCCGTTTCAGATCCCCGGGGCTCTCAACCACTGACCCCAGGACTGCTCTTGTTAAGACTGAAACATTCATTGGAGTGGGAAGATTCCGAGGCCTCAACTTGCTTGAGCTGTGGAATCAAACGTTCATCCTTAAAACCAATCTCCTCCAACCCCCAGGGCCCCTTCTCTAGTCCACGTCCCCCTCCCTCACTGCCGACATCCCGTCAGCTTCCCCTGCCTGCCCTTCTTCCCCAGCCTCTGCAGGGCAGAGGCAGCTCAGAAGCTTGGGCCACCTCTCTTTTCGTTCTACCTGCTCTCCCTAGGCAGTCACATCTATCCTTTGGCTTAGATACCATCCAAATATGGGTGGCTCCAAAAATTCAATCTCTAGCCCAGACCTGGTCCTTAAACTCCAGACTTAAATTCCACCTGGCTACTCAACTCTAGCATGTGGCTGTCACAGTCCATGTCCAAAACCAAACTTTCCATCTGCCCTCCAAGCCACTTTGTCAAGTTGGCCCCATCTCAGAAAATGAAACACTGCTTTCTGTTGATTATACCACAGCCCAGGCACCCTCATTTCTCTAATAGCCTCTGTCTAATCAATTCACAAAACCTGATGGTTCTTAGAGACAGATCCAGGACCTGCCCACTTCTCAACACCTCTGCTGCCACACCTTCAGCCAAGCACCATCACCTGTGACCTCCATGGCTGCATGTGCCTCCTAACTGGCTTCTCTCAGATGGAGGTCAGCTCTTGGCCCTTCTGGGCTCACGATTCTCCAGGGTCTTCTCGCACTCAGATAAAACACAGAGTCTTCATCTCACCCTTCAAGGCTCTGCATAGCCCCTGCTGCCTCTCTCGCTCACCCACAGTCCCGCCAGCTCCCTCTGCTCCTTGACGTCAGAAGCGCATCCACATGCCCAGGTGCTGCCAATCTACGTGCTCGCTCCCTCTACTCAGACCCTGCGCAAACACCAACAGAGCCCTCTGCTGACCTCATGGAAGATGCCACTCCCTCCTTTGTCCCTGTCACTCCCTGTCCCCTGAAGCTGTCCCCTCCTGTTAACAGTATGAGCCCTGATCCATCGTTATTGCTGTGGTGCCAGCTGTGAAGCAGGGGCTTGTCTCTGCCCCCTGCTGTGTTCCCCATGATCCACGATAGCACTGGCACCTGGCAGGCACTCGACAGACATGTGTTGGATGCTGAGTAAACACATAACGGAACCCTGTGCCTGGAGGGCTGCATGGATACAGCCTCCTCAAAATTAACAAGTGACCAAAAGGGAATAAAGCTCAGCTGCAACACATTCTCTCTGAGAAGAGAGAATGCAAACCCTGAGGAAGAGGCAGGCAGTGCTGCCCTTGAATCCCCAGTGCCCATGCTAGACTCCCTCAGCTTCTGTCTTGGGTAGGCAAGATGGAGAGAAGCTATTTACCATCCACGCCCGAGCTTGTTAAGAAAGCTACTTTCTAGGTGCTCTCTCTGCTTCTCTACAGACCTTGACCTGTGAATTCAAGGCCCATCTCTGTGCATGCTGCCGGCAAGTCTGGGCAGCCTCTCCCCACAGTGAATTCCGTGGCAGCACCAGCTGCGGGTGCATAAATCTGTGTGCAAGAACATACAGCCCTGCTTCCATCTCTGCGGCCACTAGTGCCACAAGGCACGGGTGCACCCACCAATGAAGCAGCCTGGGGTCACTCTGTCTAGCTGCTCTTTGCTGTGTAAGCTGAGCAGCACTTCCAGGGATGGCAACAAAGAACAAAGGCCTGAGTAATGGCCAGCATAGCCGTGAATGACCGGACCCCCCACGAAGATCCCCAGGCTCCCCTTCTGGTGAAGTGCTCCAGTGAGTTATCCATTCAAGGCAACCTGCCATCTCAGCCTCATCATGCCCGGTGCCCGAGGGCCTGGTCTGGGGACAGCACTGCTTCCCTGTTCCTTCCCCAGTACAGAGTAGGGGAGAGGGCTGGTCCTGAGCCAGGCCCTTGGCGTCCTCCTTCATTTCTAGATTACAGCCCAGGGCCTGAGAACTGCCCAGCCTCAGTTTTCCCCATCTCCAGGCTTAGGGCTTGTGCCTCCTCCTTACCATAGGGGCCTTCAGTGATCCTGCTCTCACTGTGGGATCCCTTTCGAGAGGCTTTTTGCTGAGGATAAAGGAAGCATCACTCCTAGGGAGAGGCCCCCGACTGGCCCTGGGAGGGCTGACAGACACCCACAAACGCACGAGGCAGAACAGAAAACCAACCTGCTTCTTGGAGCTGGAAGTCTTGCATTTACCTAACAGAGCTGGTGCTGCTTCCATCTTTGGAAAGCGAGAATGGAAAGAACAGTGAGAAGGCAAAAAAAAAAAAAAAAAAAAAAAAAAAAAGCAGAGCAAGCACATTCACTTGAAAAGAAATGAGCCATCCACGAGCCAGGAAGAGTCTAGAACCTCACGAGGCCAAACCCTGCCACACATCGAGCCACGGCCGGGCTGACCACAGACGGCTCCCTGGCTGCTGGCAGCAACTCAGCCACTCTCATCTATGGGGACAGCCAAGCCCACAATACACAGAACCGCTGAAGGGAGCAGGAGACTTACATTGTCATCGGAGTCTCCACCTTGCATCGTGCCCACAATGCGTTTACCAGGTCTTCCTGAGAACAACAAAAGCATGAAGAAGTCATAAAAAATCCTTGGAGAATAAAGCAGGAAATAGCATTCAAGATTTGTTTTCTGGCCAGGCGTGTTGGCTCATGCCTATAATCCTACTTTGGGAGGCTGAGAAAGGAGGCCAGGAGTTTGAGGATAACCTGAGCAACATAATGAAACCTTATCTCTACAAAATTTTTTTAAAAAAATTAGCCAGGTATGGTGGTTCACACCTGTAGCCTCAACTATTCAGGAGGCTGAGGCAGGAGAATTGATTGAAACCAGGAGGTGGAGGTTGCAGTGAGCTGAGATCACGCCACTGTACCCTAGTCTGGACAACAGAATGAGATTCTGTCTCTCACACACATACACAAAAATGCAACTGTGCTCCAAACATTAACAGGTGGTAGATAAGAATTATTTTTAATGGCAAATATAAGACAATTTTATAGTATTAAAATAAAAATTTACAGAACCTTTGACCTAAGACTTTGCCTTTTAATGATGCAACCTAAAAATATACAGACATACAGAAAGCTGGACATACAAGGAAACGAAGGGAAATAAATATCAATATGAGAATGTACATCATGGGTACAGTCGTGCTAGGAATATGATATAGCCATTAAAAAGTAAGGGGCAGGCCAGGTGTGGTGGCTCACGCCTGTAATCCTAGCACTTTGGGAGGCTGAGGCAGGTGGATCACAAGGTCAGGAATTCAAGATTAGCCTGGTCAACACAGCGAAACTCCATCTCTACTAAAAATACAAAAAATTAGCCGGGCGTGGTGGTGGGTGCCTGTAAGTAATCCCATCTGCTTGGGGGCTGAGGCAGGAGAATCGCTTGAACCCAGCAGATGGAGGTTGTAGTAAACAGAGATCACGGCACTGCACTCCAGCCTGGCAACAGAGCCAAGATTCTGTCTCAAAAAAAAAAAAAAAGTAGGGGGCAGAGCTATATTTTACTGACAGAGGAAGAGTTCCAATTGTATTTAATCTTTAAAAACAAAAGCAAGCTGCAGAACCATACATACAGTCTAGGTGCACATAGGTTACATATTTTTGAGGTGATCTCTATGTATGTATGTATATGTGTGTATATTCGTATGTATATGTACAGAAAGGCAATTTGTAAAGACACACCCACCCTGGCCACTAGCCATGAGCCCTCCCAGGTGGGTGTGAGACATGAGGAAGACTCCAGGAGAGCATGCACATTAGCTCTACAAATTTTGTTGCCTGAGTCTTTTTTTGTTTTTAACTTAGTTTTTTGTTTTGTTTTGTTTTTGTTTTTGAGACGGAGTTTCGCTCGTTACCCAGGCTGGAGTGCAATGGCGCGATCTCGGCTCGCCGCAACCTCCGCCTCCTGGGTTCAGGCAATTCTCCTGCCTCAGCCTCCTGAGTAGCTGGGATTACAGGCACGCGCCACCATGCCCAGCTAATTTTTTGTATTTTTAGTAGAGACGGGGTTTCACCCTGTTGACCAGGATGGTCTCGATCTCTCGACCTCGTGATCCACCCGCCTCGGCCTCCCAAAGTGCTGGGATTACATGCTTGAGCCACCGCGCCCGGCTGTTTTTAACTTAGTTTTAAGAGACCCTCTTTGTTGCCCAGGCTGCAGTGCCATGGCTATTCATAGACACAATCATCATGCACTAAAGCCCCGAGGGTGGGCTCAAACAGTCCTCCTGTCTCAGCCTCCTGAGTAGCTGGGAATAAGGTGTGTGCCACTGCGCTGAGCCTTGTTGCCTGAATGTTTTGCAAGGAGTAAATAAATTAGAAGAACTTTTTTTTTAAGGCAGAGATGCTCATTTAAGTGTCTTTCTGCATTAATTCTCAGCCTAATAGGTATATAATTGCAGTGAGAGCAGTCTAAGACCCAGAAAAGGGAGACTATAGTTCAGTGGCAGAGGCAGTGTGTCCTGTGGCTCTCTGAGAAATACCAAGTCATGAATATGAACCATCTAGTCTTGGGATCATAGGTAAGAATATTAGGGGCAAACATGACCACTGAACAGTTCAAGAGCCATACACAACAGGACAGGATAAACCTGGAGCAAGAGCTGCTTCCAGCATCCATTCATAGTGCGCCTGTGGGACTCAACACTAAGCAGCCCTGCCCCAGTCCTGGCCAGGTGTTCTGTGAAACAGGGCACGGGGAGGTGGGCCAGCGAAAGACGCCGGCTTACCTTGCATGAGCACCTCCATGGCTGTCCGCGGCTTGGACAGCCGCCTCTCTTCCAGCTCACTGTCGGATTCATCGTCCTCCTGGATGTCTACGTCCGAATCATCGTTACCTGGCAGAAACACAAGTAGGCCAAACAAAGGAGTGGCTGCATCATCACAACTCAACAGCTCTGCCCAAAGTAAAGTTTGTGTGCAAAATTCATTTGTACTTCTAGCCTTCCTTTAGATGCATTAGATTTCATGAGACTCTCTGGATTTGCCGGTAGATGCTTAGTAAAGACTTAATGTGGACAATGATGTGTTGTGTGTGTGTGTTTTTTTTAATTTCCAAATTTCCAAAGCAAGAAAAAAGTGGGTCAGACATGTTAGTCAGAAACAGCACTACAGTCATCAGAACAGCACCGCTGACTCCTCCAATCCCATCCTTCCAAAACCTGCATGGCTCCCTGGGTGCAGAGAAGTCAGTGCCAGCCAGTGAGGTCTTTACATATTCTCTGCAAAGACTTTCAGGAAGATGATAGTTTTCAAGCTAATTGTGTGGAAGCCCTTGAAGGAAATCTGAGATTGTAAAAACTGAATATCCAGCTGTCAAGTGCTTGGTTAGTTCAGGGAAAAACCCATTCTCTGTCCAATGTTAGGCTGTGTTACCAGAACTAGAGCTCCTAGATCGTGACAAAGATGAGGAAGTGGAGTCTGCTAAAAAGGTAACAAAAAAGCCTGCAGGCAGGAGACCAGGGTAGGAATGGCACCAGTGAGGCTCCCCTGAGGAGGGTGATCCTAGTGACTGGCAGTGAAAGCTGGTGATTCGATGTTCTCCCCTGGGGCAAATCCCACCATACAGATAGATTTTTTCAAAGTAATTTTCTTTCTTTCGTTTTTTTGAGACAGAGTCTCACTCCGTCACCCAGGCTGGAATGCAGTGGCACAATTTTGGCTCACTGCAACCTCCACCTCCAGGATTCAAACGATTCTCCTGCCTCATCCTCCTGAGTAGCTATGACATCAGGCATGTGCCACCACGCCCAGCTAATTTGTTGTATTTTTAGTAGAGACAGGGCACCACCATGTTAGTCAGGATGGGCTTGATCTCTTCACCTTGTGATCTGCCCACCTTGGCCTCCCAAAGTGCTGGGATTACAGGTGTGAGCCACTGCACCTAGCCCCAAAGTCATTTTCAATGGAACAGCTCTTTATATTACTTTTTTAAATACATTCTTTGGAGTCCTGTACCCACAGGCTGAATATTTCCTAAATGGAACCTACAGAAGGAGTCTCCACTGCAGGGAGAAAGACCTTTCACTGCCTGCCACCTGAGTTCTCTGCACCCAGGGAGCCACAAAGGTTTTGTAATGATGGACTTGGAGGAGCCTGCAGTTGCTGTTCTGATGACTGATTCAGAAGTTAGTCTGGAAGAACAGTAATTGTTAGTCTGCCAAAAGGCTTTGCTTTGCCTCTGCTACAAGAGGGTAATATGGCTGGGGGCGGTGGCTCACGCCTGTATCCCAGCACTTCGGAGGCTAAGGTGGGCGGATCACCTGAGGTCAGGAGTTCAAGACCAGCCTGGCCAACATTGGGAGAGAAATATTAATGAAGAAAAAAAAGGAAGTTCCTAATGCCACAGTGCTGAATCCTGCATAGGGCACAGTAACAAATTTGCCACCAGCAATGAGGTTTAGAGGGACAGCGGGCAGATGAGATGCTTCTGGCTTTTATTACAGGATATCTGAACAAAGCACTTGGCCATGCTGCTCTCTGAGGCCCTGATGGCATTCTCCTATCTCTGACCACCTCTTTTTTCTACACCCCACGTCTCAAACTTTCTCTCTTCCTCAAGTCCCTTATGCCAAACAAACTCTATCACCGAATCCCAGATGAATTCACATCCCACTTTAAATAAAGATGGTATCCATCAGATGGGACCACTTCAAGCATGTGACCCACCTTCCAGCTCACCTGACCTGCCTGGCTGGAGTCCTGTGGTTCACACATTTCCTCACTCAGCCAAACGCATCTCCTCACCTGGGCGACCAAGTTTTTGGGAGCTTTCCTCATCTGCTTTCTCCTTTCTCTCCAGCTCCACCGACTTAGTCTTAGCTCAAGTAGCATCTCCTCAGTGAGGCCTACCCTGACTCCACTTAAAACTGCAATTCTATCATCCATTTCCCCACCCCATCCTTTTTCATTCTACGTTTCCCCCACAGCAGTATTCCCCTTCCAACATACAGCTCAGTGCTCACTGTTTCTCTCCTCTTACTGGAATATAAAATCAGTTAAGGCAAAGATTCCTGTCTTTTGTCCACCGATACATCCTCAGCATCCAGAACAGATAATAATACTTTGTTGAGGCTGGACATGGTGGCGCATGCCTGTAGTCCCCGCTATTCTGGAGACTGAGGCAGGAGGACTGCTTGAGCCCAGGACTTGAGCAGACAGTCAACTCCAGCCTGGGCAACACAGCAAGAACCCCAAAAATAACAAAAACTGTGTTGGATTCAATCTGCTGTCTGCAGAACAGATGGAACAAGAGGATCTCTTTGAGCTTTTGGCTTTTGTTCATTCTTGCCCTTACTTCAAGTTTATGCACCACTAAATTTTCTGTTCAGAGGAGTCTTTCATAGATGGAGAAAAAGTCACAAAGTCCTCATTTCTATATTTCCCCACTGATCCCAAAACTCTGCACCACAATCCCACATGTGCAGGAAAGCAAAGATGAATCAAATAGCATCTTCAGAAATTCAGGATGAACAGAACTGAAAATGGTCCTGCATAAAGATTTTCCTAACTTCTTTGTCCACCCCAAGATAATTAAGTGCTACCCTTCATTATGTTTATTTAAATTAGAAATTATTTTTCTGAGAAAACTGAATCACATATGCTCATGTGTCTTTGTCCCTCAAGAGATCACAGACCTACACATCACCAAATTAAAGTGTGAGTTCAAAAGAATAAAGCAAGATCAGCATGGTAGGTCTCAGCACCCTGGCCCAGGGAAAGAATGGGATGCAAGGAACCAACCAGGGCTCTTATATGAGCTGGGCCTCTCAGAAGGGATAACCCCATGCAGGCTCATCACTGCGGGCTACCTCACACTCTTCTGGCTGACAAGGAATTAAAAAAGGGGAGGGCAGCTTTGGCTAGACAGGCCCTTCAAATTTCCTAACCCTGTTCCTGGAGGATTTCCCAGCAGTCCCTATTCTTCCACCGGGGTTTCCTGAGATTCAGATGATAGAGTCACAGAACGGGCAAAACGAGAGAAACAAGGGAAATGGCAAAGAAAGAGAAACAGAGAGAGAAAGAGCATGCATGGGAGGAAGCGCGTGTGTGGGCCTGATGCCTCAAGTATGCTGTCCTCAACATGAGAGCAAATAGAGTATTTCACCAAGAAGAAAAGAGAGAGCAATCAGGAAGAGGAGGAGGAACCTCGTGCAACAAGGCCACCAATTCAGGAGGAAGACCCTGCCTGGCTGCTACTGGCTCCCGACACAGACTTGACACTGAGTTCATGGATAAGAGAATCTGACTGGTCACAGGCAGCACTCCTTCCCGGAATCGAGGCCTTGTATGGACGTAACCCTGTGTTTCTCCAGGTGAGTGTCTTGTTGAGCCATTCTGGATTATGAGGAGCATCTCAGCAGTGTTGGGACCATCACGAAGCGAGTGGCCCCTCTGCCTGCACCGCATCCCAATGCTATCAGTCAGCCCCAAAATACAGAACACTACACACCTCTGGGACCACATTTTCTTACAGTTACGTATCATATATAATTCAAACTATCATTTAAACAGGGGAAAATGCTATGTTAATTGGCACAAGAAAGAAATGTGTTTTAAATGCTGTATTTAAACCAGACTCTTGAGGGAATACAATGCTACCCAATACAGAAGCTGTGAGGAAATTGCCTTCTGAAAATATTTTTGCCCCTATGGTCAACAATTTATTATGCTTTCCAAAACTGAAGATATAAAGTGTTGTTACCACAGTAAAAAAAAAAAAAAAAAAAAAAAAAAAAAAAAAAAAAGCTGAAAAAACTTAAAGAAGAAAATACATATTTTAAAATATACATATATTTCAAGGCTGAAAACCGCTAGTACAGAGTAAACGGCTTGTCTACAAAGCCCAGCCTTACTTCCACTCTTGAGCAGGCGCTTCTCTTCCTCCTTGAGCTTGTTCTGTATCAGGCAGAGAGTGTTTTTAGCCTCCTGTGGAAGAGGAAAAACAGACTGAGGAGAGATGGCCCTTTTCTGGACTGTTCTAATCTTCTTCACTCTTACACCTAATACTCTGTTGTGTAAGGACTGCTAAGTTTGTGCTACAGAACAAGAAAAGAGCTAAACTCAAGGAAGGGGAAGAGAATTAACACTGCCTGGGCAACTCCAGTGTTCCAAAACTTGTTGCTCTCTCTCTGTCAGGTCACCTGGTGGCCTGGTGGACGGGGGCGCCCAGAGTGAAGCAGCTGCCTCACCCCCATGCTTCTCCAACTGCATGTCCCTGCTTCTGAGGAGAGTTAAATGCCCACATGTGCCTGGATGGCCTGGGGACACAGAACAGACACATATAACTTTAGGAAAAAGAGACATACAGATTTTATCATTTATTTTCCCTGCCCTGCCTTCAGATTTCAGCTCAAAAGATGCTCAATGATGGAACAGATCAAGATGGGAAGAGAAAGAAAGAAATGCTAATTTTAATTCCTGGGGTAGGGACAGGAGGAGGAAATATCTCAGGTCATAAAATGTGGCCCTAATTATCAAGAAAAGAGAATGGGGGCTGGGCATGGTGGCTTACACCTGTAACCCCCGTGCTTTGGGAGGCCAAGGCAAGGAGGATCACTTGAGCCCAGGAGGTCTGAGGCTACAGTGAGCTACAGCCTGTGTTCCAGACAGAGTAGCAGGCAACAGAGTGAGACCCTATTGAGAAAGAGACAGAGAGATAGCCATAGAGGTAGAGATAAGAGATAGACATAGAGACAGAGAGAGAAACAGAGAGAGAAAGACAGAGAGACAGAGACAGACATGGAGGGAGGGAGGGAGAAAACTGGCTTTTAAATATTTTTGTTCTAAACAGTAAAAATAAAGCACTGTGTTTTAGGCATGGAGTATCTCAAGGTAACAGGTATTCTAAGGACAGAGAGTGAAAGTACATAGGAGAAAAAGCGATGTACTTGTTGAAGAAGAGGTAGGGTAGAGGGGCTCCCTTGGACGTTACCAAGGCCACCTACCCACCATTCTGAGGCATACTGTTTGGTTTGTTCTCTGAACCCAGAGGTGGCCCCGGATGATACAACAAAATGGCCAAGATTTCTTTGCACTGCCCTTGACTGTCCTTTCCCAGGTACCCAAATGTTTAAAATGTTCTAAACTCCAGACTCTTTCCAGTGCCCTCAAAATATGCCTGTCCTATATCGTTTCTCCATGGCCTGCCTGTGGCACCGAGTAATGCTAGTAACGAATTCCTCGCCAAGATGACATGTGTCCACACAGATGCATTAGGGACTCCCAGTTAGCCCTCCTGGATGACAAAACAGCTCTGCCCAACTCAAATGCCCAGGCTTGTAAGAAGCCTAGCATTACCTTAATACCAAAAGCTGTCAAGGGCATGAGAAACGGAGGCTGCAGATCAATTTCATCATGAAAATGGAGTCTAAATGACCATTGGATGGTTAAGAAGAAGTATCCCCAAGGGATAGGGGAATTCAAAAATTGATCACAACTTGGTTCAATTTCCTTTGCTCTAAAGTCCACATTTATCAGCTCATGCTAGGGTATAAAATAGTCCTTCCTAAATGGCCTTACTCATTGGGATGAGAAATACCTATAAGACAGTTGGTCAGGTTCAAGGCCACATATATTTCCCACAATCAATAAACTGCAATTCCTCTTTATAAAACAATCTCTAATGAGCTATTTTAGTGATTTAATTAACCAGGACTTGAAGATCTTTTTTTTGAGATGGTGTCTTGCTCTGTTATCCAGGCTACAGTACAGTGGTGCAATCTCAGCTCACTGTAACCTCCACCTCCCAGATTCAAGTGATTCTCCTGCCTTAGCCTTCTGAGTGGCTAGGACTACAGGCGCCCGTCACTGCGCCCAGCTAATTTTTGTATTTTTAGTAGAGATAGGGTTTCACCATGTTGGCCAGGCTGGTCTCAAACTCCTGACCTCAAGTGATCTACCCGCCTCAACCTCCCAAAGTGCTGGGATTATAGGAGTGAGCTACCATGCCTGGTTCTTTTTTTTTTTTTTTCTCTGAGACAGAGTCTTGCTCTGTCAACCAAGCTGGAGTGCAGTGGCATGACCATGGCTCACTGCAATTTCAAACTCCCAGGCTCAAGCAATCCTCCCATCTCAGCCTCCCAAGTAGATGGGAACACAGGTATGCAACACCAAGCCCAGCTAATTTCTTTTTCCTTCATTGTAGAGACAGGGTCTCACTATGTTGCCTAAACTGGTCTTGGACTCCTGGGTTCCAGTGATCCTCCTGCCTAAGTTTCTCAAAATGCTGGGATTATAGGTATAAGCCATAGCACCTGGCCTTGAAAATCTTTATGTGAACTGACCGAGCAGGCTTTTTCATTTTTGGAGACAGAGTCTTGCTCTGTTGTCCAGGCTGGAGTGCAGTGGCACAATCTTGGCAACCTCTGCCTCCTGGGTTCAAACGATTATCCTGCCTCAGCCTCCCGAGTAGCTGGGACTACAGGCATGTGCCACCATGCCCAGCTAATTTTTGTATTTCCAGTAGAGACGGGGTTTTACCATGTTGGCCAGGCTGGTCTCAACCTCTTGACCTCAAGTGATCCACCCACCTTGGCCTCCTGAAGCCAAGCAAGCTTTTAAATCTGCACTTGAGACCAGCTACATAATTTGTGGGATCAGTGCAAAATAAAATGCACTCAGAAATTATTATGAATTTCAAGATTGTGACAACAGAGCCTGAAAGCAAGCAATGGCTCCTCTAGGGGCAGAGTGTTATGCAACCACACAGGCCTCAAGTCAGCCCTGTCTATACTTAGTTATTAACTGACTAAATCTGATGGAACATGGCACCGAATATTTGACAGCCCTGTAGTCCACGAAGGTACACTACCAGCAAAACAAATGAATTACACGAGCAGTCCTCAGACTGACCAAGGAGAAGCAAAATGTCCTGATATTTTTTTCACAATGATATTAACAACATGACCTGTCACCAAGTACAAAATAACACACCAGAAGGAATGGCCTAACAGAGGACAGGCTAAGCTCACCTCAAATCTTTCTTGCTCCATCCTATGGTAGTCTTCAAGCTGTTGTTCCAGGTAAGTCAGATTTTGAAATTTCTCCAGATAAATGTCATACTGCTTTTGTAATTCTTCCTCAACCTTTTCATACTCATCCATAAAGCATGGCCTAAAACAAGCAAATGAAATAAAAATGAAAAGGTGAACTCATATGCAGTAGTTTGAAATGGGTATTCACAGTTCCAAACTCCATGGTGGCTTTCTTTGGAAACCCTTAATTAGAGAAGGTCCTTCATTCTTGTAACTACTTAAAAATATTTTCCTTTCTTGTTCCTCCCCACAAAATGAAGATACTTCTTTTTCATCATAAGATGTGCTCTTTGTAAAAACCTGAAATAATCCTGAAAGTATGAAGAATGATGTAAAAATTACTAATAATTCCATCACCAAGTATAAGCGCTTGATATCTGACACGTATCGCTCCAGACTTTTCTATGCATAAATATAGATAGGAATGCATTTTAAACTAAAATTAAATATACCAAGAAGTTTTATAACCTTTTTTTCATTTCAATATAGCATAATGTCAATAGAGTTAAAAATAATCAGGCCGGGCACAGCGGCTCACATCTGTAACCCTAGCACTTTGGGAGGCTGAGGTAGGAGGAGGTTTGAGCCCTGGAGTTCGAGACTGCAGTGAGTGAGGATCCTCTGACCTAGCCATGGCACCCTAGCCCTCCAGCCTGCGTGACACAGCCAGACCCCATCTCTAAAGACAAAAAAATCACATTCCAGACACATCTCTCAAAATCAACAAATTAAATACATATAATTATCTTATTTGGGTATAATGTTCTACTGTAGGCCGGACACAGTGGATCACACCTGTAATCCTAGCACTTTGGAAGGCGTAGGTGGGCGGATCACCTGAGGTCAGGAGTATGAGACCAGCCTGGCCAACATAGTGAAACCTCGTCTCTACTAAAAACACAAAAATTAGCTGGGTGTGGTGGCACATGCCTGTAATCCCAGCTACTTGGGACGCTGAGGCAGGAGAATCGCTTGAATCCAGGAGGCGTAGGTTACAATGAGCTGAGACTGCACCACTGTACTCCAGCCTGGGTGACAGAGTGAGACTCCATCTCAAAAATAATAATAATAATGTTCTACTGTCAGGATATTACAAATTTTAAGCAGTCCTCTAAAAAGGGGACCATAGGCTGTTATAAATTAAAGCTGTTGTTTTGTTTTTTTGAGACAGGGTCTCACTTTGTCACCCAGGCTAGAGTGCAGTGATGCGATCATGGCTCACTGCAGCATCAAATGCCTGGGATCAAGCGACCCTCCTGCCTCAGGCCCCCAAGTAGCTGGGACTACAGACATGTGCCATCATGGCCTGGCTATTTTTTATATTTTTTGTAGACGTGAGGTTTAGCCATGTTGCCCAGGCTGACTCTTGAACCTGAGTTCAAGTGATCTGCCCACGTTGGCCTCTCAAAAGTGCTGGGATTACAGAGTGAACCGCTGTGCCCAGCCTAAAGAGGTTTTTTTTTTTTGAGACGGAGTTTCGCTCTTGTTACCCAGGCTGGAGTGCAATGGCGCGATCTCGGCTCACCGCAACCTCCGCCTCCTGGGTTCAGGCAATTCTCCTGCCTCAGCCTCCTGAGTAGCTGGGATTACAGGCACGCGCCACCATGCCCAGCTAATTTTTTGTATTTTTAGTAGAGACAGGGTTTCACCATGTTGACCAGGATGGTCTCAATCTCTCGACCTTGTGATCCACCCGCCTCGGCCTCCCAAAATGCTGGGATTACAGGCTTGAGCCACCACGCCTGGCGAGGTTTTTAAACAATAAAATTTTTTTTTAAAAGGCCAGGTACAGTGGTTCATGCCTGTAATCTCAACATTTTGGGAGGTGGAGATAGGTGGATCACAAGGTCAGGAGTTCAAGATCAGCCTGCCCAAGATGGTGAAACCCCATCTCTACTAAAAACACAAAACATTAGCCAGGTGTGGTGGTGGGCACCTGTAATCCCAGGTATCTGGGAGGCTTAGGCAGAGAACTGCTTGAATTTGGTAGGGGGAGGTTACAGTCAGTCAAGATCACTGTACATAATCCCGCAACAGAGCGGGACTTCATCTCAAAAAAAAAAAAAAAAAAAAAAAAAAAAAAAAAAAAAAAAAGACCAGGCACTGTAATCCTATCATTTTGGGAGGCTGAAGCAAGCAGATCGCCTGCGGTCAGGAGTTCAAGACCAGCCTGGCAAACGTGGTGAAACCACATCTCTACTAAAAATACAAAAATTAGCTGAGCATGGTGGTGCCATGCCTATAATCCCAGCTACTCAGGATGCTGAAGGAAGAGAATTGCTTGAACCAGGGAAGTGGAGGTTGTAGTGAGCTGAGATCATGCCACTGCACTCCAGCCTGAGCAACAAGAATGAAACTCTGTCTCAGAAAAAAAACAACAACAACAAAAAAAACATAAAAATCGATTTCAACTGGTTTGGTGAACTTTTTCTTTCTTTCTTTTTTTTTTTTTTTTGAGACGGAGTTTCGCTCTTGTTACCCAGGCTGGAGTGCAATGGCGCGATCTCGGCTCACCGCAACCTCCGCCTCCTGGGCTCAGGCAATTCTCCTGCCTCAGCCTCCTGAGTAGCTGGGATTACAGGCACGCACCACCGTGCCCAGCTAATTTTTTGTATTTGTAGTAGAGACAGGGTTTCACCATGTTGACCAGGATGGTCTCGATCTCTTGACCTCATGATCCACCCGCCTCGGTCTCCCAAAGTGCTGGGATTACAGGCTTGAGCCACCGCGCCCGGCTAACTTTTTTTTTTTCTTATTATTGACCTTAAAGGGAAAACTCTACTCTTTTAAAAATATAAGCAGATAAACTAAGAAATAATTATAATCTTTTGAACTGAAGCAAAACAAAGAGACTTTTCTGTTAAAAGGATTTGTAGCTTAACAAAAATGAATTGATGCTTTAAAGATGGAATGTGTCAACCAGATAAATCTATCTCGTGGTACTGACTTTTTTTTTTTTTTTCTTCCATGAGGGTCCAGAGGTAAAGCACTGGTTTCAGGAGGGGAAGGAAGGGCCTGGGCCTTGCAGTGGGTGGGGAGGAGCGTGGCCGCTCCCTGTGGTTGCTTCCAGGTGCTGGCTCCCCACAGACCTCAGGATAGCGGCCAGGGTGGAGCCAGCCACCAACATCCAAATAGGCAAAACACATTCAAGCAGAGGCGGCAGCTGGGAAGAGGAAGGAGCCAAGAGAGAAAGAAAAATAAAGGGAGAATGAAAAGGGAGAAAGAGCAGCAGCATGGGGGAGGAAAAGACGAAGACACAGCAAAGGAAAGAGGCACAGAACGAGGAAGAGAAGAGAGAGAACCCCAGAAACTCGAGGAACACACTGAAGAGGTGCCACTATTCTCCATCGGTATTCCCGAGAAATACATTTCCAATGAGGTAAAGTAGGAAGAAAGATGAATTACTGACTGATGAAGAATGATCAAGGTTTAAATAAAGCCTCAAATCTATGCCAAAAAAAGGGCAGGAGTATGTTTCTGTTTCTATCTAATTTATGGCAAGCTCTTAGAAGAGCAAGTCTGGATTTCCCCGTCTGGATTCACTTACTCTGCCTTGAGTTCCAAGAAGCTGTAAAAGCTTAAAGGGCAGTGAAAGCATTAAGTGGTTTTCCAGACATACTGCAAGCAGTAAAGAGAATGAGTTTAGCCATCTGCTTGTTACGACAGGCAACACATGTACATTCTGAGGTGAAGATATCCTTACGTAAGGCTTTTTTCATCAGTTCAGAAGAGTTAGATCACATTCTATTCTCTTAGTCTTTGTTCTAACTTTTTTTTTTTTCCCTTTAGAGTCAGGGGCTCATTCTGTTGCTCAGGCTGGAGTGCAGTGATGCAATCATAACTCACTGCACCCTCAACCTCCTGGGCTCAAGCAATCCTCCTGCCTCAGCATCCCAAGTAGGTAGCTGGGACTACAGGTGTGTATCACCATATCTAGCTAATTTTTAAAATTTTTAGAGATGGGGATTCATTATGCTGCCCAGGCTGGTCTCAAACCCTTGGGGTCAAAAGAACCCCCCACCCCATTCTCACAAGTAGCTGAGATTTCAGACACGAGCCACCATGCCCAGTTTGTTTTAACTTTCCGGGACATCTTTCTATTCATTCTCCAAGTGTTCATACCTACCTGACACTCTGCAGAGTCTCTAGACGCTTCCGATTTCTTTCCAGTTCTAATTTTCTCTTTTCAATTTTGGCTTCTAAATTAGCTTCATCAGAGGCCACATTATTGAGCAGGTCTTTAGTCTTCTGAACCTGTGTCTATATTTAATAGGAAATAATGAGACAATGTGGCAATAAAAACAGCCATCCTAACTCTTAGAAGAATTTTGGAACTCTTCAGGCATAGCAACATTACGCTAAACAAACACAAAAGCAAACAAATAAAGCAGACACTTCCCCAAGCAATGACTCACTTAACCCACTAGTTACAGGGAGAATGTCACGCAGGTCCAGAAAAAGTTATCTTTTCTTCTCCACCCCCATGAAAAGCAGATGTTTCTGCCGAGGGAAAGAAGTGAAGATGGAAAGAAGAGCGTCCTGGTCAAGGTAGAGAGGACGGCAGTCTTCTGTCTGGCTCGCTTGGCTACAACAAGGTACACATTACTCTGGACAGTCAGTCTGCCTTAACATTCAGGCCATGCCCCTAGTTGTAAACACCCGAGTTACAGAATACAAGCACGCCAAGTACTGCTCTACGAGGAAGGGAGAGAAAGCAACAGCTGGTCTCAGCCCTGCCCCACCACCTGCTGGCATTGAGAGAAGGTCCTCTTCCCTCTCCCTGACAAGAGAAACTTGACTACAGACTGAAAAAAAAGGAGAAAGCACTCTGAAGTCAGTACAGAAGCAGCTCCTGCAGTGGCACTGACCACACTGGTATGCGCCAGCTCTGGAAGGGGCCCAGGGCAACAGTCGGACAGAGGCCCTTAGGCAACAGAGGCTGAGTAAGGAAGGGAGAGGGGACACAAGGCCACTGACGGTGACGCAAGGCTCCACGGTTCATCTGAAGCGAGCAGTCATAGGCAGCGCACTGGCTTCACACGCGTCTTGTCTGATGGCCGGCCAGGTCGCATGCCTTGCTTCAGAGCTCCGATCTCTTCATGAGAAATCTGGACTGCCACCCAGTTGGGCATGCAACTGCCTCACCGGGTTCTCGCTTTCCAGCCCTGCATTAAGTTCCGAATGGCCAAGATGGGGCACTTTGCCTATGGGTAGCATCCCATAAACAGGTTACTCACTGTTTTCCTGCAGGTCTCTGAAAAGCTATGGGCTCCACAGAGAAATGGCCTAAGAAGCCCAGACGCTCTCCATGATTCTCAGAGATGGTGTGTTTTGGAAGCAGCCACTGTTATCGACAATGCATTTATGGTCTGATTTTTTTGGTCTAAGTACACTAAGCATTTCTAAGATACTTTGATTAAAATAATCATATCCTTATCCATTTGCTTTAAGTGTCTTAAAGCCCCCAGGACAAATGTGAGTTCACCCTCACAGGAAGAAAGGTGTGTCTCCTTTCAGAGCAACTTGAGTTAACGGCAACTATTTCCCTGAACCAAAGTCAGATTAAAGCCTAGTGAACTTATCTGACCTTAAACATACCTGTTTCTCAAACAAGAAACATCCATAGTCCAAAACAGCTGTATAAACAATTTTCCCTGGTTTCCGAAATAAATGACCTATACTTCCTAACCCCTTTTAAGTACCCATGTTTTTGTTTTTGTTTTGTTTTTAGAATGATCAAACATCATAGGTATTTTCCAACAATGCAAGGTGTCTTAAGAGATGTCTATAAGAGCCGGGCGCGGTGGCTCAAGCCTGTAATCCCAGCACTTTGGGAGGCCGAGGCGGGTGGATCACGAGGTCAAGAGATCGAGACCATCCTGGTCAACATGGTGAAACCCCGTCTCTACTAAAAATACAAAAAATTAGCTGGGCATGGTGGTGCGTGCCTGTAATCCCAGCTACTCAGGAGGCTGAGGCAGGAGAATTGCTTGAACCCAGGCGGCGGAGGTTGCGGTGAGCCGAGATCGTGCCATTGCACTCCAGCCTGGGTAACAAGAGTGAAACTCCGTATCAAAAAAAAAAAAAAAAAAATTAGCTGGGCATGGTGGCGTGTGCCTGTAATCCCAGCTACTCAGGAGGCTGAGGCAGGAGAATTGCCTGAACCCAGGAGGCGGAGGTTGCGGTGAGCCGAGATCGCGCCATTGCACTCCAGCCTGGGTAACAAGAGCGAAATTCCGTCTCAAAAAAAAAAAAAAAAGAGAGAGATGTCTATAAGAAACGAACCCTGCCCTCTCTTGGGTGTTCTACTTTTAACATATTCGTGCTAAGGGCAGATTGATGCCGTGTTCACCTGATTCAGTTAGAACACTAGCAAGCATAAGAATATAATTTTTTTTTTAATTTTTAAATTTAGAAACAATCTAAAATTTACAGAAAAGCTGTTGTAAAATATAAAGCGTTTTTCCCAACCTAGGTGACAGGAAGTTGCTGACCAGATGTTCCAACACCCTGAATACTTTACTGTATATTTCTTACAAATAAGGACTTTCTCCTACATTCTCAGAATACAATCAAAACAGGAAGCCGGTACTGACACACTACCACCATCTAACCCCAGCCCCATTCCACTGTCCCCACTTGCCCCTGTGAGGTCCCAACAGCAGACAGGAGCCACCTATGTGTCCTGTCATCACATCTCCATAGCCTCTCCCTCAGTCTGAAATGCCCCTCAAGTTTCCTTGACTGTCAGGACCTTTTCCCTTTGGGAGTGTACAGCCTGGTTAGTCTGTAGAATGCCGCTCAATCCGGCTTTGTCTCATTAAAGCCAGGTATGCATCGTTGGCAGGAACACTCACAAGTGACCACATCGTAACAAGGCACGCGTAGTTTTGATTTGTTCTGTAATGATGTTCACTTTGATCACTTGATTAAGGGGGTAACTGACAGGCTTCTCCCTGAGACTCGACTCCCCTCTGTAATTAATAAGTATTCTGTGGGCCAGGCATGGTGGCTCATGACTGCAATCCCAGCACTTTGGGAGGCCAAGGCAGGCAGATCACCTGAAGTCAGGAGTTTGAGACCAGCCTGGCCACACATGGCGAAACCCCATCTCTACTAAAAAAAAAACAACAAAAATTAGCTGGGTGATACACGCCTGTAATCCCAGATACTTGGAAGGCTGAGGCACGAGAATTGCTTGTACCCAAGAGACAGAGATTGCAGTGAGCTCTATTGTGGATCAGAGATGAGGCTTGATATGCCCTGTGGTGATTAATGTTTATAAGGACCCCATACAGTTGGCACTGCAGTTCCTACCATTTTACAGATAAGGAAAGCGAGGCACAGAGAGGTTAAGTAACTTGCCTAAGATCACACAGCAGAATTCAAACCCAAGCAATCTGAGTCTAGAGTCATCCTCACGATTTGCCTTCCAACTGACTGCTTATAGATGAGAGAGTAATTGATGTGGGTGAGCAGTAAACAATGGTGATCCATCGACTTACTACAGTGCTGTTTAAAATTTAGAAAACCGTGAAATCATTTAAATACTAATCAGTGAGGAATTGAGTAAACAAAATAAAACAGAGCATTATTTATTTAAAATTATTGAAGAATTTAAAATTATCAAATTACTGAAACTGATGAATTTTTAATAACATGAGAAGACGTTCTTATTTATAACGGGGGGAAAAAAAGGATAATAAGTGACCTAGGTAGGCTCAAATGTCCTCTAAATTTTTCATTTCCCCACTAACACATCCCTTGTTACTAAGCCTGGCTTGCTCTGTCTTGTACAAACAAGAAATGAGTATTTTTGAGTCCCAGGCATAAAAAACATGATATAAAGGCAAAGTCATCTTACCAAAATCTCTTTTATTGCAATTTTCATCACTTTTTCAGTCTCATTTATTTCCAAAGGTCTGGCAATGGCTTCTGTTCTCATTTCCTGGGGAAACAGTAAAATCATTTACATATATTTTCAGAAAAGGAGTTCTCAAAACCAATACTCCTAAATCTAGATGTGTCTTATGGACTGATTACCCAAAGTTTCATTACAATGTGGATCTCTGATGCAAAAACACTTCCACCATCACCTCCTATAATGTCTTCCACTATCTGAGTGCCCATCCAGCCTCTCTCCAGAGCTCAAGGTGCTACTCTTCAGCCAGAGGCCCCATGTGCCCCCAACTCTATGAGCAAAATTGAACTTAGCATCCATTATCTTTTCTCTGAAATGTGCTGCTGCTGCTTTTTTGTTGTTCTTGTTTAATAGATTTAGGGTCTCACTGTTGCCCAGGCTGGTCTCAAACTCCTGGGCTCAAGTGATCCACCTTCCTTGGCCTCCCAAACTGCTAGGATCACAGGCATGAGCCACTGTGCCTGGCCCCAAATTTGCTTCTTGACCTGATTCTGTCCAGGTGACCCCCAAACTAAGCACAGTTCAACTTGCTGTCAGGATCCCCTGCCAGTTTCTATAATCTTTCTTAGGGGCCGGGCGCGGTGGCTCACGCCTGTAATCCCAACACTTTGGGAGGCCGAGGCGGGTGGATCACGAGGTCAAGAGATCGAGACCATCCTGGTCAACATGGTGAAACCTCGTCTCTACTAAAAATACAAAAATTAGCTAGGCATGGTGGCACACGCCTGTAGTCCCAGCCACTAGGGAGGCTGAGGGAGGAGAATTGCCTGAACCCAGGAGGCAGAGGTTGCAGTGAGCTGAGATTGCACCATTGTACTCCAGCCTGGGTAACAGTGAAACTCCGTCTCAAAAAAAAAAAAAAATCTTTCTTAGGATGAAGTCCCTCTCAGTTGCCTATCACTAACAAACACAACTGGAAAGAACAATTACCATGGCCCTGCCCCTAGCATGAACCATTAACCAATCAAGGGAGATGTGTGACTATCATATCAGTGCTGAAAACTTCTGAGACATGGATTTTAATGTGGATATATTTATAAGGTTTTCTATAGACAATGTCTGTGTGACCCAAAATTCATGTGTTGAAACTCTAACCCACAATGTGATGAAGTTAGGAGGTGAGTCCTTTAGCGCATGATTAGCTCACAAGGGTGGCACCCTCAGGAGTAGGATTAGTGACCTCATTAGAGAAACCCTGGGGAGATCCCTCACTCCTGCTGCCATGTGAGGACTCAGAAACAAGGCACCATCTGTGGGGAATGAGCCCTTGTCAGACACCAAATCTGCTAGTGCTTTCATCTAGAACTTCCCAATCTCCAGAACTGTGAGAAACAAACGTCTGTTATTTACAAGTCACTCAGCTTATTGCGTTTTGTTACAGCAACCTGAATAGAGTAAGACAAGGTTCCTGGAGCACAGCGTCAGCATTGGTCGTGTGCTCCCTTTCCTCTATGGTGCATGTTTGCACGCTGGTGGGAACAGGCAAGGGCAGGGTGAGGACTTAGTCACGGAGGCAGAGCTCATGCCTTGCCTGTGGCTGATGCTGCTCCTCAGTAAATGTTTACCGAGTGAAAGAAAAACAAACATTGGCTCTTCCTTGGATCATGACGACACACAGAGTTTGAAAAGTACTATATTCAGGGTCTCACGATTTCTTTGGGAACAGTTCGGCCACTGGTTACTTCATCATTCTTTACAGGACGGTGTTGAAAGAGTCCCCGTGGGATGGAAGTGAAGTCTCACAATAATGCCACAGCTCCAGTGGCAATCAGCAAGTGGCCAGCTCCTGTCTCTGGGTCTCTTAAGGACATGTACAGATAAACATAACAACACTGCACTACAAACAGAACACAGGGAAAGCCTGGAGTTGCCTTACTCATCACCTGAATTAGCGAGCAGGTATCAGTCGCAGTTTCGTTCTGCCAATCACACTTTACTGGATGGTAACTGCCAAGTCAATATACGATAAGCAGGGATAGTAACCTGGCACCCAAGTCCCTCTTCCCCAGACTTCCACTTCCGGTTTGCTCCCAGGGTATGCCAGAACACAGACAAGGCAGTGAGAAGGAGAAGCCATGGCTGGCACTCCTGACAGGAAGTGAATGAAAGAAATTCACTTAATCTTAAAGTATTAGACTGAGCATGTAAGTTTCAAATGCCATAAATCTTTATAGGTAAGGATTAAACACTACTCCACTCTAGGCCTGGAGCAGTGGCTCATGCCTGTAATCCCAGCACTTTGGGAGGCTGAGGCAGGTGGATCACTTGAGATCATGAGATTGAGACCAGCCTGGCCAACATGATGAAACCCCATCTCTATTAAAAATTCAAAAATTGGCTGGGCACAGTGGCTCAAGCCTGTAATCCCAGCACTTTGGGAGGCCGAGGCGGGTGGATCACGAGGTCAAAAGATCGAGACCATCCTGGTCAACAGGGTGAAACCCCGTCTCTACTAACAATACAAAAAAAAATTAGCTGGGCATGGTGGCGCATGCCTGTAATCCCAGCTACTCAGGAGGCTGAGGCAGGAGAATTGCCTGAACCCAGGAGGCGGAGGTTGCGGTGAGCTGAGATTGCGCCATTGCACTCCAGCCTGGGTAACAAGAGCAAAACTCCGTCTCAAATTAAAAAAAAAAAAAATTCAAAAATTAGCCAGGCGTAGTGACATGCACCTGTAATCCCAGATACTCAGGAGGCTGAGGCAGAATAATCTGCGAAACCTGGGAGGCAAAGGTTCCAGTGAGCCGAGATCGAGCCACTACACTCCAGCCTGGGCAACAGAGCGAGACCCTGTCTGAAAAAAATAACAAAATTTTAAAAATAAAAAATAAACACTACTCCACTCTTTAATAGCTGCTTAAATGCAGGTGATAGCACATACTTCTTGGCTGACATTGGCTGGAATAAGGATTGCAAATCAAACCAGTCTCCATTGCAACATCAACTTCAGCTGACTGGAATTGACGCCAAGATCGCTGGTCTCAAACTCTGCTGTTAGAATCATCTGTGAAAATCTGAAAACTCCCTGTGCCCAGGTCACATTCCATAAGGAGGACCTCAGAGTGAAAGCCAGGCTTCAGGAGTCTTTAGAGATTCCAGGGTATTTGCACTGTGCAGCCAGGTCTGGGAACTGCAAGCTCCAAAGAGAATTTTTGAGAAGAATGCTGAGGCAGAGTACACCAGAAGAAAGCATCATGGTCAATAAAGTGTGCCAGTGGCTATAACAAGGACAGCTTCATCACATGCCATGTACCTGCCGTTCCTGAACAAGAAGTTAAAGGTAGACCAGTGCCCACCAGAAGCAGGAAGGGCAGCTAACATCCTGTATCACCTTTCCACATGTTAGCTCATTCAGCCAGGTGTATTTCATTAAAAGACCACTGAAAAGGGAGAAACAGAATTGAAAAAGAAAATCCTGAAGAGAAAATCTGCATAGTTATGGAAGTACTGCAATGCTTACCCTCAACTCTACTTCCATGCCGAGTAAGTCATACAGAGATGCTCCTTTGGAGGTGATTTCAGATGCAAGCTGCCTGGCTGCCTTCAAATCTGCAATCTGGAAGGAAAATATCAAAAACAGAAACCTCAGCAACAGATTTTTTTGTTTGAGACAGAATCTCACTCTGTCACCAGGCGCCAGGCTGGAGTGCAGTGGCGCAGTTTCAGCTCACTGCTACCTCTGCCTCCCGGGTTCAAGCAATTCTCCTGCCTCAGCCTCCCAAGTAGCTGGGACTACAGGTGCATGCCACCACGCCCAGCTAATTTTTGTATTTTTAGTAGAAATGGGGTTTCATCATGTTCACCAGGATGCTCTCGATCTCTTGACCTCGTGATCCGCCTGCCTCGGCCTCCCAAAGTGCTGGGATTACAGGCGTGAGCCACTGCACCCAGCCAGCAATAGATTTTTAAAAATAGAGACAGGGGCCGGGCGCGGTGGCTCAAGCCTATAATCCCAGCACTTTGGGAGGCCGAGGCGGGTGGATCACGAGGTCAAGAGATCGAGACCATCCTGGCGAACGTGGTGAAACCCCGTCTCTACTAAAAATACAAAAAATTAGCTGGGCATGGTGGTGCGTGCCTGTAATCCCAGCTACTCAGGAGGCTGAGGCAGGAGAATTGCCTGAACCCAGGAGGTGGAGGTTGCGGTGAGCCGAGATCGCGCCATTGCACTCCAGCCTGGGTAACAAGCGTGAAACTCTGTCTCAAAAAAAAAATAGAGACAGGGTCTTGCTATGTTGCCCCAGCTGCTCTCTAACTCCTAGCCTCAAATGGCTCTCCCACCTCAGCTCCCTAAAGTGTTGGGATCATAGGCATGAGCCATCATGTTCAGCCACAGTTTTTGGTTTGTTTTTTTTTGAGATGAACTCTTGTTCTGTCACCCAGTCTGGAGTGCAGTGGTGCAATCTCAGCTCATTGCAACTTCCGCCTCCCGAGTTTAGGCCATTCTCCTGCCTCAGCCTCCCAAGTAGCTAGGATTATAGGCACCCACCACCATGCCCAGCTAATTTTTGTATTTTAGTAGAGATGGGGTTTCACCATCTTGGCCAGGCTGGTCTCGAACTCCTGACCTCGTGATCCATCTGCCTAAGCCTCCCAAAGTGCCAGGGTTACAGACGTGAGCCACCACACCTGGCCCAGTCACAGATTTTTAACAGACATTTAACCACCAGCCTGTTCATGTCAACTTTTTTTTTTTTTTTTGAGACGGAGTTTCACTCTTGTCGCCCAGGCTGGAGTGCAATGGCGCAATCTTGGCTCACTGCAACCTCCGCCTCCTGGGTTCAGGCAAATTCTCCTGCCTCAGCCTCCTGAGTAGCTGGGATTACAGGCACGCGCCACCATGCCCAGCTAACTTTTTGTATTTTTAGTAGAGACGGGGTTTCACCATGTTGACCAGGATGGTCTCGATCTCTTGACCGTGTGATCCACCTGCCTCGGCCTCCCAAAGTGCTGGGATTACAGGCTTGAGCCACCGCACCCGGCCATGTCAACTTCTATCTTTGGTAGGGACACGTGACCACAAACATGTGCTTCCCCAGTGACATGCTCACAGGCTGCAGGACACATGGTCAGGAAATGATCATCTAAGTACTAATGAGACGAATTCCAGGATGCCTGGATCTCTCCAAAAAACCTAATGTCAAGTCAAACTGCAACTGCCAACAAGGAGGCATAACTGGGAGAAAGCTGACAAGCTTCTTACCTGGACTGTGTGCCTGACAGCAGAGGAGTGACCACAGGAAGGGGCAGCCTGAGGGACACACATCCTCCTGCAGCAGCCTGATGGTGTTTCATTCTCCCACATCCTCCTTCTCTGCCTCAGACTTTCCTCCACAAGCCTGGAGAGGCTCCAGTGGGGCAGCACCTACTAAGGACTTACAATGATTCTGGGCTCCACAGAGCGGGCAGCTGTTGCCAGGAAGGCGATGACAACCACGATGAGGATTTAGCACTGAGTCCTTCACACAGGCTTCTTTCTTAAGATGTGCGTGTCGCCCCTTCTTCCTGGAATATGCTAACTCTTCTAAGGAGCCCAAACATAAACGTCTCCCTGCTCTGCTCCCTCTCCCTCTCTCGTGGACAACTCTAATCCCCACCTTCTGGCTCTCACTTTCTTTTTCTTTTTTTTTTTTTTTGAGACGGAGTTTCGCTCTTGTTACCCAGGCTGGAGTGCAATGGTGTGATCTCGGCTCACCGCAACCTCCGCCTCCTGGGTTCAGGCAATTCTCCTGCCTCAGCCTCCTGAGTAGCTGGGATTACAGGCACGTGCCACCATGCCCAGCTAATTTTTGTATTTTTAGTAGAGACGGGGTTTTACCATGTTGACCAGAATGGTCTCAATCTCTTGACCTTGTGATCCACCCGCCTCGGCCTCCCAAAATGCTGGGATTACAGGCGTGAGCCACCGCGCTCAGCCCTGGCTCTCACCTTCAAGCCACCAGCAACAACTCTCCCTCTTCACTTGCAGCTGATGGCTTGCTTCCCTCCTTGGTCCTCCAGGATCCAGCTTGCTCTGGTTCTACCTGCTTTTCTTCCTTTCCTGGCAGCACATCCCCAAACTTCTTTGCAGGAGTCTGTCCCCTTCCCCGCTTCTCAACAGTGGAGTCAGTCGGAGTTCCATTCCTGGACCCCCTTTCTTTTCTGCTGGCTCTGCTTCTATCCTCAAGGCTTTAATATCATCTGTGTGCTGATGCCTCCCCACCTCCAGCCTGGGCTCTCTCTGGGCTCCAGTCTCACACTCCAGCTACCTGAGCACCATCTCTACCTGGACAGCCAACAGGCATGGCACATGGAGCATGTCCAGAACCTTCTCCGTTTCAGTATACAGCAACTTTGTCCTGCCGAGGCTCACACCAAAAACTTCAGAGCAGTTTTATCTAATATAGTAACCACCAGCCACTAGCCATTTTCACTTAAATTATTTAAACATTTTTAAAAATGCAGATCTCAACTCAGTTCCTTAGCTGTGCTTGCCACATGTGGCCAGTGGCTCTTGCAGAGTATAGCACAGAGGTGGAACACACCCACCAGCTCAGCAAGCTCTGTTGCACGGCTGCCCGAAGACCTTGCCTGTAGCACCTGGCTTACATCATCCCATACATCATCCCGTGAGATCCACCACCAAAATATGCCCCAATCTCTAGACACTTCTGCTGTAAAGCATCGTTCCTGGTTAAAAAATCTGTGGCTGGCCATGGTGGCACACACCTGTAATCCTAACACTTTGGGAGGCCAGGGCAGGTGGATCATTTGAGGTCAGGAGTTCAAAACCAGCTTGGTCACCATGGTGAAACCCTGTCTCTACTAAAAAAAAAAAAAAAAATACAGCTGGGTGCTGTGGCTGATGCCTGTAATGCTAGCACTTTGGGAGGCCAAGGTGGGTGGATCACCTGAGGTCAGGAGCTCAAGACCAGCCTGGCCATCATGGTGAAACCCCACCTTTATTAAAAAAAATAAAAATAAATTTAAAAAATACAAAAAATTAGCTGGGCATAGTGGTGCACATCTGTAATCCCAGCTACTTGGGAGGCTGAGGCACAAGAATCACTTGAACCCGGGAGGCAGAGGTTGCAGTGAGCTGAGATTATGCCACTACACTCCGGCTTGGGTGACAGAGTGAGACTCCATCTCAAAAAAATAAAAAATAATAAAAATAAAAACCCACATGTGAGGGCAGGTGTGGTGGCTCATGCCTATAATCCCAGCACTTGGGTAGGCTGAGGCAGGCAGATCCCCCGAGGTCAGGAGTTTGAAACTAGCTGACTAACATGGTGAAACCCCATCTCTACTAAAATAAGAAAAATATAAAAATTAGCTGGGCATGGTGGTGCGCACGTGTAATCCCAGCTACTCAGGAGACTAGAGAATATGGCAGGAGAATCTCTTGAACCCAGAAGGCAGAGACGCAGGGAGCCAAGATCATGCCATTGCATTACAGACTGGGCAACAAGAGTGAAACTCCATCTTAAAGAAAAACCAAACCAAGACAAAAAACCCATGTGTGACTTTTCAAGCCCGACTATAGACAATGACAAGGCCTCACCTAGCAGGCCTCACCAGGGAAGCTTTCCTCCCTGCAGCAGACTTGGTGCTCAGCCAGTGCACTGTGGTCTCAGGCACTCTGCATGCCCTTGCTCTTAGGTGCATTCCCAGGCCTGGGCCCTCATTCCTAGGTCTCTCCTGAGGCCTTGGGTACAGGTGCTCCTCAGGCACCTCTGTGAGGCCTCCTCATGAGGGGCAGGAGGAGGCCTTGGAAACACCTTCCCCACTGACTCAGCACTTGGTCCTTTACCATTCCTAGTCTTTCCTCGCCACCCCACAGAGTCCACAGAACTGCAGAAGCCATCTGCTGGGGGCTGCAACACTGAGACGACCCATCTGCGTGGATTTACCTGGCTCCCGACCTGTGTGCCGATCCATAGGGGAATACGGCACAGTAGGAGTCAGTGCCTGCTCTGGTTTAAGAGTCCTGCTTATATTAACACACTGTAGCGAGAGAATAACGGCTTAACCTTCATTTCTGGCTTGCTGCTGTGGTGGCTCCCAGACATGAGACAGAGAGCCTCCGACAAGCACTCTGCCCAAAGCCACGGTCACCCCACGCTCTCTGAACAGGCTTGCTGCTTCCACCCCTACCTCCTGCTTCAGTCTGGTGGCAGCCTAGCAGCCAGAGCAACCCTTTGGGTGGGAAATAAGCATGGAGGGCTCTGCTCAGATCCCAACGATTCCCACCACCGAGGCAAAGGAAAAGGCTTTCCAGGGGTCTCCCAGGTGCCAGAGGGTCTGTCACTCCCACCCCTCATCACACGCCTTCTTTGCTTTTCCTCAAACAGACAAAACACATGTTTTTTCCCCAGACAAGGTCTCGTTCTATTGCCTAGGCTGGAGCGCAGTGGCATGAACATGGCTCAACTGCCTGGGCTCAAGCGATCCTCCATCTGAGCCTCTTGAGCAGCTGGGACCATAGGTGTGTACCACCCCACCTGGCTAATTGTTTTCTATTTTTGGTAGAAATGGTATCTCACAGGCCGGGTACGGTGGCTCACGCCTATAATCCCAGCACTTTGGGAGGCCGAGGCGGGTGGATCACGAGGTCAAGAGATCGAGACCATCCTGGTCAACAAGGTGAAACCCCGTCTCTACTAAAAATACAAAAATTAGCTGGGCATGGTGGCACGCACCTGTAGTCCCCGCTGCTCGGGAGGCTGAGGCAGGAGAATTGCTTGAACCCAGGAGGCAGAGGCTGCGGTGAGCCGAGATTGTGCCAATGCACTCTAGCCTGGGTAACAAGAGCGAAACTCTGTCTCAAAATAAATAAATTAATTAATTAATTAAAATAAAAAAGAAATGGTGTCTCACTATGTTGCCCAGGTTGGTCTCAAACTCTTGGCCTCAAAGGATCCTCCCACCTCAGCCTCCCAAGGTGCTCAGCTTACTGGTGTGAGTCACCACACCTGGCTCAAAACAAATTGTCATCCTGAGACACCCTGTGGCAACCTGCCACCTGTGCCACTCGCTCTTTCCCTCCCTCAGATCTCTGCTGGAAACACCATCCAATCCATGAGGCCTTCCTGATCACCCCATTTAAGATCACCCCCAGCAGCGTCCATCCCCATCCCAGCTTTATTATTCTCTGCAGCCTGCACCGCATCTGACCTTCCACACCTCTTACATTATTGTTCACAGTCTGACTCCCCCAACTAAAGAGCAGAAGCATACGATTTCTGTCCTTTTTGTTCACATCTGTATCCCCAAAACTTGAATGCAACCTGACAAATACTAAGCTTTTAATAGTTTAATTAATGGGCTGTGACTTTAACTTTACCAAAATACTGATGAGCACAAAACTGACAAACTGCCCTCGGCCGAGGAAGGAAAGCAGTAGACACCTTCCATTTCAGAGTTCGGCAAATCAGTAATCCAAAGCTGACTACAAGGTCTGCATTGTCCTTACCTTTGAGCTGAGATCAAACTTGAATTTGCTAACATCTTCCTCTACTATCTGAGAGCCCTCCATCCCCTTAGACTTCATGGCATTATAAAGGACGGATGTGATCTTCAACAGTTCTTTCACTGCATACCCATCTGCTTGATAAAGCTTCTTAGTGTTGAGCTTTATATGTGCTTTGGTGGCCTATTTTTAGACAAAAAAAAAAAAAAAGTTGAAGGCCCTTTCCACGTAATGTCTAAACCAAATCCCATGTAGGTAAGTTGAAAATGCCTCTGCTAGGCCGGGCGCGGTGGCTCATGCCTGTAATCCCAGCACTTTGGGAGGCCGAGGCAGGTGGATCACAAGGTCGAGAGATCGAGACCATCCTGGTCAACGTCGTGAAACCCCGTCTCTACTAAAAATACAAAAAATTAGCTGGGCATGGTGGCGCGTGCCTGTAATCCCAGCTACTCAGGAGGCTGAGGCAGGAGAATTGCCTGAACCCAGGAGGCGGAGGTTGCGGTGAGCCAAGATCGTGCCATTGCACTCCAGCCTGGGTAACAAGAGCAAAACTCTGTCTCAAAAAAAAAAAAAATTAAAAAAAAAAAAGAGAAAATGCCTCTGCTGACAACTGGGATACAACCCAGTAAGAGTAAAGCATTCAAGTGGCTCATATATTGTGAGTGGGTATATAAACTGGGACAATCTTGATGGAGAGCAATTTGGCAAAAGACAGCAAAATTACAAATGCACGTTAACTTTTCACCCAGCCATTCCAATTCTAAGACCTTATTCTAGTGATACACTCAAACACAAACGAAATGAGATGTATAGGTTATTTGTTACAGCATTGTTTCAAAGAGCAAAGCCTAACAACCTAAAAGCTTACCTATATAAATTACATAAATTATGGCATATCCATGCAAGCAATACCACTCAGGTGTAAACAGAATGAGGAAATTCTATATGTATTTAGAAACTTCTCTAAAATATGCCATTAAGTAAAGCAAGATGCTAAACATATTGTAGTGTACAATAACTACATCAAGCAGTATATAGTACACTAGCATTGTGTAAAACAAAAGAAAAATATCTATTTTTATTTGCACACACATAAACTCTGAAAGAGATTTAAAATAGTGGTTATGGTTGAGAGCAATGGCTCACGCCTGTAATCCCAGAACTTTGGGAGGCCGAGGTGGGCTGATCACAAGGTCAAGAGATCAAGACCATTCTGCCCAACAGGGTGAAACCTGTTGGGCAGGTTTCTCTCAAGGTGCAATCCTCCCTCCCACCTATACTAAAAATACAAAAATTAGCTGGGCATCGTGGCGCACATCTATAGTCCCAGCTACTAAGGAAGCTGAGGCAGGAGAATTTCTTGAATCTGGGAGGCAGAGGTTCCAGTGAGCCGAGATCACGCCACTGCACTCCAGCCTGGCAACAGAGCAAGACTCCATCTCAAAAAATTAAAAAAAAAAAACAAAAAACTATATATATATATATATTTTAAAACCCTGTCTTTTTTAAAAAAGTGTGTATCTATATATAGATAGATAGATACACAGATATCTATCTATCTATCTATATATAGATACACACTTTTTTTTTTTTTGAGACTGAGTTTCACTCTTGTTACCCAGGCTGGAGTGCAATGGCGCGATCTCGGCTCACTGCAACCTCCGCCTCCCGGGTTCAGGCAATTCTCCTGCCTCAGCCTCCTGAGTAGCTGGGATTACAGGCACGTGCCACCATGCCCAGCTGATTTTTTGTATTTTTAGTAGAGACGGGGTTTCACCATGTGACCAGGATGGTCTCGATCTCCTGACCTCGTGATCCACCCGCCTCGGCCTCCCAAAGTGCTGGGATTACAGGTGTGAGCCACCGCACCCGGCCTACACTTTTTTTTTTTTTTAAAGACAGGGTTTCACCATGTTTGTCAGGCTGGTCTTGAACTCCTGACCTCAGGTGATCTGCCCCCCTTGGCCTCCAAAGTGCTTGGATTACAGGTGTAAGCCAGTACGCCTGGCCAAAAAACAAAATAACATAGTGGTTACTTGGAATGGAACTTGGCCTAGGGCAGAAGACAGGGTAGAAAGTCATTTTACTACATTTTGTTTCATATTTTTAATTTTTTTTTTTTTTTTTTTGAGATACGGTTTCACTTGGTCACCTGGGCTGGAGTTTAACCGCATGACTGACTGCAGCCTTAACCTCCCGGACTCAAGCAATCCTCCCTCCCACCTCAGCCTCCTAAGTAACTGAGACTACAGGCATATGTCAGCAAGCCCATCTAATTTTTTTTTTAATTTACTTTTTGTAGAGATAGGATCTCACTGTATTGCCCAGGCTGTTCTCAAACTCCTGGACTCAAACTGTCCTTCTACCTTGGCCTCTCAAGGTGCTAGGAATACAGGAATGAACAACGATGCTCGGCCCACTTTCAATTTGTGAGCTATGAAATGTGTTACCTATTCAAAAATAAACAAAATTGGCCGGGCGCGGTGGCTCAAGCCTGTAATCCCAGCACTTTGGGAGGCCGAGGCGGGTGGATCACGAGGTCAAGAGATCGAGACCATCCTGGTCAACATGGTGAAACCCCGTCTCTACTAAAAATACAAAAATTAGCTGGGCATGGTGGTGCATGCCTGTAATCCCAGCTACTCAGGAGGCTGAGGCAGGAGAATTTGCCTGAACCCAGGAGGCAGAGGTTGCGGTGAGCCGAGATCGCGCCATTGCACTCCAACCTGGGTAACAAGAGCAAAAAACCCCGTCTCAAAAAAATAAATAAATAAATAAATAAATAAACAAAATTTTAAACAAATAATGAATTAAAAAACAAACAGAAAGAACTTCGCTGGTGAAACGGCTCCACAGAAACCCAGCAATGGAATGGTTTTAGAAAGCAACTCAGGCCAGGCACATGGTGGCTCATGCCTGTAATCCCAACACTTTGGGAGGCCGAGGTTGGTGGATCACTTAAGGTTGGAAGTTTGAGTCCAGTGTGGCCAACATGGTGAAACCCGGTCTTTACTAAAAATACAAAAATTAGCCAAGTGTGGCAGCACGTGCCTGTAATCCCAGCTACTTGGGAGGCAGACGCAGGAGAATCGCTTAAACCTGGGAGGTGGAGGTTGCAGTGAGCCCAGGTTGTGCCACTATATTCCAGCCTGGGTGACAGAATGAGACTCCATTGCAAAAAAATAAAAATAAACTCAATTACTCAATTTGAATGTAGCCCTAATAAAGAGTCATTCTTTCTAGTTTACTTAATCTTATAACTCCACAAAATAACTGTCCACTAACCATGAACTGGGCAATTGCTTTAATGAAGAAAACTCGGTCCTGTTCAGTGTCCACATCAGGTGGGATGTCAGTCTGGGGCTCATACCTATCAGAGAGGGAAGGGGAGAGAGCACAGGTTAGCCAGGGAGAAAGTCCACTAAAGAGAATGTGGGCAACTGAGAGGACAGTGGGTCTGTAACACAACACTCTCCAAGTCCCCAAATATGGTAGTAAGAGTAAGACAAACTTCAAAAGCAAAACCAAACACCAAGGGAACAAATTCCCACCGAAGAACAGCTTTAACAGATTTCAAAAATCAAATATGGGGCTCAGCTTATAAAATTAAATCTCTCTCAGACCTCAACAGGTCATGAAACTAATCAGAACTGCTACCCTGGCTGACAACCCTTGACTCAGAGATCAATGCCAGGGCTGATTAGTCAGCTCTGAGCAGCAGCAGAGTTGAAGTTACTTTCTTCAAGGTACTGATACCAGGGGTCAGCAGACTACGGCCCCCAACCTGTACAGCCTGCAAGCTAAGAACAGTTTTTACATTTTAAGAAAAAGAGATGCAACAGAGATCTTATGCAGTCTCTGAGTTTTATGTTTAGCAAAAGGTAAAATATTTATTATCTGGTCCTTAACAGAAAAAGCTGCCAACTCTGAATCATATTCAATTTTTCACACACAGAAAAATCTACATTATTTCTAATCCAATGTACTGATTAAAGTGTGCAAAAAGGTCCCTGTCACTCTGAAGTGAGGGGCTGAAGAGCAGCCTAGCCCAGCACCCAAATGAGGAATCATCACTCTCCTTTTACCACTTCCTGGTATATTTCCGTCTCCCACAGCGTTCTCTAAACTCCGATGTTTGTTTTTTTTTTTTTTTTTTTTTTTTTTTTTTGAGACACAGTCTCAATCTGCCCGGGCAGGCATGCAGTAGCATGATCAGTGGCACTGTGGCCTCAAACTCCTGGGATCAACTGATCCTCCTGCCTCAGCCTCCTGAGTAGCTGGAACTATGAGTGTGTACCACCCATGCTTGACTAATTGTTCTTTTGTGTGTGGAGACAGGGTCTTGCTATGTTGAACAGGCTGGCCTCAAACCCCTAGGATTACAAAGTGCTGGGCTGATAGGAATGAGCCACCGTGGCCAGCCACAGCTGCTTTTTAACAGGATACAAGCGGGTCTGTCAAACTCAAACATCATCAGACTCTTCCTTTTACAGCATCACAACCGTGTCCTCTTTTCTAGATGGCTAATAAATAAAATCCAGTATTCATTTTTAGACTTCAATAAAGTGCAGTTCTAACCTTTTCACAAGCCAGAGAAGCACTTCAGATACAAGTCCAAAATTGGGTGTTCGGAAATTTTCCATAGAGATATGTCGAGGGTATCCCAGGGCTCTCATCATCTCTGTGAAATCTGTCCAAGGTAAAATACAATTCAGTCAGTTCCTCATTGCACGGCAACTCCTTATTAAGATATTGTCTTTGCTTTTCCTTGTTATTTCCAACCTGTTGACAGCTTTAAGGTCTATTTGCCAACTTTCTACAAGAGATACCAAAAAGAAGACAAAATTTAAAATACCAAAAATGCTACTTCAAAAACACACATTCAAGTTCCAGGGGAGAAGTAGATGGCTATACACAAAAATGGAATTGAGGGATTAGCTGTGAATCTCATTTCTCTTTACTGCTAAAAATTAGAAACGCCTGATTTTATAAAATGTTATGAAGAAAAAGTATTTTAAAATATCAACAGTGGTTTGACTCAAATTCAGCTAATTAAAAATTATTTTAAAATGTTAATAGTGGTTGTTTCTGCGGGAAATGGGCAGGATCACATTCATGTCTCTGAGTTGTCTTTGTTTCTAATTTTTTTTTTTTTTTTTTTTTTTTGAGACAGAGTTTCGCTCTTGTTACCCAGGCTGGATTGCAATGGCGCGATCTCGGCTCACCGCAACCTCCGCCTCCTGGGTTCAGGCAATTCTTCTGCCTCAGCCTCCTGAGTAGCTGGAATTACAGGCACGCACCACCATGCCCAGCTAATTTTTTTATATTTTTAGTGGAGACGAAGTTTCACCATATTGACCAGGATGGTCTCGATCTCTTGACCTCGTGATCCACCCGCCTCGGCCTCCCAAAGTGCTGGGATTACAGGCTTGAGCCACCGCGCCCGGCCCCTTTGTTTCTAATTTTTAGTGAGCATATAGGACCCAAGTAACACAAGTTTTAAAGATCAGTTGCTGCCATGTACGGTGGCTCATGCCTGTAATCCCAGCACTTTGGGAAGCCAAGGTGGGTGGACCACAAGGTCAAGAGATCAAGACCAGCCTGACCAATATAATGAAACCCCGTCTCTACTAAAAATACAAAAATTAGTTGGGTGTGGTGGCGTGTGCCTGTAATCCCAGCTACTGAGGAAGCTGAGGCAGGAGAATCACTTGAACCCAGGAGGCAGAGGTTGCAGTGAGGCGAGATCACATCACTACACTCCAGCCTGGGCAACAGGTCGAGATGCTGACTCAAAAAATAAAAATAATAAGAAAAGATCAGTCATGTTGTATTTAAACAAATCTTTTCTTTTTTTTTTTTTTTTCCTGTGAGACAGAGTTTTCCTCTTGTTGCCCCAGCTGGAGTGCAATGGTGCCATCTCAGCTCACCACAACCTCTACCTCTCGGGTTGAAGCGATTCTCCTGCCTTGGCTTCCTGAGCAGCTGGGATTACAGGCATGTGCCACCATGCCTGGGTAATTTTTTATTTTTAGTAGGGATGGGGTTTCTCCATGTTAGTCAGGCTGGTCTCAAACTCCTGACCTCAGGTGATTTGCCTGCCTCAGCCTCCCAAAGTGCACCCAAACGAGAAATCTTATAGTGGTTGAACTACAGAACCATATTTAGATTATAAAACAGATTAAGAAATAGTAGGGCCGGGCGCGGTGGCTCAAGCCTGTAATCCCAGCACTTTGGGAGGCCGAGGCGGGTGGATCACGAGGTCAAGAGATCGAGACCATCCTGGTCAACATGGTGAAACCCCGTCTCTACTAAAAATACAAAAAATTAGCTGGGCATGGTGGCGCGTGCCTGTAATCCCAGCTACTCAGGAGGCTGAGGCAGGAGAATTGCCTGAACCCAGGAGGCGGAGGTTGCGGTGAGCCGAGATCGCGCCATTGCACTCCAGCCTGGGTAACAAGAGCGAAACTCCGTCTCAAAAAAAAAAAAAAAAAAAAAAGAAATAGTAACACGGCATGGCGTGGTGGCTTGCGCCTATAATTCCAGCACTTTGGGAGACTGAGGCGGGTGGATCACCTGAGGTCAGGAGTTTGAGACGACCCTGGCCAACATGGCGAAACCCTGTCTCTACTAAAAGTACAAAAGTTAGGTGAGTATGGTGGTAGGTGCCTATAATTCTAGTTACTGGGGAGGCTGACGCAGGAAAATTGCTTGCATCTGAGAGGCGGAGGTTGCAGTGAGCCAAGATCACACCATTGCACTCCAGCCTGGGCAACAGAGCAAGACTCTGTCTCAAAAAAAAAAAAAAAGAAAGAAAGGAAGGAAGGAAGGAAGGCAGCAGACTTTCCTTTACACAGTCAGGCGTTGCCTAAATACTTCTAACCACTATGTACTAGTCAAGTTCTCTTCATGCTGTGGTGTTACTGTCAAATGGAGACTAATATGAGTAAGATCCTTACCATACACTGGACAACTTCACAGCATTCATTTAAGGTCAAAATATTCTGAAATTGGCTGGGTGTGGTGGCTCACGCCTGCAATCCCAGCACTTTGGGAGGCCAAGGCAGGCAGATCACAAGGTCAAGAGATCGAGATCATCCTCATGGTAAAACCAACATGGTAAAACCGCATCTCTACTAAAAATACAAAAATTAGCTGGGTGTGGTGGCACACACCTGTAGTCCCAGCTACTGAGGAGGCTGAGGCAGGAGAATCGCTTGAACCCAGAACACAGAGATTGTGGTGATCCGAGATCATACCACTGGACTCCAGCCTAGCAACAGAGTGAGACTTGTCTCAAAAAAAAAGAAAAATCTGAAATCTCCCTGTATCTCTTCCCAACAGAACTCCATTCTTTCTTTCTTTTTTTTTTGAGATGGAGTTTCGCTCTTGTTACCCAGGCTGGAGTGCAATGGCACGATCTCGGCTCACTGCAACCTCCGCCTCCTGGGTTCGAGCAATTCTCCTACCTCAGCCTCCCGAGTAGCTAGGACTACAGGCGCATGCCACCATGCCCAGCTAATTTTTGTATTTTTAGTAGAGACGGGGTTTCACCTTGTTGACCAGGATGGTCTCGATCTCTTCACCTCGTGATCCACCTGCCTCAGCCTCCCAAAGTGCTGGGATTATAGGTGTGAGCCACCGCGCCCGGCCCACAGAACTCCATTCTACGTTCCCTGGCAGGGCGCTGGCCTCTCTGAAAAAACTAAGTGGGAGGAGACACTCACCCTGTATGATGTGTGGCCACCAAAAACCTTCAAATCACAGAGGGCAGGATTCACACTTCAGGGCCTAGTAGTTACGTGGATAAAAGGTAACGTGTCGCCGGGCGCAGTGGCTCATGCCTGTAATCCCAGCACTTTGGGAGGCCGAGGCGGGTGGGTCACGAGGTCAAAAGATCGAGACCATCATGGTCAACATGGTGAAACCCCGTCTCTACTAAAAATATAAAAAATTAGCTGGGCATGGTGGCACGTGCCTGTGATCCCAGCTACTCTGGAGGCTGAGGCAGGAGAATTGCCTGAACCCAGGAGGTGGAGGTTGCGGTGAGCCGAGATAGCGCCATTGCACTCCAGCCTGGGTAACAAGAGCGAAACTCTGTCTCAAAAAAAAAAAAAAAAAAAGGTAATGTGTCTTCCTGGATATTTTTACGTTGTAGAAAACAACAATTCATAACCAAAACGAGTAATCTCTTTTTTTTAATCTTAGAATTGCCAATCTTCTCTGTATAGTTCCAATTTTAGCATATGTGCTGCCGAAACAAGCACAGGAGTAATCTCTAATGCTGAAATTTCAGGTACCAGTAATTTGGTGAGAAAATTGGCTCTTTAAGAGACTCCTCAGACCACACCAAATTGGCAATCACCTGCTATTCCATTTTTTTTTTTTTTTTTTTTTTTTTTAGGAGTTTCACTCTGTGGCCCAAGCTAGAATGTAGTGGTGCAATCCTGGCTCACAGCAACTTCTGCCCCACGCCCCCACCACTCCATTCCACCCTACCCCATTTCAAGCAATTCTCCTTAGCTTCCCAAGTAGTTGGGACTACAGACACGCGTCACCACACCCAACTAATTTTTTGAATTTTAGGCAGACACGGGGTTTCACCATGTTGGACAGGCTGGTCTCGAACTCCTGACCTTAAGTGATTTGCCTGCCTCGGTCTCCCAAAGTGCTGGGATTACAGGCGTGAACCACTGTGCCCAGCCGTAGCCAGCACTCTTAGCCTAATTCTTAGACTTCCCTATCCTCTTAGCAAAGGAATTCGAGCTCCCTTCTCACCAGCCCTGCAGAAAGATGCAGACAGAGTTCAGGATTTCTGGAGCTCAGTCAAACTGAATTCAAACTCCAGTATCACCTCCTACCGCCAATGTCACCTGCCCAAATTACTTGTCCTCTCTGTGCCCATTTGCTCATTTCCAAATACAGGGGGTAGATGATTAAAATGAAATAATGCACATAACACAGAGTGGTCCCTGGCAGATCGTTAAAACTCAAAAAACGTTAGCTGCAACGATCATTATGCAGCCCCTCTCCTCGGTTTCGTTGCTGTTCTTTTTTTTTTTTTTTTTTTTTTTTTTTTGAGACAGAGTCTCACTCTGTCGCCAGGCTGGACGAAAGAAAAGAAAAGAAAGCAGCAGACTTTCCTTCACAGAGTCAAGCACTGCCTAAATACTTCTGACCGCTACGTACTAGTCAAGCTTTGTTCTATTTTTAATACAGATACAGGTTTTCTCCATGTTGGTCAGGCTAGGCTAGTCTCCAATTCCTGACCCCAGGTGATCCACCCACCCCAGCCTCCCACAGTGCTGGGATTACAGGCGTGAGCCACCATGCCCAGCCGCTGTTCGTTTTCTTTCTTTCTAGATGGAGTTTCGCTCTTGTTGCCCAGGCTGGAGTGCAATGGCGGATCTTGGCTCACTGCAACCTTCACCTCCCGGGTTCAAGCGATTCTCCTGCCTCAGCCTCCCGAGTAGTTGGGAGTACAGGCATGCGCCACCACGCCCAGCTAATTTTGTATTTTTAGTAGAGACGGCAGGGTTTCTCCATGTTGCTCAGGCTGGTCTCGAACTCCCGACCTCAGGTGATTCGCCCGCCTCGGCCTCCCAAAGTGCTAGTATCACAAGCGTGAGCCACCGCGCCCGTCCTGCTGTTCATTTTTCTAAGCACTAAGCTAACCCAACTCAAAAAACAGTCTCTAAAGTCTCCATGCATTTTCCAATCCAGTAGCGAAGACGCCTGCAGCTATACAAATAGAAATGAGTAACAATTAAAAATTCAGTTCATCTAAACTGGCCACATTTAAAGCGTTCTGAGCCACACGCGGACAGTGGCATATAAACTTTCCCTCCTCGCTAGCAACGGCCTAAGAACGGCCTGGGACGGCCTGCTGGGTTGTAGCCGCGGATCAGCGGCGGTGCCGGAGGAACAGAGGCCCGAAAGGGGGCTCCGGCAGTGCGAGCCTCAGGGGTCGCCGAGGCAGGGGACTCGGCGAGTAGGAACGCTAAATATTTGGAAGACCCTCAGGTAACAGGGGCGTGGAGCTTACTGCGGAGGTCGCGGAAAGACATGACGCTCAGGTCCCCAAAAGCCACGGGTCGCAGCTGTTCGGTCCTCAGCGCTTACAGGCCCAGCACTCGCCGGTCTCTATGGCAACCAATAGAGCCTTGGACGATGCGCGGTCAGGGCCAAACAAAACGGAACGCGAATACGGGGCGGCTTGCGCAGGCGCACAGGGAGAGCAGACGCTGCTCCCGAGACGCCGAGGGCAGTGGGCGTGGCGACCTCGGCGTGTATGGGGGTTGCTAGCTCCGCCGCTTCTCACTGTGTCACCAGCCAGGCACTAGGCTGGAGTGCAGTGGCACAATCTCGGCTCACTGCAACCTCCGCCTCCTGGGTTCAAGCAATTCTCTTGCCTCAGCCTCCCAAGTAGCTGGGACTACAGGCCCACGCCGCCACGCCCAGCTAATTTTTTTTTTTTTTTTTTTGTATTTTTAGTAGAGACGGGGTTTCACCATGTTGGCCAGGATGGTCTCGATATCTTGACCTTGTGATCCACCCGCCTGGGCCTCCCAAAGTGCTGCGATTACAGGCTTGAGCCACCGCGCCCGGCCAGGCATCTCTTTAAATACAGGTTTTGCAGACGTTTCGCGCTAGCTGACGGGCTCCGCGCACCTACTATGTGCTTGACACTGCGCTAGGCGCTTTCCATATGCTTATTTCCCTCTCGTTTGTATAAAAGAATGCACTGTAGTTGGCCGGGCACGGTGGCTCACCCCCGTAATCCCAGCACTTTGGAAGGCCGAGGCGGGCGGATCACTTGAGGTCAGGAGTTCGAGAGTACCCTGGCCAACACGGCGAAACCCTGCCTCTACCAGAAAATAAAAAAATTAGGCCGGGGGTGGTGGCCCACGCCTGTAATCCAAGCACTTTGGAGGCCAGGGCGGGCGGATCACCTGAGGTCGGGAGTTCAAGACCAGCCTGACCAACACGGTGAAACCCCGTCTTAAAATATATATATATATTTTTTAATGCAAAAATTAGGCAAGCGTGGTGGCGCACACCTGTAATCTCAGCTACTCTGGAGACTGAGGCAAGAAAATCACTTGAACCCGGCAGGCGGAGGTTGCAGTGAGCCGAGAACGCGCCACTGCCCTCCAGGGCGACAGAGCGAGACTCCGTCTAAGAAAAAAAAAAATGCACTATTCTCAAGAAGCCGGCTTTCCCTGGTCCTAGGCAATGCCCGGTCCCCCTCAGGCTCCGGTAGCTGGGCGAAGGTCGGGCTCACAGCTGGCGCCCAGAGGCAAGCAGAGCCGGGGTCCTGCGCACGCGCAGGCGGCTAGTGCTTCGCGACAGGCCGCCAAGCCGCCCCGAGCCGCGCGCATCGCGCGGATCCGGCAACCCCTCCCACACTGCGTGGGGTCGTGAGGAGGCTGCAGGCGGGAGCAGCCTTCGCTCGTGAACTGGGGAGATTTCCCCGCCAGGCGCGGCATAGCAGCCGGGTTTTCTTAGTAGCTTGAGCAGGAACAAGCAACGGCATAGTGCACAAAGCGATTGGTTGGCATCAGGTTATTTCAGATGCATTTCGTCATGTGGGTTAAAACAGAGGGGGCTTCCTTATGCCAGTCTAAGTAAACAGGGCCTCTTTTGATTGTTGCAGTGAATCTTCTGGTTTTTGGCGGACTGGCCCGTCTCTGAGTTCGCTTTGATTACGTGGCACCTCGCACTGGCGATTCCATTCTGGTTGGTCTGGTCTGTTGGTGCCTTATGCAGGAGCTCGCTCCGCAACAATGGCCTCCCATAAATGTTACTTCACTTTTAAGAAACACTATTTTAAAAAAACTATTGGAGGGGGAGGGAGGTAAATAAATAAATAAAATTTTAAAACACTTAAGAAAAACAAAAGGCGCGCCACAGTCTAGAAGAAAATATTCACAAAACACCTATCTGATAGACATATTCTGCATCCAGAATATATAAAGAACTCTAAACACTCAATAATTAGAAGCAATCTAATTAGAGAATGGAGAAGACGTTTTCAAAGATACTTCACGAAAGTAGATATATGGGCCGGGGACGGTGGTTCACGCTTGTAATCCCAGCTCTTTGGGAGGCCAAGGCCAGCGGATCACGAGCTCAGGAGTTTGAGACCAGCCTGGCCAACATGGTGAAACGCTGTCTCTACTAAAAATACAAAAATAAGCTGTGCGTGGTGGTGAATGCCTGCCATCCCAGCTACTCTGGAAGCTGAGGCAGGAGAATCACTTGAACTCCTGCCTCAGCGGAGGTTGCCACGAGCTGAGATTGCACCATTGCACTCCAGCCTGGTGACAAGAGCAAAACTCCGTCTCAAAGAAAAAAAAAAAAAAAAAATAGATCGCCTGTGACTAGCAAAAACTGAATGTTTAACCTTTTTTTTGTCAGCATCCAGCTTTTTTTTTTTTTTTTTTTTGAGACGGAGTTTCGCTTTTGTTACCCAGGCTGGGGTGCAATGGCGCGATCTCGGCTCACCGCAACCTCCGCCTCCTGGGTTCAAGCAATTCTCCTGCCTCAGCCTCCTGAGTAGCTGGGATCACAGGCACGCGCCACCATGCCCAGCTAATTTTTTTTTGTATCTTTAGTAGAGACGGGGTTTCACCATGTTGACCAGGATGGTCTTGATCTCTCGACCTCATGATCCACCCGCCTCGGCCTCCCAAAGTGCTGGGATTACAGGCTTGAGCCACCGCGCCCGGCCAGCATCCAGCATTTTTTAAAATAAGAAGGTAGGATCCAGTGTTCGTTTTTGTAGCCTAGGCTGGCCCATTGGCCTCTGGCGCGCTCAAACTTCTGGCCCGTGGAGCAGATGTCGGGTTTGGTGTGGCTGTGCAGGGTTCCTGGGGCCTTGCTGAAATGCCGGCACACCTGTCAGCCCTTTCAAGGACTGGAGAGCAGGACGGTGCCACAACCCTTGGGTGAGTCCAGGGCCAGCTGATGGAAAGTGAGGATCTTGCCCCCCTGCCCTGAGGGTGCGGCTGTGGGCCCAGCTGGGCACGCACAGCGCACACACCTTCAGTTTGGGCACCTCCTGAACCTACATGTCATCCATTATGGTCCCCACAGCTGTTTTGTTTTCCCTGCCGGGAAACTTCATCTTCTGGATCATCCGGGAAAGGACAGAGGTGGCCAGTTGGTGTGACTCACAGCCTGGTTGCACGTGGAGTTGGTTCTTCTGGCCAAAAACCTGTACAGCTTAAGCAACAGCCTCAGGTAGATATCTTGGCTCTTGGGCTCCTTGCACCGAACCCTTCAGTCCTTGTAGCGGATGTCAACTCCCGTGATGGCGCCTCCTGCTCCACCAGGTCTGGAAAGATGAATGTTTAACTTAATTGTTTTCCAGAGTTGTTGCACCATTTTACACTCCCACCAGCAGCATACAGGAGTTCTAGTTCCTCCACATCCTTACACTTGATGTGGTCCATACAACAGGTGTTAACTGATTAACCGGACAATGAGCAGTTAGAAAAGTTAAGTGACTCACTCAGTCACCCAGAACCACCTTTTCAGCATTTCTTTTTTTGAGACGGAGTCTCGCTTGTATCACCCACGCTGGAGTGCAGTGGTGCAATCTCAGCTCACTGCAACTTTCACCTTCCAGGTTTAAGCAATTCTCCTGCCTCAGCCTCCTGAGTAAACCCTCCTGCGATTACAAGCCCCTGCCACCATACCTGGCTAATTTTTGTATTTTTCATAGGAACAGGGTTTCACCATGTTGGCCCAGCTAGTCTTGAACTCCTCTCCTCAGGTGATCTGCCTGCCTCATCCTCCCAAAGTGCTGAGATTACAAACATGAGCCACTGCAGCAGCCCCTTTTCAGCATTTTTTTTTTTTTTGAGGCGGAGTTTCGCTCTTGTTACCCAGGCTGGAGTGCAATGGCGCGATCTCGGCTCACGGCAACTTCCGCCTCCTGGGTTCAGGCAATTCTCCTGCCTCAGCCTCCTGAGTAGCTGGGATTACAGGCCCGCGCCACCATGCCCAGCTCATTTTTTGAATTTTTAGTAGAGACGGGGTTTCACCATGTTGACCAGGATGGTCTCGATCTCTTGACCTCGTGATCCACCCGCCTCGGCCTCCCAAAGTGCTGGGATTACAGGCTTGAGCCACTGCACCCGGCCCCTTTTCAGCATTTTTAAAGCACTGACCTAGGTCTCCCCAGGTCTGTACTCCTGAATCGTCATTTCCCACCGCAGATGAGGAAGCTGGCCCCAAGAGATCACCTCAGACAAGGACTCTCCTGTTGACCAGAGCCGAGGTGTGTTTTATGTGGGCTGACCCCAGCCAGAGGGACCAGGGAATTCCCCTGGGGTCCTGGCCTCTTCCCATGCCTTCCGCCCACACTGCCCTTGCCTTGGGCCCTGTCCTTGCCCAAACTAGGGGTCCAGGGAGGCTGGGAGTTTTCCCTGTGATGTCATAAGAACCAGTTGCCGGGGGAGACCTGCAGATATACCCTCTAGGCAGGGGAGAGCAGGGCCCTGCTGCACCCAAGTCCTGGCCACTCCTCCCCACCACACTGGCCCTTCATGGAAGCCTTGGTCTGTGCATTTTCTGAGCTGCGCATAATAGAAGGTGCCCGGCTGCAGGGAGGAAGTGTCAGGAGGAGAGATGCATTTCTGTTCCTATCTGGGCTGAAAGCCACAGGGCTGGCCTCAGGGACATGTATGCTTGGGAGATGGGAATGGCCACTGGGCCAGGTCATGAGCCCCTGGGCTGGTCACTTCCTCTCAACCCCACTGTGCAATTTCTCTACAGGGACCAGAATATTTTTCTAGGGTAGTGGGCAGAACAGGATGGTAGAAAGAAGTTGAAGTCCTGAAAGCACTCTCAGCCCGAAGGCCCCAGGCTTCCCAGCCCTTCCTATTGGTTGGGAGTGGGAGGAGGAGTCACGTCTTGGGCATGGGTAGGGGGAGGCAGTGGACTGAGCCTATCTGACAGGTAAGCTGAGGCCAGGCTGGTTGAGGATGCAGCCCATCATGTGAGCTACTCTTAGTGACTGCACTCCCCTCATGGCTGCTGTGGGGGGCTGGCCACCACCCTCCCACTCTCTCCTCTGCAGATGCAGTAAGCCAGGCTCAAGGACGCCCCGGCCACCCTGACGCACCATCCAACATCTACGAGGGGGGCCTGGGGTCCCAGCAGCCGCAGTGCCCCAGTGCCCAGGGAAGCAAGCCCAAGAACTTCCGGCTGCGCCACCTCCAGGGCCTGGCTCTTTACCTGCAGGGCCACTCACCGCCCACTCGCCAGTGTGAGAGCCACTGGCTAGGCCGGCTTATGGCTGGGGGCTGCCTGCCACAGCCTGAAGGCACAGCCTGGACCCTGGACCTGCCACAGGGGACTCTGGGCCAAGGTAACAGCCACTGCTCAGCCCTTCTGGAAGCACAGTTGCCCAGAGACAGCCTGGGAAACACTGGTGAGCTCTGTCAAGGCAGGACTGGGTGTGGGGGAAGACCCCAGGGAATGGATGGACTGGGGACTCAGACGGGCCCCTTTCCACCAACAAGCCTCCACGGTGGTGCCATGCCCCAGGAGGCCAAGATCTTGATCAATCTGTCCCCATCCCTGCATCACCCCACAGCTGGGCAGGGCCTGGAGAATCCACAAGGGACAAGGAAGGGGTGCAAGAAAAAGGGAGGCTCTCCGGGAGGGAGGGCTGGGTGACTGGCACAGCACCACACTTTGTGAGGAGCCTCGGAAGCTCTCTCCCTTGCTGGGCCCCAGTTTTCCCACTTGTAAAACGAGGGTTCAGGTTAGATGAGGGTCCCTCCAGCTTGAACCATTCTCTTCCCTCTACCTCCTCTCTCCCCTGGTGATTGTTAGGGAGGAAGCATTGCCCCCTTCCCTTTTGTTTTCAAGGATATTGGGTTCTGGGGACTCCAGGTGGGCTGCTAGCCTCCCCGCCAGCCTCCCCTTGAGTCCCTCGAGTGGCTCCTTTCTCTCCTCTGTCCTCAGCTTCCAGTTCCAGCATGGACCCAGCCAAGGGTGCCCTCCATCAGCCTTCTGAGGGCTTGGGGCTCAGGCCCAAGAGGTCCTGGAGGACCTCAGAAGAGGCTATGTGCCCCTTGTGCAAGAGAACCCGTTCTGGGGCCCTGGAGAGGCCATAGGAATCCCAAGTACCAGGACTGGGGACAGGAGGGGAAGGACAGCTGAGGAGGCAGCCCCAGCAGGAGGGGCTGGCCCCCAGCAGTGGCCCTGCCACATGAGGTAGCCCAGGCAGCGGCCAGCACCCAGGCCTGGGAGTTGGCAAAATGTGAGAGGGAGAGGAAGGAGGAGGTCCGGAGGGAGGCAGAGAAGCAAGAGAAGCATGGCCATGCCCCTGTAGCCTGCTCAGACTCCATTCAGCCACTTGTACCTTGGAGGCCATGCTGAGTGGAGAATCAGGCCCCCACGAGAGGCCTGGGAGCCCACAGGTCTGATCTCAATAAAAGACAAGGCCTGCACATTCTTGTCTATCTGCCTATCTGTCATAAGGTCAGTTTGGTCAGAAAAACAGTACTGTCTCTCTCCAGAGATGGGTCTGTGGTGCTCCCACCCTTAGTTGCTGGGGGCACGAGAGGCATGAGCTGGGGTGAGGGCCTGTGTGAGGCACCAAGGAAGTAGTCTGGGAGGGCTTCCTGGATGAGGCACTGCTGAACTTGGCTCTACAGGGTGGGTAGGGGCTCAACAGCCTACATTGTGAGCCACTGTGTTTGGCTAATTTTCTATTGTTTTAAGAGTTGGGGGGGTCCTGCTATGTTGCCCAGGCTGGTCTCGAACTCCTGAACTCAAGTGATCCTCCCACCTTGGGAGGAGCCTAAATGCAGGCCGTGGAGCTGTGGATGGAAGACACAGTGGATGAAGGAAAGCAAGGCCGAGTCAGGGAGGGCACCAGGGAGGAGAGCGGCCGAGGCAGGGATGTGGACCTGGGCCCCACCCTCTCCCCACGAGGTGATGTCACTGTTCCACCAGACCCCAGCTCCCAGGTCACTCTGAGCAGGATGAACACAGCCCTTCTCCAGCCAGACCAGATTCTGGGCACCCAGGCATAGGCTTCCCCTCTGCTGGGGTGTCTCCACTCAGCTCTGTTGATGTTTGGGACTGGATCATTCTTTGGGAGGGAGGCTGTCCTGTGCATGTAGGATGTTAAACAGCATCTCTGGCCACCACCCACTTGGTACAGTAGCACCGTCTTCCAAGCTGTGACAGCAAGTGTCCCCAGACATTGCCTGGTGTCCGTGGGGAGCACTGTTACTGTGGGTGAGGAGCCTGATACAGTTAGGCTCTGTGTCCCCACCCAAATCTCACCTCAAATTGTAATCCCCACTTGTTGAGAGAGGGACTTTATGGGAGGTGATTGTATCATGGGGGCGGTTGCTGCGCTCATGGTAGTGAGTTCTCGTAAGATCTGATGGTTTAAAAGTGTTTGGAGGCCGGGCGTGGTGGCTCATGCCTATAATCCCAGCACTTTCGGAGGCTGAGGTGGGTGGATCACTTAAGGCCAGGAATTCAAGACCAGCTTGGCCAATGTGGCAAACCCCAGTCTCTATGAAAAATATAAAAATTAGCTGGGTGTGGTGATGCATCTCTGTAATCCTAGCTACTTGAGAGTCTGAGGCATGAGAATCAGTTCAACTGAGGAGGTGGAGGTTGCAGTGAGAAGAGATGGTACCACTGCACTCCAGTCTGGGCAACAGAGTGAGACCCCGTTTCAAAAAAAAAAAAAAAAGTGTGTGGCAGTTCCAGCCCACCTCCCCACCACCGCCTTTCTCTGTCCTGCCACCTTGTGAAGGAGGTGCCTGCTTCCCCTTTGACTTCTACCATGGTTCTAAGTTTCCTGAGGCCTCCCAGCCATGTGGAAGTGTGAGTCAATTAAACCTCTTTTCTTAAATTACCCAGTCTCAGGTAGCAGTGTCAAAACGGACTAATACACCTGCTCTATACCGCCAGGCCTCCATCCTGTGGGAAAACGACAAGAGCACCTGGGCTTGCCTCAGTGACCTTCCCATCTGGCGACGCCAGCCTGTGCCACCCCTACCTTGGGTTCCTGCCAGGTCACAGGGGACATGCCCAGAACAGCCGGGCTCCTTCCCTTCCCCTGCACCCTGGGTCCACCCTGGACAGTTCTTATGTCCCTGGGACAGCAGATCCTGGAGATTTCGGTCCTTGGACAGTTTTTGGGTTGTTCTGACCATGTGGGCATGGCCTGGGGTGGTGGACACTCAAGGCTGTAGCAGTCCCCAGGAGGGGGGAGCTCCGAGATGCTGCTCCCAAGAGCAACTGTGACGGGGCAGGTGTGGGAGGCACGAGGCTGGCCTGAGGTCCACTGAGTCACACGGGGCGGCAGAGGGGCAGCTCCTTCTCTCTCTCCCACAACACTCACTCCCCACAGATGCAGAGGCCAGGTGGACCCAAGGGACCCCTAAAGACTGACATTAGGGGGGCTGCTGAGGGAACACCGAGGGACACCTGCACCAGCCACCAGCTGCAGATGCTGGGCAGAACTGAGCCTGTCTAGAAGCCAATAATACAAGGTCCTTGGAGACTGTTAGGGGCCGAATCCACTCTTTTGGCTTTTTTCTTCTGGAGACAGGGTCTCACTATCTCCCAGGCTGGCCTGCAGTGGCATGATCCTAGCTCACTGCACCTTTGAACAGGGCTCAAGTGATCTTCTTGCCTCAGCCTCCTGAGTAACTGGGACCAAAGGCACATTACACCCATTTAGTAAATTTTTTTTTTTTGGTAGACAAAGTGTCTTGCTGTGTTGTCCAGGCTGGTCTCCAACTCCCAGCCTCAAGCGATGCTCCCACCTCCGCCTCTCAAAGTGCTGGCATTATAGGTATGAGTCACCACAGCGGGCCCTATGTTTAACAATCATAGCTCACTGCAGCCTTGAGCTCCGGAGCTAAGTGACCTTCCCACCTCAGCCTACTGAGTAGCTGGGACTACAGGTGTGGGCCACCACACCCAGCTAATTTTCTATTTTTTTAAGAGATGAGGGTCTCACTATGTTGCTCACGCTGATCTTGAACTCCTGAGCTTGAGATCCTCCCGACTTGGGCTCCCCAAGTACTGGGATTATCGGTGTGAGCCACCACATTTGGACTCGTCACTTCTGAACAGAGTGGAGGCTCAGAGAAGAGCACAGGTTGCCCCAGCCTCCTGATTTTTGGGGGACCCAGGCTGTCGTCAGCAGCCCCTCTGCTACCCCAGATAAGCCGTGTTTTGGTGTTCTGGCCCCTGTGTAGCCCCCTGCCCTTCAACTGGGACAGGCTTTGGATCTTGCTTTACCAGTAGAATGTGGTAGAAGTTACAGGGTGTCACTTCCGGGCAGTAAGGAAGCCTGGCAGCTTCCCAGGAGGCCAGTGGCCCCGTAAGGAGTCTACCCTGGGACTGTGGTATGGTACAAAACCAACCTAGCCTGAGGAGGCCATGGAGGGAAGGAGCCAAGCCCATGGCCACAGCTGAGCTCACTGTGGGCAGCCCTGTGGGTAGGGCCGTCTTGGATGTAGGTCTTTCAGCCCCGCCAGCCTGCCTCGCTAACACCACATGGGGTCCCTGCTGCAGAAATGGAAGCAAACAGAATGGCCCCTGCTTAGGCTGTGAAGCTTTAAGGCAGTCTGCTACTCAGCCACAGACAACTGTAACCAGGATCTTATCCGTGAGAAAGACATCTGCTGCAGCCACATGTAGCCCCAAAGAAAACTGGCTCTAAATTGGCCTCTAGACAGTTCCTTCCCAAACCTCCCAAAGCCTTCTTGAGAAGCACTCCAACAGGCGAGAGGCAGAAAAGCCAGTCATGGCGTGCTAGGGCGGGAGTTGATGTGGAGAAAGTAGCCCTTGTCCTGAGCAAGCGGATGCTCTTGAAAACACATACTGACTATCCCTGGGCATGTCCCTCCCGCCGTGAGTACCTGAACACCAGTAGGCTGGAATGGACTGACCGGGAGTCTGTCTCAGTCCGCGAAGTATGAAGGACCCCTCAACACTGTAGGAGATCCTTGGGTGGTACGTGCAGGGACTGGGGAGACCTGGCTGCACTGGCAGGGAGCCCCAAGGCTACCTGGGGCTCCACCCCTGAGCAGGCCTGGAGCAGAGCTGGCTCCGTCTAGGGCTGGCCTCTGTGCAAAGTCTGGCGCCATCCTGTGTGAGCATCATACATCTCCTTGGGTCCCGCACTCCCTTTCTGCCCCCACTGGAGCAGGAGCCTTTGTGTCCCAGCTCTGCGGTCCTGTGGGGCTATGGTGAGAGGCCTGGAGAAGCGGCAGTCCCGCCTGGCCTCACTCAGCAGGGCCTGACTAGCTGGAGCCCCACATGGGCAAGTTACTACTTGGTCACATGATCCACCAAGGGCCTCCAAGAGCCACCCTCTTAACCCCAAGCTGACTCATCAGCAAAGGTGAAACTGTCCTTGCCGGAGTAACCGAGGCTGTGCCTCCCCAGCAGACACTCCCAGGAGCAAGCCTGACAGGTTAATCTGGATCTACTCACCCCATGGCTTTGGACACATGTCCACCGTGCCCAGCTGCCTGGCCTCCCAGGGCACCACTGTCCACCCCTACTCCATCTTGCAGGTGTCTCGGATCCTCTTCCCAGAGGGCCCTTGGCAAGCTGCATGTCTCCTGGCCAACGGCTGAGGTCAAAGACACGGGACACAGCGTAACAGAGCAGCCACAAAGGCTTCAGAGGGATGCAGGCCTAGGCTGGACGCCCGGACCCACCACTCACAAACTGCGTGGCTGTTAGCCTCCGAGCCAGTTCTCTTCATCTCTAACGGGAATAACAGCATCCCTTGAGGGTGGCCAGAAGTTTCCGTGAGAGGCTGAAGGAAGCACCAGGTCTTTGCAGAGCAGGTACCCACCTCAGGCTCCACAGCAGGGTGGAATGAATCACCCTGGAAGCTGTCTGCCTAGACTAGGCCCCAGCTCAAGGCCTAGAGGCAGGGAGAGGTCCAGACAGGGCAGCTGCTGGGCACCTTCCGGTAAGAAGAAAGTAGCAGAGCCCAGCTGCCGTGCCTCTCAGCTCTTCCCTAGGTTCACATTCTTTTTTTTTTTTTTTTTTTTTTTTTTTTTTTTTTTTTAAGGAGTCTCATTCTGTCACCAGGCTGGAGTACAGTGGTGCCATCTCGGCTCACTGCAACCTCCACCTCCCAGGTTCAAGCAATTCACCTGCCTCAGCCTCCTGAGTAACTGGGATTATAGGCACACGCCAAGATGCCTGGCTAATTTTGAATTTTTAGTAGACATGGGGTTTCACCATGTTGGCCAAGATGGTCTCAATCTTCTGACCATGTGATCCACCTGCCTCAGCCTCCCAAAGTGCTGGGATTAAAGGTGTGAGCCACCTCACCCAACCAAAAGTTTGCATTCTTTGGCAGGGTTCATCACACAAAACCACCGGCCCCTTTATCTGGAAGCCATCCTGGGGCCTTGCCAGTGACAAGCAGCTCCAGGCTGCCCTCAGCCACAGGGCGAAGCCCGAGGTGCAGCCAGGTGGGTACAGGAAACAGGATGTGACCAACTCCGATAAGTCTATTTATTTGCTCGTAATGAACCAGAACACTACAATCTGTTCAACACTGGGCTGGACACTGCAGTGATTAGGGGCAGGCGCAGGGCAGGGTGTGGACAAAAGTCCCCGGCAGAGCCTTCCAGAAGACTCATCCCTTACCCTGTAGGGCAGAAACAGAAATCACGTGATCGGTGCTGATTCGCAGTGGACGGTGCTGTATGGGCCTGGCAGGGAGGCAGCCTCAGCAGAGGTTCAGGCCAGTCAGCTCAGCACAGCACAGCAGGAACCTCCTGCCAGCACCGTCAGGGAGGGGAATGCTGCTCCTGCCTGGGGCCTGCCTTCATTTCAAGGGCCCCTGGCCCCAGCTGAGGCCAGGAAAGGACCTTGGGCTGCCCCAGCACCCGAGAGCCCCTCGCTGGGCAGCTCTGGAGGAGGAACTCAGGTCCCCAAGGCCCCGCCTGCCCAGGTTGTTCCTTCCCCTCCCTCCCCCTTTTCCTCAGGCTGGGGGAGGCCGGCACTGCTAGGACCCTCTGCCATGGCTTTGTGACACTGTAGTTACGCTGGGCAGGACTCTGCCCCACCCCACCCCTGCTCTGGAGGGCAGGGCAGGCAAGCAGGGATTTGGGAGATGCAGCGGGGAGAGGATGCTAGAAACATGTGATACACCCCCGGCACTGACAGTCTCTCTGCCTTTGGCAGGCTGAGGGCACACAAGGCACAGGACTGCCCCCATCCACAAGGCTGGGCCCTATGAGGCACATGGCAGCCTTGAGGCCCAATGTTGAGCTCAGCTTCCTCCTGTCTGCAGCAGCTCATGGCAGCACAAGGGAGGGTGGGGAGGACCCAGGGAGTCTCAGTGGCGTCTGTCCTCAGCCTGGCTCTCAGCAGGTCAGCTGAATGGAGCATGCCATGGTCCGATGGGCAGTGTGACCTTCCAGGGCACTGGACACTGTACATAAGGTACTGAGGAGCGGGAACTGTCCCGGTGTGTTACCACCTGTGGAGGGGGGCTGAGCATCAGAGCTCTGTGCTTGCATGAAAAGCCTCCCCCAGGCTGCCCACCCCTCATCAGCCACTTATGGAGGAGCGGGGGCCACTCCCCATCCTCCAGTCTTCTTTGGGCTGGCTCTGGAGGGGGACCTGGCATTCCCTTTATTGCGCCCTCTTGTTGCAAGGCTCCTGTGCCTTTAGGGTCAAGAGTGTCCACAATACTTGCGTTCCTCCCTCACAGCACAAAGTCCCCTCTGGCTTTGCAGGATGGAGCTGCAGGAACAGGCAGCAGAGTGAGAGAGGCCCAGTGAGGGCAGTCCCTTTCCAGTGAATGCAGCCACACCGGGTCAGCCCTGGGGATGGTGCATGTGCAGGGAGGCAAGGCCAGGGCAGCGGGCAGAGGCAGAGGTTTCCAAAAGCAGGAAGGAAAGCTGGAGAGCCTGCGGGAAAGAGAAGAGCAGGACAGGGTGAAGGCCCAGCGGAGATGCTCTACGCACCCCACACCCTGCCTATGGGCCACAGCTGGGCCTGGGCGCTCCAGGAGCACCAGGCCTTCTCCAGGCCACAGTGCCTGCCTGCAGCCACCAGGCCCTCTCGGTCCTCGCACAAATAAAGGCACTGATGGCTCCCAAGTCTGGTGCACAGCCCAGTAGCCATGAAGCCCACTGTGTGAGCTTGGCACAAGTCACCAAACCTCTGGGCTGTGCCGGTGGACAAGGTGGTGGACTCTGCAGTTCCCACAGCCCCTTCCAGCTCTGCCATTTTCTGTGCCCATCCAGGGCCTTCTGCTTTTGTGCTGGAAGCACCAAGCTCCCATACCCTCCCGTCTGCTGTGGCGTACCTGCGAGGGATGGGCACACTCTGTGTGTGCCCATGACGTTCTGTTCCCGAGCCCGTGTAGCACCGGGCCTGCAGCTGGGGCAGGCCGACGAGTCCGGTAGGTAGCCACCAACTCCTTGCAGAAGACAGCAGGGGTCAGACAGACAGGAAGGCAGGCTCTGCAGGGGGCCGAGGGGTGGGGCCTGGTGGCGGCTGCCCAGCCAACATCACATGGTCCGGCTGTACTCGATGCCACTCTTGGAAGAGATGCCTGACCATGGCAGGAAGCTGCAGAGCAGGCTGTGGGCCTGGCGGTAGACTCTGTGTGGGATGGAGCAGGGGCTCAGGCTGGCTAGCGCAGAGCCCAGATGCTGGATGTAGTCTGTGGGGCTCTGTTAAGGAAGATTCCAACTTGCCCTGACCACGGTTGCTGGGGCACAGTCATCAGGGGTCCACACAGTGGCCTGTGGGACCGTGTGCAGATGGCACACCATGCTCGGGAGGTCAAGAGCCCACCACTGCAGAGCTGGAAAGGCTCATGAGACCAAGTGGCCTCTGCTGTGCACAATAACAAAGGGTGGGCTCTGGGGACAGAAAGGTCTTCTGGGTGAGGCTCCAGGCATGTGGACACCACATCCAGGGATGGATGGGGAGTGGGGAAGGGGCCTGGCAGAAGAGCAAGTGTTTCTGGTTCTCCCTAGATTCTCAACCCTTGGGGCAGCAAGAGGGACTAAGCCCTGACCTTACGATGAGGAGGGGATCAACAGTACTGACCCCTGGATGTCTGCAGGGGCCCATCTTCACATAAGCTAGAAGGCCTGAGGAGTGTGCAATCTCCTGTCTCTTTCTTGCTTATTATTCTATGTAATTAATAAATCTTAGATGCATGCATTTGAAAACACAAACACACACAATGTGCATGTGCACACATGCACACACGCACAGCATTTTTTAGGCCACACAGTGTGACTATTACAAAGTGTCCTGGCTTCCCTCCAACCAGTCAGGGGCCAGTGAGATTTAAGGGGGAGGAAGCAGGGAAGGGCACACCTTTGGGTCATGCACCCCAAAAGGAAGGTATGAACCCACTTGTTCAAAAAAAGTAAAAACCTCTTCACCGCACCTGTTTCCTGGGAGAACAGGGGCTCCTGTCTATTTTGTGCACTGCTGATCCCCAGTGCAATTGGAGCAGGAGCCTCTCCAGCTGGGCTCGGGGCCTCAGACCTATAATCCCAGCACTTTGGGAGGCTGAGGCAGGTGGAACATTTAGGCTCAGGAGTTCGAGACCTGCCTGGCCAACATGGTAATATGTGCAACTCGATTTACCCAAACGTGCGTCAGATTTACCCACAACACAATCAGGGGAGGGACAGAAGTGTCCATAAGCTTAGCCACCTAAATATCATCTGAGGGGGACCACAGCTCCAACTTGCTCACTGGTTCTGCCACCCTTATGGCCAAGAAGCCACAGTCCCTGTCCCCTGGAAGTTAAGGATATAAGATTGTCCAGGGAGGGTGGCCGCCGTTGATGTAGAGGACATAGGTGAAGCCATCTTTGAGGACCCCTCGGATGGAGTAGTAATAGGGGAGATAGTGGTGCTGCTTGAAGTCTCTGTTTTCATAGAAGTTTATTGCTGTGTTGTTGGTGGTGAGGACATGCAGGTAAATGGCTTTGCAGTGGTCCTGGGCAGTGGTTGATATGTGATCCTTTAAACTTTCAAGTAAGAGGGAACCTTGGGGAGAAGAGGTGAAGGTTACACCGGCAGGGCAATTAGGAAGGAAGGGTGACTGGGCGGGGATGGGGTCTTTGCACGAGTCTCCCAGAGATGTCTCAGCCCACTGTATCAGAGACCAGCCTTCCCTCACCACTGTCAAAGCCCCTAAATTCTTAGAGCCAGATGGAGCCTGGTAGCTACAAACCACTGAGAGGGACTGCAGAGGTGGCCTGATAGCGCCCTCCCATGGGCTGGACTTGCAAGGAGGCTCACTTTCAGACAACAAACAGGGTCAACATGAGCCCAGGAAAACGTGGACTAGATGGGCCTGGGTTTCAAGTTAATGAAGACTCTGCCGCTCACTGGCTGTGTGGCCGAGTGGGATGGGACATCAGAGAAATGGTGGTGAGCGCTGCCTCGTCCTGTGTGTTCACGCTTTCTACTTGGAGAGCACTCAGTGAACAGACATGAGTTTTGTATGTGGTGGCAGCAAGAGTGAGAGGTGCCTGTTTCCTCAGCTCCATCCTGGAGGCTGAGCGAGGCTGTGGCAGAAAGGCCTGGGAACGTGTGGAAAGAGGATGGCTGAAGGTGGTGGCCATGCCTGCAGGGGAGGGATGATGGTCTGGCCCAAGACGGGGATGAGGATGGAAGATGAGACTGAGGGACATTCATGCGCCAGATTTGTCGGGGCCAGAGAAGAGACAGTGCAGGCGGAATGGGGGTTGGGGTGGGTGCCAAGCTGTGAGCCTGGCTGCTCTTACCGATGCCATGCTTCCTGAACTCCTTCACGACGCCCAGACTCAGGATGTAAGCAACTTGCGTGTCAACAGAGAAGCTGGAGGCTAGGATATCTCCATCCTAGAGGAGGAGTCACAGACAAAGTCAGGCTCACGCTCCTGGTGCACGGCTCACTGTACAGCCCAGCCCAGGCCGGCTCCACACCGACTCCCCACCACAACAGCCAGACGGACTCCGAGTGGGAGGCGCAGAATCAAGAGGTGCTGGAGAGTTGCCCCCACTTCCCCACGGAAATGAGAGCATCCTCGTCCTTCTGGTGAAAAGCTACTGAAATAAGAACACACACAAAAGGAGCTTCTCTTGGGGATGTGTAGGGGGCCTAGCCAAGGACAGGAAGGAGGCTCTGATGCCAGCATGAGGTAAAGTTATGGCATGAAGGGGGCAACTACCCACCAGCGCGTGGGCCTAGGCCTAATGGGAATGCATGGTGTCACCTGGTACACCGGGATGTAGGACAGCGGACAAATGCAAAGTTCAGTTAAAGAATCACACACGCCGGGCGCAGTGGCTCAAGCCTGTAATCCTAGCACTTTGGGAGGCCAAGGTGGGTGGATCACAAGGTCAAGAGATCGAGACCATCCTGGTCAACATGGTGAAACCCTGTCTCTACTAAAAATCCAAAGAAATTAGCTGGGCATGGTGGCACGTGCCTGTAATCCCAGCTACTCAGGAGGCTGAGGCAGGAGAATTGCCTGAACCCAGGAGGTGGAGGTTGCGGTGAGCCGAGATCCTGCCATTGCACTCCAGCCTGGGTAACAAGAGCGAAACTCCGTCTAAAAAAAAAAAAAAAAAAGAATCACACACTCGGCCAGGCGCTGTGGCTCACGCCTGTAATCCCAGCACTTTGGGAGGCCGAGGCGGGTGGATCACGAGGTCAAGAGATCGAGACCATCCTGGTCAACATAGTGAAACCTCATCTCTACTAAAAATGCAAAAAATTAGCTGGGCATGGTGGCACATGCCTGTAATCCCAGCTACTCGGGAGGCTGAGGCAGGAGAATTGCCTGAACCCAGGAGGCGGAGGCTGCGGTGAGCCGAGATTGTGCCATTGCACTCCAGCCTGGGTAACAAGAGCGAAACTCCGTCTCAAAAAAAAAAAAAAAAATCACAAACTGCCCCAGGTGGTCTTGGAGGAGGGAGACTTGGGTGGCCATCCAGCACTCTCTGCTGCCTCCACAGGCGGAGAACACCGCCACTACTGCGCACAGCCACCCCACCCTCTCTTGGTTTTAGAGGAAGAATTCTGGATGGGAGTCATGAATCTGATTAGCATGAGGCTCTTATCATCTTCCAACTTCTAAAGAACAAGAAGGCCTTTCTGCTCTGACGTGCTGGGCTGGGGTTGGCCTGTCCAGGCTCCCTGCTCCACCAGAGCTCTTCAAGCCACAGTTTACCTGGACGTATAAGTCCAGTGAGGAAGGCAACCTTATCACTCTTGTTATTCCAGGCCCACAGGCAGGGTGTTTCTTGGCTGACATCTCTTAACAGGCTTTGCTTTGCCTTGGCCTTGAACTCACTCATTTTGAAAGGAAGGGCCGAGGCGAACGGATGCCAGTGTTCAGGCCAGAGGGGTCCTCTCCTGAGAGCCGTGAACACAAGCAAAAGGGTCTCCATGTCAGCCTCAGGGGAACACAAACACATTCAAGAGGAGGAAGAGACCCGGCCACCACCTGGGGGCAGGCACACAGTCACCACGGGACACTCGGAAAAAGCCACCCGGAGGCGGAGGGGTTCAGGAGAATGAGTCATGGGGGGAAGGTGCGGACCAGGTGTCCCATCAAGAGGAGGGACTGGGCCAGGTATGGTGGCTCATGCCTGTAATCCCAGCACTGTGGGAGGCTGAGGCAGGTGGATCACTTGAGGCCAGACCAGCCTGGCCAACATGGTGAAATCCTGTCTCCACTAAAAATTAGCTGGGTTTGGTGGTGCACATCTAAAATCCTAGTACTTAGGAGGTGGAGGCTGCAGTGAGCCTGGACTGGGATCACGCCACTGCACTCCAACCTGGAGACAGTAAGACTCTGTTTCAAAAAAAAAAAAAAAAAAAAAAAAAAAGAGGGCCAGGCACAGTGGCTAACGCGTGTGATCCTAGCACTTTGGGAGGCTGAGAGCGGTGGCTCATGCCTGTAATCCCAACACTTTGGGAGGCTGAGGTGGGTAGATCACGAGGTCAAGAGATCGAAATCATCCTGGCCAACATGGTGAAACCCCGTCTCTACTAAAAAACACAAAAATTAGCTGGGCGTGGTGGCGCACCTGTGGTCCCAGCTACTCGGGAGGCTGAGGCAAGAGAACTGCTTGAACCCAGGAGGCGGAGATTGCAGTCAGCCAAGATCACACCACTGCACTCCAGCCTGGCGCCTGGTGACAGAGTGAGACTCAGTCTCAAAAAAACAAACAAACAAACAAACAAAAAAACCACTGAGGCAGGAGAATCACTTGAACCTGGGGTGCAGAGGTAGCAGTGAGCCAAGACTGTGCCACTGTACTCCAGCCTGGGCAACAAGAGTGAAACTCGGTCTCAAAAAAGAAAAAAGAAAAAAAAAAGGAGAGATCAAAAGGATGTTGACACTTGCTTTCTGCTACATCTTAGCACTTAAAAATCAAAGAGAAAAGCTCAGGAGGAAGCTAGGACAGGAACAGTGACTCAGGAGAGAAAAGGTCTGTGCCAGACAGAATGACCACAGGGAAAACAGGGTAGATGCCAGTGGATTTGGGTCCTTAAAGGGAGAGATGTATCTCCCTCTTGACCTTTTATTTATTTACTTATTTAGAGATAGAGTCTCACTGTCACACTGGCTGGAGTGCAGTGGCGCAATCTCGGCTCACTGCAACCTCCACCGCCTCCCAGGTTCAAGAGATTCTTGTGCCTTAAAGTAGCTGGGATTACAGGCGTGTGCCATCATGCCTGGCTAATTTACTTTTATTTTTACTTTTAGTAGGGTTTCGCCATGTTGGCCGGTTTGGTCTTGAACTCCTGACCTCAAGTGATCTGCCCACCTGGGCCTCCCAAAGTGCTGGGATTATAGGCATGAGCCACTGAGCCCAGCCCTTCTTGAACTTTTAAAGAAATTACCTCAAGCCAAACAAACTGAACCATCTCATCTGCCAGCTGGTAGGTTTTTCCCTCCTCAGCTAAATCCCCCGGTGGTAAACACTACCTCACATGCTGGGATGACCAACACTGTCAGGCAGAATGTTGACCAAAGTCAACCATCTGGAACAATGTGGCCATTGTGGCTATGGCATTACTGTTTACATTCAGAGTGGGTTTTGCTAGCCCGGAGTGGGGTTGAGGCGGGTCCACAGATGCCCAAGGGGTTCTTAGACAGATAGATCTTGAAGGACTCTGTTAAGTTAGAGGGGAAAAAAATTATGTCTTTACTTTCCCTGACCTCGAACTGTATCTAACTAGCATCCTTCAACAGGCTAAAGCAGTCTTAGCGGTTTCTATGAGACTGCCGCCAACACAAATCAGGGATCTTTTCATATCACGTTTTAACTGCAGATTCTCAATGCATCATCTGTGCTCATTCCCGCTTCGGAATGACAGTGGTTATGAAGTCTGCTGCTGGCCATGACTAGAGGCCCACGTGCCACAAAATCACACACACACACACAGAGAAAAGCACCAGCCAGGGACCAGCGTTGTTGGTCACTTGGAGTCCTCGGGTCACAGGCTCCTTGAACAATGGCCGAGGGGCAGACGGCATGATTCCATCACAAGCCCCCTGGGCTCATCCAGTGACAGTGATTGCCAAGTCATCACAGCACACACGTACCTCTTTATGTATTTTGGTCCTGTTTTTAATTTCAGCTACTATCATTCCCACAATGGCGCCTCTGTAGGTTGCAGCAAGGGAGAAGAACTTCTTGTTGGATGTGATATCACGATACCATGAGTCTGGGTACCTGAGAAGAGAACATGCTCAGGTGAACCTGCCACAGGTCAAGTCCAACTAAAGTCATGGCCTTAGCCATCAGAACCACAGGGGGTTCTGGGCCGCTTCTGCCGGCTGCTCTAAGGCTGACGAGGAGTTTGCCCATCACTTGGTCTCTACCCTTCACAGCCACTTTCTTAACGCAGTGACCTGTCTAGACAGGACTGGGGATCTCTGATGGGAAAAATAATTTTATCTGACATGAAATTGGCTCCATGGAAGTAACTCATGAAGGGTCACCAGCAGGGCCCTGTTCCTCTACCGGGTGAGTGACGATTTTAGGGTCCTTGTCACCCTCAAACACTTGGATGAGTGCCTATGAGAATTTGTGAGACTTCTAGACACTAAAGACTAGGAGAGTGAATGATTCGAGGAAGAGCCAGGTTCACAGCTGACAGGATCTGAGTTTACATAGCCTCCGTGAATAGGGAGGAACCTGCCCTTAAGGGCAATGTGAGGCTGCTAAGGGATGCTCACCAAGAATGTGGCCAAGACCCCTCCGAGAGGAGCAGAGAAGAACGAACAGTGGGCATAAAGGCCCAGGACACGGTCAGTAACAGGTGAATACAGCTCCAGCCCCAGAGTTACAAGGGCAATGTGAGGTCAAGAAGGCAGAGGCACATGGGGTTTCAGGGGTGTGTGTGGGTTATTTTGCTGTCTCATAGCCCAGTTCATGTCAGCGTCTTGGGAACCTGAGGCCTCAGGTCCATGAGGCTTGAGGAGAGACGGGCAGGCCAGGCAGCTCATGGGGCTGAGGCCCACAGTCCAGCGTGGCTCCAATGGCTCTCAGGCAGCCCTGGGCAGGGTCTGATCTATGTACTCATTGCAGCTTTTATTTCTCTAGATTCGTTTCCAGCAGTGAAACTACTGGGCTAAAGAACATTTTTTTAATTTTTGAGACAGAGTCTTACTTTGTCACCCAGGCTGGAGTTCAGTGGCATGATCTCAGCCCACTCACTGCAACCTCTGCCTCCCAGCATCAAGCGATTCTCCGGCCTCAGCCTCCTGAGTAGCTGCGATTACAGGCATGTGCCACCATGCCTGCCTAATTTTTGTATTTTTAATACAGATGAGGTTTTACCATGTTGCCCAGGCTGGTTGTGAACTCCTGACCTCAGGTGATATGCCTGTCTGGGACTGTAGGCCTGAGTCACTGCACCCAGCCCAGGACAGTTTTTTAACTCTTGAAGCCACTGCCAGCCCACATTCCTCTGTGACAGTTCCCACTTCCGCAGAGATGCAGAGGTCCCTGCTGCCACCCTGCCAAGAGCATGAGGTTCAGTCAGCCTGAGGTGAACACTGATGGAAATGCTGATGGCTGGGCAAGATCTTCTTTTCCATTTTCAAAGTATGTGTCAACTTTTTTCATCACAAAAGTTGTATGTGCATATAATGTAGGCAATACAGAAAAGAAAAAACAAAAACCTCATAGGGCCTAATAATAACCTACCTACCTCAAACTACTGAGACACTGTTGAACGGTATATATACCCTTGTAAATTTTTTTCACACTGGAGTTCACACGTATCCTTGTAAAACTTTATCTTGTACACGTTTTCAAATAAAAATAGGATCATGGTACATATTGTTTTCTCGTCTGCCTTTTTTCCTTTAATATTTTCCTTTAATATCTTGTAAAAAAAATATTTCCCTATCAAAAAATACACCTCTTTGACAGGGTTTTTTTTTTTTTCCTGGCTGAATAATATTGCAGTTTTATATGCAGATACTCTAATTACTCTAATGCATGTAACCAACTCCTTGCTGTTAAGATACTTGAGTTGCTTCTAAATTTTCTGAATTATGAATAGCACCACACCTGATAGCTCTGTAACTGAAGTTTCTCACAGAGCCCTTCTGGGGCACTCTGCACACCCTGAGAGGTGGAGAGAGCCCAGGAACAGGGGTCCCCGGATGAGCTGGGTGACCTGGGACCCCCAAGGTCCCTCCAGGCCATTTCCGCGGCACGGCCCTAAGGGTCCAAGAGGCCCCCCACCAGCTGCGCACCTGAGGATCGCGTGCTTTCCCCAACCCTGAATCCGCTCCACTTACTCGATGGGGAACCAGTCGCCACACAGGTGCTTCACAGTGTCTATGTCATCGTGGCAGAGGAGGCGCAGGCTGACCTCGCTGAGCGCGCTGGATGGTACCACCTCTGTCATTCACACCTGTCAAGAGAGGGGGCAGCGTCATCTCACAGCCTGGTCCTCCTCATGCTCAGCTTGTGAGGCAAGCAAGACAGGAGAGCATGGAGTTTGTCTCACAGGTGGACACTCCTAAGCCACCACGCAGAGCGCCCTGCCCCTCACGACCATGCTTGCAGCACGCATCGCAGTCACCCCCTCCGTGGAGGAGACCCAGGCCCAGGAGGGCAGGCAGGATGGGGACCCAGGACCCTCGCTGCTCGGCCCCAGCTCAGGGAAGCCCTGGCCAGCCCGTCTCTCTCCTCTCTCCCCTTCTGAGATGCCCCTGGCTCCTCCCTGGCTGGTCTCACATCTCAGGGCAGCAGTCCTTCCAAGGCTCAACGGCCCCAGCCAGCCTGACTTCTCTCAAACCCAGCTGATGGCTGCTGATGATAGTTGTGGGTTTAGCAGCCCCCATGCTTCATCCTTCCAAAGCAGACGGGCGGCCAGGGCAGTGAATGGATTTGCAGGGAAAGTGGCACCAGCCGGCTTTATCACCGGGGCACGGGTCTGTGCTGAGTGGGTCACACTCAATCTCGCCTCCCCACCCAGCAAGAGAACACTCCTGAGCAGAAAGGAAGAGACTTTGGGGGATACAGTTCAAGTCGGGGGTCACAAGTGGCCAAGGACTCTTTTCAATCAGGAAAGAGCATCTAATCCAGGGGCTGGGGGAGCGGCCCCCACCGTGTCTTATTTAACAAGGAAGTTATTATTAGAAAGGAAGAGAGAAATGGAGGAAGGCAGGCTGGCTGGCCAAGTGCTGTGCACTGAGCAGGAGAGAACAGAAGCCTTTGTTCTTTAAGCTGGAAAGTGGCCATTAAAAGGAAAGGATGGGGTTGGGCGTGGCAGCTCAGGCCCTGTATTCCCAGCACTCAGGAGTTCGGGACCAGTCTGGCCAACATGGCAAAATCCCGTCTCTACCAAAAATACAAAAAGTAGCCAGGTATGGTGGTGGGCACCTATAATCCCAGTTTCTGCAGAGGCTGAGGCAGGAGAATCGCTTAAACCCAGGAGGTGGGGGTTGCAATGAGCCGAGATTGCGCCATCGTACTCCAGCCTGGGCAACAGAGTGAGACTTTGTTTCAAAAAAAAGGGAAAGGATGGAATGCTGGGCATGGTGGCTCATGCCTGTAATCCCAGCAGTTTGGGACGCTGAGGTGAGAGGATCACTTGAGCCCAGGATTTTGAGAACAGCCTGGAACATAGCAAGACCCTGTCTCTAAAAATAAATAAATAAACAAACCCATAAATAAATGGGAAAAGATACCGCATTCATCCTGTTTTTTAAAGAGGAATGGTGTAGTTCATCTTAGGGTTGGGGAAAAGTTCTTTTTTACAGAAGAACGCAGGCTAATAAAAGTAGAAATAATGACAGAATTAGAAAGTCACCACTATAGGCTGGGCGCAGTGGCTCACGCCTGTAATCCCAGCACTTTGGGAGGCCGAGACGGGTGGATCACGAGGTCAAGAGATCGAGACCATCCTGGTCAACAAGGTGAAACCCCATCTCTACTAAAAATACAAAAAATTAGCTGGGCATGGTGGCGCGTGCCTGTAATCCCAGCTGCTCCGGAGGCTGAGGCAGGAGAATTGCCTAAACCCAGGAGGCGGAGGTTGCGGTGAGCCAAGATCCCACCATTGCACTCCAGCCTGGGTAACAAGAGCGAAACTCCGTCTCAAAAAAAAAAAAAAAAAGAAAGTCACCACTATAGAATCACCACAGAAATGACAGTCAAGCAAGAATCAGGAAAGGCTGTTAAACTCGCCCATGAAAGCGGCTGGGGGCAGATGCAAGGTGTGGAGGCAAAGCCCCTGGGCTCCCAGGACAGGCCTCGTCTTTAGCTGGCAGTCCCCACTTCACTGGAGGGCTGAGCCTAGCCTCTCTGGGCTCCCGTGCCTCCTGCTGCCATGGGTGGGAAGCACCCATGGCCATCCAGTGTCTAGGCACAACCCTCCCTTTCCTGACAAGGGGAAGAATTTGGACACCAAATGTGGTCTCTCTGCCAGCTCGGCCTCAGCTAATCAGATTCCTGGAGCCTCTTCTGTGAAATGGAGATGGCCAGGCCTCTTCTCAGGGTGGTTCTGTGCTGGAATGAGCTGATGAGGTCCAAGTGCCACGACAGTGCTGGCAGGGAGGCGGTACCCCTCTACACCAGCCTTGAGCACCCACCAGCTAACACTCGGCACGGTCCAGCCTTGACCTGGGACACAGCCAACACTGACATCCTGAGCAGCTCTGCTCTGACTCCTAACCTGGGTGGTTCTCAGCTCCTGGTTCAACATCAGGGGTGCCAAGTAGTTCAGGCTCAGCTTCATAGAGAGAAGCCTCTTTAAACTCACACCCCCACTCCACCCTTATGCCCACTCCTTCGCTCCCAGGGTTCTGGATCCATGTACTGTTGACTCTAGACCCTTTAAAAATAGCTGGGCCGGGTGTCATAGCTCACGCCTGTAATCCCAACACTTTGGGAAGATGAGGTGGGTGCATCATGAGGTCAAGATATAAAGACCAACCTGGCTAACATGGTGAAACCCCATCTCTACTAAAAACAAAAAAAAATTGCCTGGATGTGGGGGCACACACTTGTAGTCCCAGCTACTCAGGAGTCTGAGGCATGAGAATCGCTTGAACCCAGGAGGCAGAGGTTGCAGTGAGCCAAGATCGGGCCACTGCACTTCAGCCTGGGTGACACAGAGACTCCGTCACACACACAAAAGAAGTTAGCTGGGGCCAGGCATGGTGGCTCACACCTATAACCTTAGCACTTTGGGAGGTCAAGGCAGATGGACTGCTTGAGGTGAGGAGACTGAGACCAGCCTGGCCAACACAGTGAAATACTGTGATATGGTATGGCTGTGTCCCCACCCGAACCTCACCTCAAATTGTAGCTCCCAAAATTCCTACATGTTGTGGGAGGGGCCTGGTGGGAGGTAACTGAATCACGGGAGTGCTTTCGTCCATACTGTTCTTGTGGTAGTGAGTAAGTCTCATGAAATCTGATGGGTTTATTTATAAGGGGTTTCCCTTTTTGCTTGGCTCTCATTCTCTCTTTGCCTGCCGCCAAGACATGCCTTTCACCTTCCGCCATGGTTGTGAGGCCTCCCCAGGCAGGGGCAACTGTGAGTCCATTAGACCTCTTTCCTTTATAAATGACCCAGTCTCAGGTATGTCTTTATTCGCATCGTGAAAATGGACTAACACACCCCATCTCTACTAAAAATACAAACACTAGCCGGGCATGGTGGTACACCTGTTATGCCAGCCACTCAGGAGTCTGAAGCTCAAGAATCGCTTGAACCCAAGAGGTGGAGGTTGCAGTGAGCTGAGATGGAATCACCACATTCCAGCCTGGGTGACAGAGTGAGACTCTGACTCAAAAATAAAGCAAAACAAAATAGATGGCAAAAACACACAAACAAAACGTCTGAAAGCAACAGATGAAGGTGTTCATCTGGTCAGGTGTGAGAAAAGCCTTGTGGTTATGTCCAAAAAGTCCATATTTTATATTATGGGATGCACAGCAGAGATGCAGGAATAAAATGACTGTTCTAGAATTTAATTTAGTTGGCGAAAAAAGTGGCAAAATGTTAATGAGGGTTAGAGCTGGATGACGGGTACGCCATGTGGATGTTTTAAAATGCTCTTAATTAAAACTAACCAAATTTCTCATTCCAGACAGACTGAGTTTCCAGTGCGGACAGTGGGTTTTCCAGATGACCGAATGGAAGGCCTCTGGTGTCTGTGCTGAGAGCTCCGGAAACAGTGCTGTGCGCTGCAGCTGCTACCACAGGCCACGGGACCTCATATTCCTGGGAACGGTGGGCCCTGCGCACGCGGCTGGCACTGACATGCACTCAAATCGCGGGGGGGTCAGCGTCTGGTTCGCTGTCAGTAGGGGGATGCTGCTCAGGGCCCACACATCCACTGAGGTCTCAAAATGCGAAAGGACACCAGGCATGTGACTCAAGCACAGGTACCGTGTTTTCAGGAGGCCAGCTAAGGGCAGGCTCCCAGTCCCTTTCCCCTCAAGGTTAAGAAAACTGGCAAACCCAGAAACAGCTTACCCACACTTGGAATCTCTGGGACAAAGCTGATAAACCCCATAACATCCAAGGCCGAGGCAGAAGTGTGGGCCAGTTCTGATGCAAAATCGACTGTGTCGGTCAAACCCCAGGGTATTTAAACCCCAGAAACTTCTGTAACCAGGGCCCACTCCTACCCTATGGAGTACAGTTTCATTTTCAATAAATCTGTTTCGGTTGCTTCATTCTTTTCTTGCTTTGTTTGTGCCCTTTTGTCCAATTCTTTGTTCAAGATACCAAGAACACTGATATCCTCCATCAGTAACAACTGCCTAGGAGCCCCATGTCCTCAGCCGAAAGGGGCCATGGAGCAAAACTGCAGGAACGGCCACACGATGTCTCCAGCACCCACAGGTGCATCCGCCATCCCCCACCACTGTCAGGTGCTGGGAATTCAGCATCTGGGGGACACAGCATGGACTGCGTTTCAGTTACCAGAAGGGTTTCCTGGTACCCTCATCATGCCCACAGGTGCTCTACTTGTACCCCAGGTAAGAAAGTCAAAAACAACCCTACTTCCTAGTGCCCTCTCCTTGGCTAGACCCTGTCCTGATGCTCCGAGTCCACAGGGGCCTCCTCCTTCTCTGAAGGCACTGCTTCAAGACCAAGGAGTCACGCTGCACTTGGAGAAGTCACCCTCTCCTCTTAATGGCTTGAGAGGTGCCCTGGCCTCTGCCCACGACCTCAGGAGCAGACTCCCAATGTTCAGCCAGCCACAGCCACGTCGCCCGGCCCTCCCTTCTATTCTTTCCTGCCCACAGGTCCTCCCTGCCAGTCCCTACGTACACTCTGAGCCCCCAAGGTGCTCCCAGACCCTGCAGGAATCTCAGGTACTCTGAGACCGCTCACCTGCCATTTGCTTCAGCTTCTCAGCTGTGACCTGAAGATTCTCCCATCTCCCT